CATTTCCCCCCTGTCTGTCCATGCAAGTCAGATATCTTGGCAACTTTATCTCCTCACCTACACATACACAGATCCCGACCACCGCAAAATCTCCACGACATTGTGGAAGAGATCACCGGCAAGCATAAACCCGGAGGTTTCTTACTCACCTTCCTGTTTACTCGGCGGGCATTTGCTTCGGTTACGTTTCTGACCCCCTTTCCATCAAAGATAGTATGTCGGCGAAACATCCAAGCCGAGTGGTTTTTTAGTGAGGTCCCATCCACTATGTCTCATACGGACGAGATCAAGACCTGTAGACCGCGATCAATGGTTCCATTTTAACCACAGCGCGTCACCACGAACAACCAAACTATCCCCAACTTAACTGCCTCTAATATCTATTGCTGATCAGGCGCTCTTATATGCGCATAGGGGAGATTATGTTTTCACGAGCTGCAGGGTTAATTCGTTTACCACAGGATTGCGCCCTCTCATTCGTATATGCGTCACGGACATGACACCCACAACCTTATCCAAACTTACGCGTTTGGACATAGGCTATTCCTAGCCACTACTTGTCAAAAGAAATACACGCCGGATGAAGCTGTTTAGTCTTCCATTCCTTCCATGATCATTGACGATCGGTAGTCCCAAAATCTGATTGACGCCTGGCGCCACTGCCCCAAAGCTGAACTTTCATGTTTGCTGAATTTCCATAGTCAGACAGCTCCAAGCTGCCAATATCCTGCCGAACGAAATCAATGAAAATAAATTCAAGATTAAACACATGCTCCACGATATGAAAGGTATGCGTACCTAAATTATGCCATGAACGCCTTCGACATCCTTACTCGGTTCAATCACCAAAAGGACCCCAGACTCCTCAAGAGATTGTTCGGTTGCGTAGTTGAGTGCATGAGTCACTGCTCATATGATATACAGGGTTTGTTGGTTCGATTTTTCTTTTTCTTGTGCTTCGTTATTTCTTCGCGCGCGCCATTATTGACTTAACTTTCTTTCCTATTGTTCTTTTATTGGCACTTCATGTTTCCATCGGTACTTGCAGCCGTTTGCATCAGTCGTCAAAAATAAAACTGGACAGCATTGCTTGAATTGCGATGTCCGATTGGATACCACGAATTTCTGGGTATGTAACGTGCTATAGTGGTATGAATGCGATTGATTGTAATTTGCAAAAAAGTTCGTGGTTTAACTTCTCGCCGGCTTTTTGGGGACTGGCCTGGCGCTCTGCAAACGGCTGTAGTACTTTTCATTGTTACTATTGTCGTCGCTGATGTGGCGCGTAGCCGTCAGATGATTTGGTCACACTGAATGGTGAATAAATCACGAGAAAAATAACATCAGGAATTGTTAAAGTCAAAGTGTACTGGATTGGCGAGGTAGTATGAAGGACGCTCATCTACTGGATGTATGCGCAAGTGGGATAATCATGGAAGGGCATGCGTCCAGGGTGGGGCGGGCTGACGTCGAGAGGGAGGTGTCTGGTGACATCAGCCACAACGGGCTGCCACACAATGGTCGTAAGTCATATTATTTGCCATAGCCTTCACTTGTTATTTGAATTACGATAGAGGGTGTTCTGCAAATAGGCATAATAAACCGGGTGCACCTGAGGCCTGCTCGTAAGTGAGTAGAAAGGATTAATATCGATTGGAGATTGAGTGTCTTCTGTGGGTGGCCCATCCAGTTAAGCGCTGGAGGATAACGCTAGTGGGGAAGGTCACAGGTGAGCGCATCTTGTGCGGTGAGACAAGGTGACAATCAGCCAAGTAGAAAAGAGAGAGGCTAACTAGCATTGGTTTTTGCGGTCTGTTGCAGTCAGATGCCACACATGTCAAGGCGCCTTGGTGTATGTTTTCTGGAACATTGAGGAGCCTGGCAGGGTCGACATGAGTGATTGGTGAAATCTGGGTTTGAATATTCAAGTCACACGCAGCATACAGCTGATCAGTGATGCGCTGATATCGGCCAACCAACGCGTAAATCGCCGATGCCTGCAATGGATGAGCGCTAGCGCCAATCACCCCACGTTCGAATGAATTCGTTTCCAAAGTCATCACCCGCGAAAGGGCAGAGTAACGGATTGGAAATTCATTTATATTAATGTGCACAGGTAAGTTCGGTTTCCCTCTGATCTTCGTCACTGATTCGTCAATGAAAGAGATATGTTTCCGGCTACTGCCATACGCGTATTCCGAACTTACGCAGCCTAGGCTCGTCCTTAATTACATGAAGTATTCCTGACGGACTTTTTGGACATACTGCGCTATCTGTCATGAGACCCGTCGGGAGCTTCGCTTCTCTCCGTCGCTCGTATGGCGCTGACACCGACATAGCAAGTTTTACGTTGTGGTTGCAAGTGGGCGTACAATTTCACGCACGTTGTTGGTTACTCGCTCCGAGCCTATCTGCAGTGCATGATTTTGATCTGGTCTATGTGTATCTTGCTACTACCCTTGGTTCTCATCCCACTGCAGCAACTCAAGCAAGTGAATAATTCGCAGCTGACCCGACGAATTTCTATCCAGGGTAACATTTGATGATAGATTGGAAAACCATCTTATTGTCACAATGAGCAACAAGCTCGTTAACGCCGGTGCGCAAGTAAGGTGGTTCTCCCTCTGGTTTTCGTCACTGACTCGCCAATTTAGAAAGAACTTACTCGGTATGTTTCCGGCTATTGGCATACGACAATTCCGAAATTACACGGGGTATATTGCTTCCACATTAAGAATATCAGAACGAACCAGGGGAGCTGGATTCTTTGATGCCGTGTGCATCATTATTCTTAAACTCCGATGGCAATCACCAGCTCTCCTATACAGGGGTTAAGCCAAGGTTAAGCGCTAGTAACAGTATAAATGCACACTGCAACTTCTCTAGCACTGTGCCATCCACAACGATGCGACTTTTTTTTACAACCGCTTTAGCTCTCTCACAAGCCTTTGTCGTACTTTCTCAACACGCTGAGGCCGCCTTCCATCCGGTTGTTGCGAGCTGCAATGGTCATTGTCAACCTGGTACTTCTTCCTGTGAAGAATATGCTAAGAAAGCAGGTAGGTGTACTATTCTGCGGTCAAATCCACCTTCACCAGCATGCTCAATCGATGTACATCGTCAGGCCTGCCCACTGATGGCTGGGAAATAGTTCATGACAGCGATGGTCAACCGAGGTGCCGTCGGACAGACATCAAAGAATTCTGCCCTGGTGTTGAATTTTTTGACGCGGTAAGTCCGTACACATATTTTCGGAACTAATACTGAATAGCTGAGCAGGATACCAAAGAAAAGAAATGTTGTCAAGATGTGAGTGGTCTCACGTGGATCGACAAGCCCGCACAGTTAGGCAAGGTATGATTTCGGTCTGAGTTCCGATCAGTAATGCTTATTGACATTTTGGGACAGTGCTGCGCCAAGGGTCACGTATGGACGTATGAGAACGGAGCCGGTTCTAAGCGCGGAGGGTGCTGCCCGGTTGGGTTTCACATGATCAACGGGGTGTGCACCCCGAACACTCCTCCCCCTCCTCCCTCGTGCCCAACTGGGACACACCTGGTCGATGGAAAGTGCGTCCCTACCACCCCTCAGCACCTGCCATGCCCGGCTGGGTTCCACATGTACAATGGGGTGTGCACCCCGGACATTCCCATTCATAACCAGTGCCCAATTGGGACACACCTAATCGATGGCAAGTGCGTCCCATCTACTGGTCCCTACCCTCATACGTGTGGCAATGGAAATGGCGGTGTCGAACCCTCTTGCACGTGCACGAATTCTCCAGTATGTGGGCATGGGAAACACCTAGGCATCAAATATGGCCATTGCTATATCCTCTCCTTCGGCGATGGCGAACAACTTGGCCTCGACCGGGACCACACCGACTACAAGAAAAACGGCTTCTTCGTCGATATCCCCTTCAAAGTCTGCAAATCAACTACTGATTGCGCGCGTGGAAAGGAGGTTGAGAAGGGCGAGGCTTTCTCCCTCCAAGATCAGCATGGCTTGTACAAAGACCTACTGTCAACGAAAGGGTGGATTAGTAACGCCTCTGGTGGTGCCCATATGGAATTCACCACTGATGCCAGCCATGCCGGTAAATTCACGGGTATCCCTAGTTGTGCTGGCGGTGAATGCGCTCTTCAACTGCATGGTAGTCCCGGTGGCGGTGCATTAGCATACGCTTGCCCGATGCCCGGGCCCGGACTGACATTGGTAAGTTTTACTGCTTTTCCAAGGGATTTTTTTCGCTAAAGATGATTTTTCGTCCATTAGTATGGCAATCCCAAAGTTGGTCAGAAACTTCGCTTCTCTGAGGTGACATGTGACGAATATGAGGTCCCTTTGACTTCTGGCATCAACCTAAACTGAGGCTGAAAGGGAATTTGGGACGTTCTGCATGCTTTGATTATGACTTACTATGCCCCGTTCTGACAGAAAATGTACGACTTGTATTTATAGTCTCCATTTGTTCGCTGTATGTACACACAAATAGCAGTCTGATCGGTCCTTGTGTCGATTTGGATGTCCTGATCTATCATGTTCTCGAGGTTAGGGTCCTCAAAGGAAGTGCTTTACTCGGTCACTCGCCAATCCGACAAGCATGCACGTACTTTGTAGAAATGCCAGCAGAAAACGGTGATCTCGTAGCAGACACCTTAGTTTCAAATGACGACCAGGCGAGGACCACGGACGGAGGGATAGCGGAGCACCATCATGATAGAGGCTATTTCACGGCATAGCTTTAATACCATCCTGAGGGTGAGGACATCTTGAAGATTGAGATGAAGAGCGATCTCTCGCAGAAGCTCGAGGGACAGTGCTGTGAGTTGATAAGTTAGATGGCACATCATCACTACCTCGAGTTCTCATTGGCCAATGTCAATTTGTCACGGTTGGCCCAGCCAACGCCGTAAAACCTATATAACAGGAGGTGCGTTCGGATAGTCGTGGGCTGTCACGGTTTTAACATCGATAGGTGCCGAGTTTCCGGTGGGGGTGAATCGAGCACGATCAGGGTTTTCTTGCGCTGGAAATATGATCTGCGAGTAAGCCCGACGGCAATGAGTATTCAGACGTGTTAAGTAGCTTTTGTTTGAGTGCAAGTTACCAGTACGTCGGACGAACGTTCGAACGCTCAGCGCTCTGCTCCCACTCTGTTCAATATGGATGTGTTCCGGGCCAGTTCCGGAATCCGGTAGCATTTTCATTTCCTGTACAGTCGACTCTGTATCCTGAGACAACAAGTCTCACAAGGTCTCACAGGCCCTATAAATGAAGCTATTCAAATATGGCACCCTCATTTGCTCGTCTGCTTGTGATAGCACCATTTACCCATGCCTCCTCATGATCTCCCGCCCCCGCCACCTTGGACGATACCCAATTTCGTGTTGAGGGTGGAGGACTTGTCGCATCCTGGGGCATCGATCTTCTTTGACTGCGTCAAGCCTAAGGAAGCACTCAAGCTTGCAGTTGAAGCATCTTATACCTGGCTGTATACCCCGCTCACGGCCCCAACGCAGTGAGTGCTACGCGTTCTTAATTCACTATAAATGTGTTGTGAATTATCATTCCAAGCGTCAAGACCATCACGCTCGTTCTTAGACCGTTCAATGGCGTGGCATACACATTTGGCACGCATGAGACGAAAGAGATCAATTTCTCCCTCGATTGGATCAAGTCATCAGAGGCTCGCGCACGAGATGAAATACTAGGCGTGCTGGTTCACGAGGTTGTGCATTGCTATCAGTACAATGCAAAAGAGACATGTCCAGGGGGTCTTATCGAGGGCATTGCAGGTGTGCATATTTTGATACCACCATTTGAGTTTAAATTTTGTCTTCCGAACTACTGGTAGATTTCGTAAGGCTCCATGCTGGTTTTGCACCACCACACTGGAGACCTAGAGCTGAGGGGAAGTGGGACGCAGGGTACGATGCTACGGCGTACTTCCTCGACTGGATCGAGAAGCGCTGTGGCGAGGGGACTATCCGAAGACTTAATGGATCTATGAAGGATTCGAGATACAGAGTGGAAATATTTGAGAAGGTGACTGGAGAGAGCGTGAGCTCCCTGTATGCACTGTACTGTGAACATCTGGAACAGACGGGTAAGATATCTCATGCATGAACCTTGATATACAATACTAGTAGCAAATATTTCTGTAGAAGCTACAGGGAAGACGTTAATTTGTCCAGTGGTGGAACTGCGACCTGCACCAGTTATGACTCTCCCCGAAACACGCACGAAGTTTCGAGTCAACGTCAACCTTGAATGTTACTGACCTTGAGTTTACTAGATCAAGACAACATGGATGAAGACCCCGTACAACCAACATACTTTTCAGAAAGGTCTGACTCGGTAAATTCAATAGTTGCTAGCTTTCTTGCAGAACCGTTCCAATTCAAACTTCCCGAGTCCACCAATCCGATATTGGTCACGTGCTGTCCGAAAATAATTATAAACCAAACCGAGTTGCAGCCGAAGCCCCTATTTCTCTGTCTACTCCTACTTTCATTTACTCAAACTTCACAAAGCCTCTGCCGAGAAGATCATGGAAGTGCCCACCACAAGACAGACACATTGTCTCTTAGCGATTCGAATTTCTCTCCCATCCACATGCATTACTCTGAGCCGCACATCCATCAGCTGCCAGTGGAACTTTTACAGCAAATATTTTTGCTCATCATCCCAGACTGTCCTAGAATTTTCAGATTGATAGGTATCCGTATTTCGGGAAATTTTGCCAGCCCTCCCCTAGTCTTCACCCGGGTGTGCCGCCTCTGGCGAGTTGTCGCACACTCGACGACAGGGCTTTGGTCGCGCATCCAGGTTACGCTTCCCGGTGGAGATGAGCCATCGAAGCCGTTCCTTTCATGTCTGCTCCAATGTTGGCTCGCCCGCTCTGATAGTCAGCCTCTCACCCTTCACATCGATCGGATCTATTTATCATGCCATCTCTTCATGAATAGGCCTGTCAGGCCTAAAGTTGAACATGGTTACAGAGACCTTTCACAGGCAGATTCTCGACTTCTCGAGATTCTTCAGTCCGAGAGTAGGCGATGGGAAACAGTGGTTGGTGTATTACGCGGAGTCGAATGGCCCAGTTCCAATTTAGATACGCCGCAATTGAGAACCTTGGAATGTAGCTGGGCGGGTCTTGATAGATTCAATGCACCGAATCTCCATCGGCTACGCATCCTAGAGGGGATCCCTACCAGTACTATTCCTACCTGCAAAAATTTACGACATCTTCATCTCCAATACGCTTCCCCAAACATCATCCGCTCCATTTCAGTAACTTTCCCTCTTCTGGAGACAATCGTGGTGGCGGATGTAATTGGCGATCATGGTGACGCTAGAAGCCATCCAGTCACGCATTCTTGTCTTGAATTATTGACTCTCCCTCTTCCCTTGGATCGTGATGATTCGCACTGGTTTACCGAAATATTCGACGGCCTTCATCTTCCTGTGTTGCGGAAATTAACACTGGTGGGATGCCCAACCAAATCGGGGGTTGATCGTACTATGGCTGCGTTGGCCGTTACCGCAACTTGCAACTTGCAAGCGATACACTTTCAGACGGCCATGCCGCAGGATGAAGTCGATGTGGATGTTGTTGAGCCGTTGCTCTCAGCTGTGAGGGAGATTTCGGTCCACTACTCCGATGTCGCGCCGCGCACAATTAGTCGTGCAGACCTTGTATGCCCTACTACTTTGAAATAGCATGGGCAATGCAACGTAAAAATGAAGAACACTTGTTGTGGCAGGGACTCCCCTTCGGTCAGCTGCAAGAAAGAAACAACATCAACAGGAGGAGACAGAGAAACTCTCATCGCATGACACCGACCTACACAGAGGGATGCAGAACAGGATAGACCAACAGCAAAGGCAGAAACATAGCACGAGAAACATAGCACGACGAGGTGGATGCAACATCCGTCAAGCCGCTGGTTATTCGTGCTTATATAATGTGGAGAATGTAGAGATGACGAGAGCCATCTGTGACATCGTGTACAACCTGGATGGCGCTTAAGGATCGTTATTACACCCACCAATGACCCCTCGTCGAGAATTGTCGTAAGATCAGGTGGAGACTCAGAACGCAATTTAATTGCGAATTTAGTTATCAGCTTTCCTTCCAATTTCGTCATTGTTTATCGCCAACTCGGGTGCACCACAGACGCGCTTTACAACTTTCCAAGGAGTTCCTGGTGATACTTCTTCACCTCATCTACGTAATCGGACTTCGCGGGCCACCCGATAACGAGCCCCTCTTCGTCTGACGCATCAGGCTTTGGAATGACGTGGAAGTGTACATGGTCGACGACCTAGACGTGCAAACACAGTGTCAGTCAATACTGTATAACCCAATGAGTTGAAGGCGCAAACAAACCTGATGTGCGATGCGGCCGTTATTCTTGGTGCCAAGGTCAGCTCTGCAGGTTAAACAGCAGGGAATGGGGAGAGGGGGACGATAATTGCATGTGGGATTGAACGCACCTGAAGGATGTTGTAATTCTCGAGCCCTTGTGCTGTGGCGATCTTCTTTGCGATGGGCATCACATCCGCGAGGTATTCATCTGGGAGCTCGTGGAGCTTTGCCGCGTGGTCTATTATGCATGGATTGGCACGTTCTCTTGCGACATAGTCCTTTTTCCCTTCTGGTGACGGCTGACGCACCTTTAGGGATAATCAGGGCATGGCCCTTGGAGAGGGGACCAATATCAAGGAATGAATAACTGATCTCTGATAAATGTGTGTCAATGATTTGACGGAAGAAAAAGGACAAACGAAAGGTCCGTCTCGATGACCTTAAAACTTGGGATGTCGCCTAGAACACAGTAGCGCGATAAGGCGGTGTAGTTGAATGACAAGAAGAAGTCAACATACCCTTGATGATCTTGCAAAATATGCAGGTGCCGAGTGACCGTGCTACTGCCGCCATGGTAGTTTGAGTCGAGGTAAATACTGATATCCGATAAGGCTGACTCCGTCATTGTCATTGATATTGATACTGATGCTGATGACATGTATTTGTCCATGCCGAGCTACATGTCGCACGTGATCAAGCTGACAAAGCGCGCGTCTTCCCGGGTTCCCTCACGCAAGATTTACATTTTGCGTCATCTTTGTTGACTCGCGAGTCTTGACGCGGACGGCCTCGAGATGTTCTCGGAGCATCCTAGGAATTTCCGTCGATTGGTCTGGCTAGTAGGTGAGACTAGTATCCTCTGCTCTTTTTCTCCAACTTTCGACATCAGCTACAGAACACGTACTACAAGCATCCCTACTGCCACTGGCCCGGCTATTGTCTACTACTAGCTAGACTGAGGCTAGGCATCCAAAACAAATATTATTTTATCTTCAACATAATTTCTACGATACATTCGCCAATAAAATCCACTTCACGAAGCACAATCCTCTTTGATGGCACTATAATAATAACTTGAAGGCAGTTGCCTGGACTGTTACTTTCACAAGAACTCGTCACACAGATTCCAATATTCTTCACAGTGGAATACGAGACGCAGTCGGCTGAAAGCAATTATGGTGGCAGTGCTGGTGGACGTTCATCCATGTATCGTTCAAGATTCAAGCTTGAAGAGCGGGCATAATGCGGAGGATACAAAGCAACCTTGCAAACGCGTGAGATGTCGCTATGCTAACTATTGCATGTGTCGATGCGAGTAAATTTGAAGGTTTGTGTCTGTTTTCTTAATCTCCCGAGTTCTTTTCCCTAGCATGGTTTTCCAGATTTAACGCGCGGTGTGGTTGAGGAAGTATCATGTATGGTTTGTTGTTCTATGACCTTGGTATGTCACATTCCGATGAGGTTTTTTGAGTGGTCACTAACCTTCGCCAGTTTTGCTGTTCCAGCTGTACCAACACTTCAAAGTTTCCCGACTGGAAAGTCCCAGTGTTTGTAAATTTATATAGGTATAGCGTGATTTACATGCCATGCATTTGTGGGTCCCGCCATTGTAGATTCTTATCAAAGACGCGGCCTTACTTTTTCAGTCGTCTCAATGGTAAATTGCATTACCGTTGCCGTGCTTCCTGTAAGCAAGTTTCATCGGGTCATAAGATGAACTTCTATCTATGATGTATCGGACTGCAGGCCTTCACCATTTTGTATTGGTGTCTCTATCTGCGCCTCTGGATCGTGTTCCACTCTTTTCCCCTCGCCACTCCGTGATTCCTCCCTCTCCAAGACAATACGTTTGCGTGCCTCGAGTCCCCCTTCATAGCCAAACCAACGTTTTCGAGGACAATGTGGACCGCGGAGCAATAAAACTAGAATCTGGAAGACTTGCAGCGCCAGCATCAATAGTGAACACGCTCTCCATCCGTGTTGCACGAAAACTTGGGTGCCAACAGACGTGCCCATCACCTGCCCGATGAACAGCTGGGATGTCTTGCTTAACAACACTCCGATTGATAACTCAAGGCGGAACTCACTGATAGAATGAGAATGGCGTTTAAGCGCGCACGAGCAGCGGAAGATATGCTGTGGTATGATCATTGTGAGTCAACGGCGGTTTCCTTCACGGAAAAACAAATATGTTGACCTCAGGACCCGAGTGGTCATAGACACTTGCTGGGCCTGACGCGCAACATCAAGCCCGAAGCATGCGATGACGACAGCTGCAACATTGATCCCACCTGCCGCAGTCTGCACAGCTTGGGAAACCAGGAGCAAACCAGTGGCTACCAAAGTTGCGTACCAAGGAACCAGCCTATCAATAAGACGTCCCGCGAAAGGTCCAACGAGCACGCCTAGCATGCCAACGAGACCAAAGAGTCCAATTATGAGACTGAAAATAGTCTCAAGTTCAGGCAGTAAAAAGTCAGGATATGTGCGTACGTGGAGTAGTAATAGGGTGGACCTCCGAGAAGGAAGGTGAGAGTGACCCAAAAACTAGTAAAACATGCGCTGGATGCAATATTTATAACGGCCACCTGTATCACAAGTGGCTCCGTTACCGCATACTTGGCCATCGAAAATAGGACTTGGAAGTAGGTCAAGTCACGGTTTTTGCACGGATAGTCAGGAAGCATCAGGTAGGCGCCAATAAGAACGAGTGATTGAACACCAATTGACATATAGTAGACTGCTCGCCAGGTTGTAAAATTGCCTATGACGCCAGCCAAGACACGAGCGATCAGGACGCCTAGCATGAGACCCGAGAGTACCACAGACAATGCAGACGCTCTGCGTTCAGGTGGGGCCAAATCTGCAGCTAGGGGCATCAAGATCTGGGGAGTGACAGTTGCAACGCCGGTCAAGAAGGTCAAGGCCTCGAAAACCTGCAAATTCTTGGTCACGGCCAAACCTATCGTGAAAGCAATAGATGTCACAACCAGCAGTAACACCAGTTGCCTGCGTCGAACAAGGTCGCCGAGGGGGGATATCAAAAGTAATCCCACTAAATACCTGGACCACGATGATAAGTCGGGAACATTCCATCGGAAACCGATAAGTTTATTTACCCTGCTTGAACGAGGGTGGGGATACTTGATAATCGAATCATACTTACTATTAGCCCAGATTCGTTGAAACGAACGAAACAACATACCGTGAAACCTCTTCATATGTTACATCGAATGATTTCGAGAATTCGACTGTACGAATTTCAGATCAGTGACATGCGCAGCCAATAACTCTCCGCAACAACATACTCAACAACGGTTGACAATAATACAAGTTAGCGACAGCTGTCTTGCCATTAGCATCCATTCATGGTCTACAGATAAATCCGTACTGAATGTGCTAGCAAATCCAAAGGAAGCGTTGAGAAAGATACCAAAGTGAAAAGGTTTGATGGGATTGTATTGGAGCCTTTTCGGGATTGGTATAAGACCAAAATCTTTTGTGGGCCAACTCTCTTCTGCAGCCGCTGCAATTTTTTCGGCAGTTGCTTCGGCAGACTCGCAGTGCGCCCCTAGCTTCTCAGTGCTGGAGGGAGACATTAAAGTCTTGGGTGAGTCTCAGCGACGGTTAGGAACAGCGCTGATGTATGCTCCGACGAGGACTGCAATAAGTATCAAGATACGCAAGACCAGAAGCACTGGGAGTGATGCCGGTGGCTAAGTCATATGGTGTGCACGGAAGGTGCAAAAGTGAGTTTAGGAAACTAAAAAAAACTAAAGAGAAGCTACGCACTTGAGTGTAGGGCACAAAATCCGAACGGCCGAGAAATCGACGAGAGAAAGCACACTAGCTCAAAGCTGTCTGCCCTTTCATACACATGACGTCCTTATAAAGGCTTATAATTTTGTCAAACAGATATTTCCGACTTCGATCAGCAACCGTGACACTCACCGTAAGTACATAAATGAAACGGAAGTCCGTCCTTGGCATTGGTAAGTACGCCAGCGGCCAGCGCTAAGCGCTTACTCTCACGGGTTTAACCAGCTGCGGAATGGCGACAGCTGCACCCTGACCGACTTGAAGCCTCGACATTGATATTGAGTGCGAACCAAGAATATTATATAAATATTACAACAAACTGTTGAAATTCGCCAAACCGCAGTGTCGAGACTTCGTGTGCGCACTATTACGCTTTACCAAGTGCTGAGGCCTGAGGGTTCAAATGCTAGGTCCGAAATACCATTCTCTCATGTGCTTCAAGTTTGAAGAACCGGTACTTATATTTAGTGTGGCTTTAAATTTGGAGACTCTAGATTATATATGTGTCAAGAGTACTGAGCAAGAATGTGAGCTGACATTCAACTCTTTTCACCGCATACTGCAGACCCTGGTAGTGGCCTCACAATTTCCTTGAAGCTGGTCCTTAGCTAGAAGTATTGTAAGTGCACTACATTGTGCAAGTTCGAAGTGTGAGATAGGACTGGAGTGAGTTTCGAAAAAAGGAAATATGTACATCACTACTCCGCTACTGACAGTATGAACCGAATGGGGGTTTATATATGTAAGTAGTACCAAGAGGGTGGCGTTCTAGGGTAGCAATGTAATAAGGGCTATGGTCAGATGTAAAGAAAAGGGTTTTCCGTCGCCAGGGGAATACAATTCCATACAGTATGATCATGACCTGTTAGACCCTGTAAAACAGTCTGCAAGTCTTACAAAAATACGACTGCAGTCGTTATCAGCCATTTACGTAAATGCAGGTGTGACAATTTGCAAAATATAAACCTCCGCGACTAGTACGGATATGCACATGCAATTTCTTTTTGTGTCCATTTATGTCCATTGAGAAAAAATCTCTATGTTGGTGCACATGCATTATCGTGGGACCGACATACCGTGCATTGTGTGACCGATTCCGCAAGCACATGGACAGCGAGGGATCGTTCCATGACTCCAACAACTTGCCAACGGCAGCATATAAAAATCTATGAGAAGCTTCTGGTGATAGACTGTAAAAATTTAATGTCAGTCTGTAACAGCACGAATTCTGTTAACTGCTGCATATAGTGCGCCAAGAATCAAGGTTTTGCAAAGGTGACCCCTGAGTAATAATGATAGTACCCAATAATGAGCAAATTTTTATGACCAGTTTACCATGGGATAACTGTACGAAGTTGGTGACCTAGTGATAATGCATGATCGGATCGATCAAGCATTGCATGTTACAGCCTCTAAGCTAGCAGTATATAATATGTTCAGTACTAGTGTCGAGTTTCGGCTCGAGAAATTTTCAGACTAGCAGAGCCCCTTTGGCGTCCCCTTCTCGCTTAACACTACAGCTAGGTGACCGCATCCTGCGTTCTTAGGGTCGTCGCTCGCGATTACTTGAGACTGCTCAGACGGCAAGATCTTCCAGAATTTCAGCCCGCCTTCATAACCAAATCAGCGATTCCCAGGACAATGGGGACCTCTAAGGCTAAGCACAGCGAGCTGGAAACACATGATACTGTACCTGAACATCAGTGCAGAGAGTGATATAGATTGAGTTTGACGGAACAGGTCTAATACAAAGTAAGAGATGACGACTGCAGCGATGTTTATACCTCCCGCCCCAGTTTGTACTGCTTGGAACACCAAAAGAAGCACAGTCGAAACAACTGCGGACCACCATGGCGCAAGCCGATCGAGCAGACGGCCAAAGAATGGCGCAATAATTACACCCAGCATTCCAATGAGGCCAAATAAGCCGATGATCATGCTGACACGACGGCGTCAGAAAATGAGTGATAATAAGACAGGGTCACTGACGTGGAGTAGCCATATGACGGTCCACCGAGTAGGAACGTGAGGGTCACCCACCAGTTGGTGAAGCATGCGCTGGCAGCCCAGTTTGTGAACATGATCTTGCTGACGAGAGGTTCGGTGACAATATATTTCGCCATGGAACGAAATATCCCGAGGTAGGACAAATCACAGTTCTTGACTGGATAGTCCGGAAGCAACATGTACGCACCGCCCAGGACAATGCTCTGGACGCCAATAGACATACAGTACACAATTCGCCAACCCGTAAAATTGGCCACCATGCCAGACAGTACACGTGCGATGAGGATGCCAAGCAGATAACCTGATAGGACAACTGAAATAGCTGATCCACGACGGGCGGGAGGAGGGAGATCTGCGGCTAGTGGCACGAGAATTTGAGGAGTGACAGACGTCAGCCCAATCAGAAACGAGATTATCTCGAACACCAAGAGGTTGTTCGTGATGGCGAGTCCTATTGTTAAGGTAGTTGAAAACACAACCAAGAGCAATATCAACTGGCGACGGCGAAGCATGTCACCGAGTGGTGTTATGAATAGGAGGCCGATATCAAACCTTGCTCATTGTTGACAGTAGCCGTTTGTAAGGATTGTATAATCTTACCCAGCTTGAACTAGTGTTGGTATTCAAAATTTTGGGGAGGTACTCTGAATAAACAAAGAAATGCCAATGTGTTAGTATGAGCCGAACGCACAACCGCGAGGCCTGCTCATGGCCGTAAAATGGGTCAGAGCGTCTTGTTGTAGGTTGAGTGATTGAGGTTTGGGGAGTGCCTAGGTATGGTTACATTGGTTAGCATAACAAGGCCGCGGTGTATTATATTCTCTTTAATCTAAGTACTCATCCAAACTAATGTCATTATCCACGAAGTGCACCATTGAGAGTAGTGAACTGCTAGATAGGAACATGGGTGAGGTGGAGTGGAACTAGCGAGTCGTCGAACTCGCTAGTACTAGTCATGGCTCGGAGTGCGGTGATAGAATGAATTTAGTGGAGCGGTGCATCCGCGACTATGCCTGCGCGTAGCGAGCAAAGCAAGAAGTGATGAAGAGCACTACGCTACGACAAAGCCCGGACACTAAGTGGCTGACTAAACTATGGTACTACATGGCCAGTAACTCCGCTCCTACCCCCGGGGTCCCCTACTTTAACAGAATGCTGCGGCCACAGACACGGCTCCAGTACTCCTCTAATGTCTGGTCGAACATTGGCAAGTGTGCAGGATGGCACTGGCGTGAATCGTGTGATTCTTCGGGGCGCTAGTTGCTGCAGTGCATCTTAGCGCCCATTGCTTGCGGGTTGTACCACTGGATTTTGCATAACATGGCGACGCCATGATAGGGCTAATCCGCTGTTAAAATTGAATAGTGTGAGTGAAGGTGCATACCTTTAATTGACGAGTGATACCTCTCGATGTACGATGAGCGTGAGTAGAATCACGATCATGATGCATGAGTGCCAATGCCCAGTGTCATGTGAACATCGATGCTCTGCGCCGCTCGGTTGTCAAAAGCTCGTCCTCTCATAATGCCACCTAGAAGTGTCAAGTTCACGCCGTCACGGTTGAAATTGCGGTGAGCCAGCTCGTTGCCCTTTGTGGACCGTGGTAGCTGGACATGCGCGCCATATATCTTCGGGTATACTAAAAGCTTGGAAGACAGTATAGGGCCGGCAATGCAAATCTATTAGTTCCGGTCTTGTCCTTCAGCTATACTTGTGTTTCGTCAGTTAGACTACTATCTGTTCAATTATTCTCTATAGAACTTACCTCGAACTTTCCTACCGCACTGGTTGATGATGTCAAAGGTCCTTTGCAAATCTGGCTGTGCTTCCGATGCAGAAAGACTTAATACAGCAATATAGACATCTTTTGAAACATGTAATCGAAGCGCGAGCACTTTCTGCTTGAAATGGACAACGCACAGACTGTAGAACCGGCGAAGATGATCATAGGCGTTGAATTGGCGTAACTGGCGATGTGGTTCGTCCGCAACAACATACTCAACAGCGGTTGACAATAATACAAGTTAGCGACAGCTGTCTTGCCATTAGCATTCATTCACCGTCTACAGATAAATCCGTACTCAATGTGCTAGCAAATCCAAAGGAAACGTTGAGAGAAATGCCAAAGTGAAAAGGTTTGATGGGATTGTATTGGAGCCTTTTCGGGATTGGTATAAGACCAAAATCTTTTGTGGGCCAACTCTCTTCTACGGCCGCTGCAATTTTATCGGCGGTTGCTTCGGGAGACTGGCAGTGCGCCCCTGGCTTCTCAGTGCTAGAGGGAGACATTAAAGACTAGGGCGAGTCTCGGCGACGGTTAGGAACAGCGCTGAGATAGGCTACGACGAGGACTGCGATGAGTATCAAGATATGCAAGATGACGAGAAGCACTGGGAGTGACTCGGATACCGGAGACTAGGCTAGTCATATGGTGTGCACGGAAGGTGCAAAAGTGAGTTGAGAAAACACAAAGAAACTGAAAAGAAGCTACTACGTACTTGAGCGTAGGGTACAAAACCCGAGAAATCGACGAGAGAAAGCACACAGCTGCCTGCCCTTTCATACACATGACAGCTATAAACCGGTCGCAGTGTTCTGTGACACATTGGTTTCTGGTACCCTGTTATCAGGACCTTACTCGGTTCCCTCGAGCAATTTCAAATCCTGAGCCAACAAAGTCTCACGGCATGAACTCCGCTCGACATGTTCGCTCCAGTTAACGTTTAATGTCGTCGAGCGGTATATAACGGCCTATAGTATCCTCGAGCTCACTTCCCGGCACCGCATGCTCACTGCTCTGTGACTTTTGTGGTCATTGACTTTCCTTCGTTAATGAATACATTTTTATGTTACAAAGTTGACAGATTTACCAGTCCGTCTCTCGATCGCTTCAACTTGAAGTTCGCCTGCCAAATCACTCCGAGATCGACCAGTCTTACTACGTCAAGCACCTTAACGTCTCAGAGACGTCACTAGTAAGACACACGAGTCTAACTTTTTATCGGGTAAACCCGTCGTAGACTCGTAACTAACACTATCTTCGAAGCTTGCCCAAAGAAGCCCACAGATAGTTGTGCACACCTCGCACATCCTGTTCAATATATGAGCAACGAACGGATTGCAGGATGACAGGTGTAAACGGGTGGCTTGTTGCATTGGGAGTGGTTTTTATCCCAATCAGTTCAAACCACATCTCATGTGGATTGTATAGGGTTGCAAATTGTAGCTGGGTAGTAGTCTCGTAAGTTCCTTTCCGGCAAATTTCCTGCCTATGAAGTGCATCATCGGAGCTCATGTTGAAAAGGATCGCTTCAGCGATGTGTGTGCCACTATCGCACCGGTCCGCCGTTTCTAATTCTCGAAGGTGTGAGATAGCGCCGCGCTTGTATATGATACACAATTGAAAACATACTTGTCCATGTGGAGTTACAAGCATGAAGCTGTGAACCACAAACAAAGACACTTGCCACACCTCTTTGCGCTCCATCCCTTCGCCGCGCTGCTTTGTCCACTACCACTCAAATAGTCTCATGGAGTGGCGTATTTTCAACACCCCCACTTCAAGTCATCTGGTTACAAGATATGGATATGCTCTCTCATTCGCGCGAGCCAAGACAAAACCTAAAACTGCGGGTAAGCGGAGGCAATGCGTCGCCGTCAAAATTCACTGAGCCATCCAAGCCCAAACGGAATGACATTGGTATCGAGCTCCGTTCCGTGCCTCTACCAAAGTATCGAGTTGTGTTCGTCAGCCCTCTTGGTAAGTCCTCGTTTTCATCCGAAATACCAGTGCCTCTCATAAAGTTCAGTTGGTGCAAGGTTCAAAATAGCAAAAGCGTTCTGTCCAACGCCGGCTGACAGGCATCCGAATGACAACAGAAAGTTCCGTGAGTAGCCGACGGGACAGAAACATTATTTATTCATCCGCTGATCTCAATTCGCGGACGCAGCTCGCATCAGGGAATGTATAGTAGACGGCGAACCGATAACGATCGAGCTGTTCGACACCCTCGGTCCAGGCGATGCGGATCATTACTTGTGCGTTACGTCTGTTTCGTTCCTGTTAACATCGACCAACATGAGATATATATAGCGAGAAAGACCTCATGAACGCATACATTGAGCAAGGAGACGGGTTTCTTTTCATTTACTCCGCCGAAAATCGCAAGTCGCTGGAGCTGGCGAAAGAGAATTATGGATGGGTCGTGAGGAGGAAGCAGCATGAACGGGACAATGTAACGAACCCTATTCCCGGTATGCTTGTGGCGGTAAGGGTCGAGGACGAATACAAAGCGACGTGGATGGAAGTGACTTGGGAAGGTGAGACCGTTGAAGTGCGCTAAGATTCTCTAGATGGCTGACAGATGGCGTGGAAGAGGGAAACAAACTCGCGGAGGAAATGAATTTAGCGTTCATACAGGTATCGCTCAAGAACGGACGCAATGTGGAGGAGGCGTTTGTCCATATAGCTAGACTGATCAAGAAGTACCAGGAGAGGGTGAGTCGAAAGATTGCTGCACGTGACATAAGTGACAACGCATGAACAGAAGAAGCGCATTTCGTGTATGCATTGGGCGTACTACGACCAGAAGATACTCGATGACCGTTATGACAAAGTGCAGGGAAGGAATGAATGCAAGCACGTAACAACTACAAGAGAGAGGGAAGTGGTTGGGAAAGTTGATTTTGATGCTGAGTTCGAGAAAGAGCAGCGAACCGGATGCTGCGCAGGGTGTATAATTACTTGAGGGGACAAGCGATGCTGACCATTGTATTTACCAAGTTCTACTGTTGTGGCTCGGAAACCCCCGCGTGATCGAAACATTACGTGGAATAACGGTGTTTTTTTTCGATGTCTTGCTCCAGATAGCGGTCCTCAAGAAAGGAATTAGCGGTCCGACCTTGAAACAGAGATATGCTGCTCAGTGGAGTGTTGCTTGTATAACTGACACGATGAAATGAATTTAACAACGAAAGGTTGCCACCAAGTTACCATCTGCCAGTGGTCTTCCACGGTAAATAGCCCGTTCGATTAGCTGGAGAAAGAAAGGAATAAATCTGGCTTGGCGACCATCGGACCACGTAAAGAGGAGGTCATCCGTGTTGCGCAGCTTGATCATACCGGCTGAGAGCATTGCACGTGGGGAAGGGAAGTAGAATCTCCCCTAGTATGGATAGATGGTAGAGTCTTGGTCAAATTCGCGATATTCCATTGACAGTAGTCCTTTCCTGCAGGCTATCGTGAAAAAGAGGTCAAGCTGCCACATCTACTGCATTCAATGATGTTGCCCAACTTGAGGAGATTTGGTTGAATTAAGTCAAGTTGACCGCTGGCAAGACCATTTAGGTTAAAACGATTTCTTTGCGCGTTGACCCGAGCACGCTGGCAGAAGGCACCATTGTATATTGCTGATATGCATTGAATTCGATGGTGAGTTTTGAATGGTTGGTCACTTGGTTGGTTGGTTGGTTTTACATAAATTTGAGAGTCGGTCGCGAGTCGGCGACACTTGCTTCGGGCTCCGGACCCGGCTGAGATCAGATTAGATTAGTAATCTCACACGACTGAATTCTTCCTCATACTTATAACACGCTGTCTTCTCGATTTCGCTTTTTGAAAGGCCTACGGGCGATTCCTCTCGCAGCCGCATCTACTTCCATTCCAGATCGCACGTACTCAAAAATGGCACCACTCACAAACAGTAAAGTCCCAAAGAGCACGACGATGCATTCAAAAGTCGTCCGTATCATTCATTTCGGTTCCATCATTCCCCAGCGCTCACCCATGCGCAGGTCATCATCGGCTCAGGTCCTGCAGGTCACACCGCCGCCGTTTATCTCGCGCGCGCGAACCTCAGCCCTGTCCTCTTCGAGGGTTTCATGGCAAACGGTTTCGCTGCTGGTGGTCAGCTTACGACGACCACGGATGGTACGTAGTACACGCCTTATTCCACCCGTGTCTTTTCTATATCTTTTCTCTCACCACAGTCGAGAACTACCCCGGCTTTCCATCCGGCATCCTTGGCCCTGAGCTCATGGACAAATTCCGCGAGCAGTCCATTCGCTTCGGCACCCAGATCATTACAGAGACCGTTTCCAAGATTGATCTTTCTGCACGCCCGTTCCGCTACTGGCGAGAGAGTCGGGAACATGAGGAACCAGAAACTGCTGACACGATTATCATCGCGACTGGTGCAAGCGCGAAGAGACTAGGACTCAAGGGCGAGGTCACATACTGGCAAAGCGGCATCAGCGCATGTGCAGTCTGCGATGGTGCCGTCCCCATATTCAGGAATCAACCATTGGCTGTTATCGGTGGTGGTGACTCTGCAGCGGAAGAAGCTACGTGTAAGATCTCTCAACTTCCCTCTCGTTATGATACCGAAGGCCAATCACCACACCCTTAACAGATTTGACAAAGTATGGCTCTCACGTCTACGTCCTGGTCCGCCGTAGCGAACTCCGCGCTTCTAAAATTATGGCCAAGCGCCTTATGAACAACCCCAAGATCGTACGTTCCGTATATCCTCATACCCACCACTTACTACAACTCACACTTGCACAGAGCATCCTATGGAACACCGTCGCAACCGAATGTCAAGGCGACGGCGACCTCCTCAACAACCTCCGCATCAAAAACGTAACGACAGGCGAAGAGCGCGATCTCCCCGTGCGCGGACTGTTCTATGCGATTGGACATGAGCCAGCTACGGCCCTAGTGCGTTCACAGCTGCAAACAGACCCCGATGGTTATATCATCACTGTCCCTGGAACGACGCAGACAAGTGTCAAGGGTGTGTTCGCTGCTGGTGATGTGCAGGATAAGAGGTACAGACAAGCTATTACTAGTGCGGGAAGTGGATGTATGGCTGCACTCGAGGCAGAGAGGCTTATTGCGGAGGAAGAGGAAGGTATAGAGGAGGATTAGAAGGTCAGAAGAACTTGGATGTATACCAACGCAATGATTTTTGCTACCCATTATGCAAGCAACGGTGTTGTAGATTGGAGTCTGTGTGCTAGCGCCCCATATCCTCAAGTGCCCAAATCAGTTTTAGAGCGATTTGCCCTGCGCTGCTACACGCGATAGCAGGGCCTGCTATCATCTCCATGACATGTCTATAGGAGAAAGTGCGGCGTGCGCCACCAACGCGCTGCGCATATGATACGGTTGATACGGTTGGTAGAGGAACCAATCTGAAGTCTGAGGCCGGCTCAGTCATCCCTCATGTCAGTCGACATACTCATTGCGTCGGATGAGAAGCAGTCAGTGCAGAATAATATCCAGTGGCCACTGCGACCAACTCCAAGCACCGTGACGGTTAGAATTAGGGTTAGGTCACTTAGAGGGTTACTCAATCGTTTGCTGAACAGAGTCGTGCGAAAATAAAATTTGACGGCCAAGTCGCGCTCTTCTACAAAGTACCGTATCACCCTTCCAGACTCACGCTGATAAGCATATATATAATCGTGCGCTCTGTCGTCATAAGCATCTGCGTAGGATAACCAGATTCAGCTTCATCCAACACGCTGAACCTCAGAAGTAGTGCCTAGGCCTCGCCTTGGACATACACAACTTAGCAGCTGTGGAGGCTGTGCCTAATACAGCAGGAACGACCGTCTTCCTTCTATTAGGGCCTGCCTGTAGAGGACTAGAGCCTCCGTGTGTTTCAAGGTGAATCAAAATCGTTTAGCATGCCTCCAGGTGTGAACTTCATCTGAGATTGCTGACGTTGTCTTCCATCAGGCTCAAGGGCACATTTCTCTTATACGTCATGATGTCCCACATCTATGCCACGCCGCAGCGGAAACACGGACACTGATATCATTGATGAACTTTACTTCATCCGTCAGTGTGTGCTTTAGCAATGATCTCACCGAATGGTGTGTGAAGTGTTGGATCAACTCTCTAGTTATCTAGCAGGGGTGGCATGGTGAGTGCATGGATGATCTGGATTTCACATGAGTGTGCGCTTAGGATCAGTCAGTTATGATCAGCTGCAGTAATGCACATCAGTAACGAATTGAATTCATCTGGATATCACTTTCTCGGATCTGCGAGGATGGCACTTTCGCCAGTATTGCTATCTCAGGCTGCTACTTGTATCCTACGTGGGCGCGTTGTAGTCCTCAGCATCCAATAGCAGGGGACATGCCTCGTGTCAGAGACTTCTTTGGTCTTTGTCTTCGAGTCAGTGAATCATAAATTCGTTTGTATATCCAGGGTTCTGAATCGTTCTGTATCCGCACTCAAGGCTTCATTTCCCATCCTACGGATCCAACACCCCAATCGTGTACGTTGGTTGGTCCAAGTTGACTAGACGTGCCGTCATTGCGCAGCGTATACATAACGGACACCATTAATGGTAACATGTATGGTCGTCCTTATACATCGGCCAATCACAGACTACCTTATCATTCTACGCACAGTAATCAGCACATCACTCAGAATGGGATCTTATGCGGAAGAACAAAACCTCTGCTACTGTGTTGCGTGCTCTCGTGACAGTTCACAAGGTGCTGCACCAACGTATGTACACAAGATCTGACGCAGAAGGACGCATACGATATTTGGACGGTTACGAGGCAGCCTTATCAGGTCTAGACCAAAAGTGGCGCTTAATGAATCTAATCTCGCTGTTTACTTTGGTCCATGAAATTATGCGAGGCGCAGTGGAGAGGTTTGGAGGAAGGTCCAATACCGATGTTACGGAGTCTATCACTTGGACGGAGGGTTGATTGAGGAATGTCGAAGCTGAATCATATCCAAAACTAGTGAGTGCCAAATCGTACAGAAGTTGACGCACTTTGATAAGCAGATTCCATAATAGGTTAATTTCCGCGGTGCATCAAACCTTCGTGCCTGCAGGCATGATCTTGTTTGAGAGATGAGTTGTTTTTCGAGCAAATGCCCGTGTACAGCCTCAATTATCGTATCGATGGCACACCTTCTACAGCGTGTTGATGCTTCTGCGACTTTGGAGAACGAGCGCTTAGGGAAGCCTTATTAACCTGGCTGAATTTCACCGTCACTGCACTCTTCTTTCATCCTAACATCATGTCTGAGCTCCCAACGGACCATTCTGGTCTGGAATATATCATCAATCATGTTTTTTGTCCTCTCAAATTGCCGCAAGCGAGCGACCATACCCTTCAGAACGACTTGGCCTTATCTCAGGCGGTCTTGGATGCTGCTCAAGCTTTCAATGACCAGCTGCCGTCCGATAAGCAACAGCTTTGGGCGAGCAGCTTTAAAATGCTTCAGAACCTCCAAGATTCAATCAGATTCAGCGTAATGTCTCTAAAGGAAGTTGAATCTCAGATCAATGCCATGGACGACGAAGGTCTGTTATTTTCATCTCATTTACATTTCCCCCCCGTGCTGAGTATCATTTTAAGATGTCCTGGTATTTATGATTCGCGCGCAAAATGCTGCGGTGGTCATGAGAAAACTTGAATCTGAGACCATATTTGAATCATTCGAGATCTCTCCTGACCCCGCCGCAGTGATGGGCGCACAGGGAAAGCTGATCTGTTCGTATCCTGGACCTGCTATCACGGTCCCAAACACGATTGCCAATGACGCTACCTTTTCCGCCGAGCTGGCGAATTTTCTCGTTTGCATGGATCAAGATGTCCTTGATGCGGCAGCGACGCGCAGAAAAGCTGATTCCACTGTTCCCGAAGAGAGGGACACAACTCACCCCCGGTATATCACCGAACTCCTGACCGGTATACTTCGTGGCCTCGGGAGTATCGCTGATGTTCCTCGCATCCGCAAGCGCATCGGAGATGACGTGCTGTGGAACAACACGAAATTGCCGTGGAGGCGGTCTCCGCTTTGGCTTGTCATTCGTGTTGCTTTACAGACGACTCTGGAGCGCAATGCTCTCGGACGAACGGCATATAAATCATTCATGCTGTTCTTGATGGCTAGAGTCACGGCCCTTGCCATCAACTACAACTTGTCGAATGACATCCTACACTTTATATCGGCAAAGATTGCACGCCGTCTTTTCAAGCTTGGAACCTCTGCTCCTCTAGAGTTATCACAGACGGTCGTTAACGTCACGAGTGACGTTAAGAGTATCTTAGAGGAAAGATGGAGATCTGTTCAAGACGTGCAGCAGACCTCACCACCTTGGGCTCCCGAGGCCCTCTCGATCTTGCAGGATACTCACCTCTCCTTGAACACGAGTCGAGAGTACATACACCAAGCTTTGCTGAACCAGCATTCGCCTTACCCATCAGCCCCATTCAACCCCAGCCACCGCGCACGTGGGACAATCGATGATTTCCTTGACGCTGATGCTAGCTTCCTGATAGCTGCTCATGCTGCAGAACCATCCCTTTCCCTGATAGACTTTGAGATGATCATTAGATCAGGGATCGATGACTGGGTGGCGCGTGTTTCATATCAGAGCATCGATTCCGCATGCATCTCGATTGAGGCATGTGCCTCCGCATACTCCTCGCGGGCACTGGAAGCTTACCAGGGAAACCCGGAGAATACGTCAATAATGCTTCTCACTCTTTTCGAGCTCTGGGTAGCCATGGATAAGATCGTTGTTAAGCAAATCCCACTCCTAGCAAAATATCCCCCCGAAGTCCCAATGACCCTTTGGAAGAATCTCCTGATCCGAAAATCTTCAGCCCTTGATCGTTTGAAGCAGTTGCGCGCCTACTTGGAAGCGCGTCATTGCCAGGCTTCCAACTGTCTGTCGGTGTTCTCGTCCACCAACGATGACAAGTCGTTCGAAGTGCAGTATTTTTACCAGTCATCCATGTTGCAGAGTTTGAAGCTGAAAATCGAGGCGGATGCTCGGGAAGAGCGGGAGAAGAAGTTGGTTGAGCTTCGGACCCTCAACGAGAGGTATGCTTCCCTCCAGACAAGCGCAGCAAGCTTATCACATGAGTACCGTGTCAACTCCTGGGGGTATGAGTACCACGTTCGGTGGTGTTCCAAATGTTGCCTGGAGGAGCAGATGCGATCCCTGAACATTACAGTTCACGAGTGGCCGCTACCGCGGCATGAACAAGAGGCAATCGTGGTTGTATTCGAGCTAGCATGCCCAACTGCGTTCGACATGTGGAGATCTATGACATTCCATATCCTCGTCGACATCTGCGCTCCAGAACAAATTTTGTCCACTCCTCCCTTTATCACCCTGCCGAATTATGACGCCTTACAGCCATACCGCAAATGCCATCCAAGGCAAAGGCTGACTTTGGCGTCAGACGCCAAACCCTTCGCTGCATGCCATTACCATTACCAAAATATTCCCACGGTAGCCGACTGCATCTGTGTGAACAACGGTCTCGTATTTCAGCCTTTTGATATAACCACAGAAGCATGGATAGCCAACGCGCCGTTGCACTGGGATTCCAGCAAACTGTGCACTTTCCTTCTTCCCAAGGGACCGTACTATGATTTGCAACGGTACCTTGCAGGAACGCCACATACCTCAAACGAGGTCATCGCCAATCAGGCGGATTGTCACAAGGATATGACCATTCACGAATTCATCGCTTTCGGAACTTTACGGAGCGGACCACTACTGCAATGGATGAATGTGCTACGTGAACTCCGTGCGAGGACACTCAATTTTCGATGCGAGGAAGTCCATCTGTTATTAGCGCAAGCCGTTTCACAGGTTGGCCCATGTTCGTCTAACGAGGGCCTTCCATGGCACGAGGAACTAAACAGCATATCCTTCCTTAGCGCACTGCTCGGAGAGCTGGAGTTCTTGATGGCAAGCGTTGAAGAAAATTGGTTGGAAGGTATCACGATAAGCACCGTCATCATGATTGTGTGCCGTGTCTTGTCCTCGACACAGGAAGAGAGTATCAAAAATCTGGGATATTTGTTGCTTCGAAGGATACGAACAGCAACCTTTACATTGCTGGGTCAGCTCTCACGGAAAGTGCAAGCCAGCGACGATGAGATGGCCAGTCGGGATTTGCAAGGACGTCTTCGTGATATGGCTGCCATCTGTCGGAGCACCTTTGATGTTGACGAAAATCCTTCGCTACTCTTGATATCAAATGACGATATCAAGATATTTGCGTACTGTGCGGCCATGATTTACGACAATACTCCAAACCAACTGGGCAATCTGTCACAACATTCCAAGCTACTGCTAGAGCGAGACAGGAGATGTTGTCACGCACTAGAAGATGCTGTTCGTCAATATGCAGAGATTCACAGGGAGGGTCTCGATTGTGCGGTGGCAGAAATATGGGGCAGCTACAGACGAGGAACTCCTTGGAGGGCCCTGCCGGCTCCGAGTTCTCGTTGGCTTGTGACGCAGACTGCGCCTTCCTGTTCTCAATTACCGCAAGCCGTACACTATAACTTAATTGATGGGTGTTTGCTTGTTGATGGGAAGTCGCTGGGTAGGCTTCCGTCGATTATAGTGCAACATCCCACCTACCAGGCAATTTTCGGTGATGTTAGCTTTTGAAAGTTGCGACTCTGTTAACGCACGCTGACTCATTAATTGCAGCAAGTTTTGGACATTGTTCCAGCTGATATTCCTGGAATGGAGTATGCAACACGCGGGAACCCCCACGACCATCAGGTTAGTCACCCTTATTGTTATCATTCAGCAGCTAAAATAATACACTCACCTTCCAATGAAGGTATCTTTCGCCCTCCGTGACTCAAACGATCTCATCATCCGCGCGAAGCATGTCGAACAAGGCTCGCCTATCCTTCAACTCATTCCGAGCCATAAATTTGTGGGGGACCTACCGAAGACCTTGATAGACGGCCATACTCATTGGCTCAACCTGGACACAAACGAAACAGAGATCCGGCCAGCGGAACATGCGTGGCAGTCTTCACTTGAAAATTGGGTCCTGCGATTTGCTGTTTCGGGCCCCTCGACACTGCAGAATGCCGGCGGTGCCACTCTTGTCGACGTACGTAGCCACACGTGGGACATGATCTCCAAGAGGATGCGTCCTCTGGAGGATGCCTGCTACATCGTGGTCACATGCAACAAAGGTTCCGGTAACACTCACTCGTTGACGGCTTATTTACCTCGATATGGTCTGGAATTCTTCATCGACGAGGATGGGGAAATGCAGTCCCGTAACATGCGCAACATGGTCGTTGATGATAACCAGTCTACTGGAACGATGTTGGGATTAGTCAATCAACTCGTCATGCGTCCGAAGTCGCAAATCACAGACGAGCATCCCCGCACAGTCATCATCCCAGACGGTCGCGTCTCATACGCCGTTGATAAGCATCACGTCCGGGTTACCATTATTGCTGAAGGCGCCCGAGTGGCGTACCACTTGTACAGGGTTGATACAGATCTATGCTGTCTCACTGGGCTTGTGGGTCTGACGAACAAGCTTTATCAAGCGCTCCTCCATGCTATTACCAGTGGCTGTCTCCCTGATCCTCTGACGGGTCGAACAGGGACAGAGGAGGCGTTGCATCTCATGCATTCTGCGGCTTGCCGGTCTTTCATGAAGCTTCACCCTCGCGATACTGATATTTTGCGCGAGATCAGTTCATTGTCAACCATGCGCGTCTGGTATCCCGCACATCTTCAGAAGATGCAGAAAGTTTCATGGTCATGTCTTGCATCCCTCGCACAACACCACGGTTTTCACCCAGCTGCGAAATCTATTATGGACTATGGCGTGCAGCTTTCAACTTTTTCAGCAGGATCTTCAGACCTTCATCTCACATTTGATCTTCCGCCATTCACCAACCACCTTCTCGAGCGCGCATCCATCCGTGCCTCTGTGGTCTACCCTGACCAGTTTTCTCTTCGACTTCTGCTCGGTGACGCAGATGTCATCTATGCTTCGCGTGATGTACCCGATAAAAATGCAGAAGAGATGGCATTTCACACCGCCTTCATGACACACCAGTGGCCAAGCAAGCTTCCGGTGCAACAGGATATCCTCGGTCTGTTTACTCGGTGGAAGAATGTCCAGGGTATTGGTGAACCGTCGCTCAGCCTGCGATACTCCAGACACTGGCTTCGGCCATTTCATGACATCTTCCTTTCAGCGTACGACCGCTGTCGTATTGCTACGAAGGAGGACACATTCAAGCTCGTCTTCACCCTGGCTTCAGTATCATATGGCTTGTTGGATGAGCATGCACTCGTCCCGACACTCCTAGCCTTCGCCACAATTCCCGAAATTCGCACCCTGGGTGACCCACCGGAGTTCGCTTCATATGATCTCTCGGATAATTTCATGCCTTCCAGTGCGATGTTGGACACCATCATCGGTTCGTGTGTCAAAGATTATGAAACCAGCCAGGAGAGATACCTACCTGCAAGCAGCTGGGAAGATGAACAGGCTGTTGGGAGGCGTCGTCATTCAGCGTTTGAAGATAGGTGTCGCTCTGAAAAGCATCTCATTCTCAACAAAGTTCAGGACGCTTGGCCGTGCAAAGATCCTCCGGCACTGACTACGCTGCAAGTGAACTGCTACGACCTCAATGAACTGCCGGAGAAACTTCGCCCAGTATATCGCAGCTGTTGGGCAAACCGTTGTCTGAAGCAACACTTGGATGTCCTGCAAGATACCCTCAACCGGTTCTATGCCACTCATCCTCCGTCGAAACTACCCTCGCAATATGATCTTGATTTCCATTCTAAAGACTCGGATGTCGCTCCACCAACACCGTCCGTTGATGCTAATTACCTCTTCGCTAGAAACCCGCCTGTTATATGCATGAATTGGTCTTCCCATGTTCTGCCCAATTCCGATTGGAGAGATTTAGTATCTCCAGACGCCATAGTCACAGCGAGGTTGCAACAACTTATCAACGACTTTCGCGACCGAGGAAGTAACAAGTTCCGCCGTAACTACGCCAATGATCTTGACCGGAGCAGATCGGTGTTCTGCGAAGAAAAGCCTGTTGCTTTACCAGATTCTGCGCCGTACACGACGGAAGTATTGCTGGAGTACCATTCTCTTCATAGGCGGCAATTCCAAGATGCACTTGCATCTATCGTACACGTCCTCTCCCCTGTCTCTGTTACCGAGAATGCGTTGTATAATGCTGGGTTGTGGCCTCGAGTCACGCCAAATCTCCTCTTCACTCGCATGGCTTCTGCATCAGGAAGTTGTTTGGGGAAGACGTGGCGTGCGGCTCTTGTCCGCCTGTCGCAGATGCTTTTGCAACTGCAACGCTCGCGAAGACTATTTATGTTTGCCGCTAGCAAAAACTGGGGCGAGTTCTTCAAGGAATTGGAGAATAAAGAATGCGAGCGGTCTGATTCGGAGCTGTACCCTTTATTTATTTTTTATTCAGTTTTTTTACATCAGAATGAGTCCTTTGGGGTCGTAGACCCTATATTGGACATGTTTCATCTTTTCCTTCGTATATATGTGGTTGGTATGGCACTGTTGTGTTTATGTGATTCGGACAGGTACGATCTGTACCCTGATTGGCTTTTAATACAGGTATGTTTCAGAGAGATGTTATTCGTCCACGATTATTGATGACAAGTGTTGCAGATTGAAAGTCAGTTCTTGGCACGGCCTGTCCAAATGAAGGTTGCGCGGGAGATGATGTCGCCCTGCAGGGGGGGAAATACTTCTCTCCAACTGAACATGGGCGAAGGGAAATCCTACGTGATTGTTCCTCTCGCAGCAGCCGCACTTTCTGACGGCCACAAACTGGTCCGAGTAATCGTGCTCAAGTCGTTGTCTGTTCAGATGTTCCAGCTCCTGGTTGAACGACTAAGCGGCCTTGCACAGAGGCGTATTTTCTATATTCCATTCTCCCGCGCTCTTTCCATCGACTCATCAAAGGTGCAAATATATCGTGACCTGATGCAGGAATGCATGGACACCAAGGGCATCTTGGTCGTGCAACCAGATCATATTCTGTCGTTCCAGTTGATGGCTGTTGACTCTCAGCTGCTCCCTCAGTCTGAAGCTGCTGAAGATATACTGCAGACTCAGCTGTGGCTGGATAATCATACACGCGACATTCTGGACGAAAGCGATGAAATTTTGCACGTTCGCTACCAACTGGTGTACACCATCGGCCTCCAAAGGTCGCTTCAGGGTCATCCCGACAGGTGGACAACTACGCAACAACTTTTGAGTCTTGTCGCAAAGCACGCCACTCGGCTCAAGAGCGAATTTCCCTCTCACTCGGAAGTGTCTATTCACCCGCACGGAGTGTTCCCCTTCATTCGAGTTTTGCACCCCACAGCAGGTGAAAAATTAGTCCAATGGATCGCACAGGATGTCATTAGCGGGGCGCTTGAAAACATCAGCTTCGACCAAGCACCTCTCTGCGTCAAACAAGCAGTCCACCAGTTTATTGCAACTGAAAATATATCCAACACTTATATCAGCTTGGTGGAGGAGCGCTATAGACATACCACCGTCTGGCCCGGCCTTCTAGTCTTGCGTGGACTACTGGCATGTGGTATCTTGGTGTACGCCCTTAAAGAACGTCGCTGGCGCGTGGACTATGGTCTCGCCCCCAATCGAACGATGTTAGCCGTTCCATTCCGCGCTAAAGACATGCCCTCTCTGCGAGCAGAGTTTGGCCATCCGGACGTTGCTGTCACCCTCACGTGCATGTCATACTACTATGCGGGCCTCACGCTCCAGCAGCTGATGTTATGCTTCGAGCTCCTGCTGAAGCAGGATAATCCCGCCCTCGAGTATGAATCCTGGGTACTTGGACTTCAGTCCGTCCCAGAAAGTCTACGGCACCTTAGCGGAATCAACACAGAATCTGCAGACCAACTCAGCGACCTTCAGCAACTGTTCGCATCCAACAAGGCAGTCGTAGATTTCTACCTGTCTCGAGTTGTTTTCCCCAAGGAAGCCAAGGGATTCCCCAGTAAACTCACCTGCTCCGGATGGGACCTCGCTCAAGAAAAGAGTCATCTCACAACCGGCTTTTCTGGTACAAACGACAATCGATATCTACTACCGAGCTCAATTGTGCAGCACGACCTTGACTACCAACGCAGCACAAATGCCCGAGTCCTAGCCTTTCTTCTGCGCCCAGAAAACAATTCCTACAAATGCATACCACCCGGCCAAAAGGTGCATGACTTCATTGATTCTCTCGTCGCACAGACCCCCGAGGTCCGCGTGCTCCTAGACGTGGGAGCGCAGATGCTGGAATTGAGGAATCAGGAGTTGGCCGAAGCATGGCTTCGAGCCACGCCCAGCGCCCAAGCTGCAGTCTTCGTGAATGACGACGATGAACTCGTTGTTGTCAGTCTAGATGGGACAGTCGAGTCCCTTGTGTCGTCTCCCTTCGCACAGCAGCTTGACCAATGCGTGGTATATTTGGACGACGCCCATACGAGGGGAACAGATGTCAAGCTGCCTTACGGTTTCCGAGCTGCTGTGACGCTTGGCCCCAAAGTCACGAAAGACCGCCTAGTGCAAGGTTCGTGATTCCAGAGCTCGTGCATATCGGTCTTGATATTAACCCTTGGCGAAGGATGCATGCGAATGCGCAAGCTGGGCAATGGGCAATCAGTGACGTTCTTAGCTCCAGCTGAAGTTGACCGGAGCATTCGTTTGACAACTCAGAAAGCTGATACCGACGGTGTTGATGTGTCAGATATCTTGCACTGGGCGATGCTCGAAACTTGCAATGATATTGAGATGCGTACATTATCCTGGATCCAACAGCGATCGGATTTCAATAGACGACATTCCGCATGGTCTCAATTCTCTCACGCTCCTACCACTTCGATTTCTACCCTGAAGTCAGCCTGGTTGCAGCCAGAAGAACGTTCATTAGAGGAATTGTACGCACCACGCAGTTCTTCAGAGGTATCCCAGGTTTTCGATCCAGACATCCAAGAGAAGTGCGAGGAGCTCGGAATTTTATCAGCTCCCGAGAGGAGGATGGACGAGGAACAAGAAAGGGAGGTAATTCATGAAGTAGAGAGAGAACGTCAAGTGGAAAGACCGCCCAAGGTGAAACCTGCAGCCCAGAGCGTGCACGTAGACGTTCGTCAATTCGTGGAGTCTGGTCAAATTGTCGCGGATTCTCCCGCGTTCATTCAAGTGCTATCCAGCCTTGTCGACACTACTGCTGAATTTGATGAGCGCGATCAGTGGGCACACAATATTTTAGTCACCCGCGACTTCGCTCGTACGGTGGGGACTATCCCTGGCATCCAAGAAGTGGATGATTATCTGCGGCCCGTCAATTGGATTGTATCCAGTGACGTCGGCCACCCAACCCTGGTAGTCATGAGCCCGAATGAAGTGGACGTACTACTACCTGATATCCGCACGAGCAAGGTAGTTCACCTGTGCATCTACACTCCTCGCATCATACAAACGATGCAGGCATGCGACAACCTTCGACTCTACTGTGTTCCTTCGGCCCCACGGTTGACACCATCAGAACCGCTCATCTGCCAGCTCAACCTTTTTGCGGCCCAACTCTATTTCTCCAATTACAACACGTATCTGCAAACTTGCAGCTTCTTAGGACTCAACGCGCCAGATTTGGGGGGAGAGGATTTAGTAGTTGACAGTGACGGGTTCATCGAGATGCACAATCGCCCTTCTGCGAGAGCATCATGCATGTTCGAGCGATCCCAGCTTCCTCCACTGAAGAAGTTGTTCGGGATGAGAAGGAAAGGCATGGGATATCTACCAACTCATCTCGGAAAGATGCTCAATGGTCGCATTCTGACCGAGAAGGACTTTGTCAACTGAATCCTAATCGCACCTTGGTCATATACCAAGTGGCACCCCGACTAGGACCCCGAAGAAAAACCAACCAACAAAGCGCCCTAAGGCGACAAAAGACGCCCAACGGCGCACAGCAAACCCCACCCAACTCCAAAACCAATAAAACACCCTTGCAAATGACTATACCAAAGAAAATCACCAACAAAGGTACTGGAACGCCGACAGAAAGCACCTCACCCTCAGCGACGATCGCTACCACACGTCAAACCAGGAGATCGAACCTCTCCCAGGAAGACATCGAGGCGCTACCAAGTACCATCAAAAACATCGAAAATGCAGAAGAATACCTAAACAAAAATCTATTGTGCCATGTCGACGAACCATTTACACTAACCCACTTAATCTCAGTAATGTTCCATATCACCCAACTCAAGTCAATTCCCCTACCGGCAGTAGAAGCCATTAGAGCGGTAGCGTACATAATGAAAAAGCACGAAGCAAACGAAATAGCGGAAAATATAACTAACCAAATCACTAACAACCTCTCTCCCAGAATCGCAGAACATGTCATAGCAGCAATTGCCCCGCACGTAGCAAAGATCTTATCAACATCGGAAGGACTAGACAACACGCTGAAAGAAGCAGAAAGATTAAAGGCAAAGATGGAAAGGGAAATAGAAGAGAAAAGAGACGATACGGCGACAGCAGCAGAGCGCTTTGAAGAAGCAGCAGACGCCCTACACGAATCCATGAACAACTGCAGCAAAACACTGAAATCCTTCGAACCAAACCTCACCAAGGCCCAGGAACGCATCAACGAGTTATCCCAGCAGCTAACATCCAACGCCAACACATCTCAGAACGCCAACACACCACCCTCCATTCAGCAACAACAACAACAACCCCAGCAACCCTCATACAGCTCAGTTACTGCAGCCAATCTCCCACCATCAATAGATAAAGCAGTAGCAAGAGCAGCGTTACGAGCCTGCCAAATCATCCTCGACCCCCTTCCGGGAGGAAACGTCTTCACGCCAGAAACCACCCACACAGACGTTGTCAAACTGATCAAGGACGCCCTAGCCAACATCAAAGACGACTCATCCCCACAAGGAGACGTCCGATCTGTGACCACCTTCCGCAACGGAGGCCTCCTAGTGGAACTAGACAATGAAGCCCTAGCGACATGGATCAGGAAACCGATCAACAGCAAAGCACTCACCAGCAAGTTAGGCCCAACAGTATCGTTCCGCAGTAGCGCTTTCCCAATAGTCATTGAATACTTACCTATCCGCATACAGATTGAAAACGAACAGTTCCTCAGAACGACCGAGAAAGAAAACGACCTCCCAGAAAACTCCCTCATCAACATCAAATGGATCAAACCGGTCAACAGACGCACCCAAGTTCAACAGAAAGCCTTCGCCATCCTACAAGCAATAAACGCTCCAACGGCCAACGACATCATCAAGAAAGGACTCTGCATCCAAAACGAACGCTTCACCATACGCAAAGACAAGAAAGAACCAATGAGATGCGCCAAATGTCAAAACTTCGGCCACATAGCCAGAAACTGCAAAGCGGCCTCAGACACATGCGGAACTTGCGGCGCTCAACACCGGACCTCAGAATGCCACGCCCTCAAGACCGAATTCTGCTCCAACTGCAACAACGACCAACACACCAGCTGGAGCCGCAAATGTCCAGAGTTCAAACGACGCCTCGAAATCCTTAACGATAGCTACCCAGAAAATAGAATGCCCTACTACCCTACCGAAATCCCATGGACCCAGATAGCGCACCCCCAGCAAATACAAACCGCCGCCATCTCCCTCCCGCCCCGCCCCCCGCCCTCATCAAACACACAATCGAAGTTCTCCACCCGCCCACTAACCCGCTTTACCCAATCTACCCTAGATCATCAAAAACACCCCCCCAGACGCCGATCGCAAATCCCCCAAAACTACACACCACCGCCATTCACCAACCCTTTCGCCCATCTCCCATTAGAAGAATCCAACGAGCTCAACATAGACACCTCCGGCTGGGATGCCTGAAGAACCCACCAACAACATAAATAACGGAAGTCTACGAATATGGCAGCAAAACTTAAACGCTTCGATGGCCGCACAAGAAGCCCTCCTCAACGGCCCCAAGATCATGGAATGGGACATCATCGTTATTCAAGAACCGTACATCAACTTCTTACGCAACACAAGGGCCAACCACAGATGGCACGTTCTCTACCCTTCGCACCACTACACACAACCTCAGAAACGATCACGAGCGGTAACATTAATCAACGCCAAGCTAGATACTAACTCCTGGACCCAGATCAACTTCCCATCATCAGACATAGTTCTACTACAACTCACCAGCCCGCTCGGCAAATGTACCATCTTCAACATATACAACGACGGTGAGAAGCAAGACACACTCGCAGCCATGGACGCCTACCTAGAACAAAACATCGCAACCCTCCGCCCAACCACCGAAGACCACATGCTATGGTTAGGCGACTTCAACAGACACCATCCCCTCTGGGAAGAAATCCGCAACCGCCACCTCTTCAACTACAACACATCCCAACCGCTCATCAACTTACTCGCCGACTATGGAATGCTACAACTGCTCCCGCTAGGCCTCCCGACCCTTCAATCCTCAAGCACGAAAAACTGGACCAGACCAGACAACTCCTTCGGAACGGAACACCTCCTCGACGCGATCATCTCATGTACCACAGCCCCAGAACTGAGAGGACCCAAGACCGACCATATACCAATCCAACTCGTTCTCGACATGAACATCCCGAAAACACACGCGGAACCACGCAAGAACTGGAGAGAAGTAGATTGGGAGGAATTCAACACAACGCTAAGCAACTCTCTCGCAAATCACCCCCCGCTACCTCTGGCGTCTGACGAGGAATTTCAACTCACCGCAGAACTCATCACCCGTAGTATAACACAAGCTATGAAGAAACACGTACCCAACTCCAAACCCTGCCCGCACTCAAAACGATGGTGGACCAAAGACCTCAGCAAACTACGCAAAAAAGTAATGAAACTACACCGCACCGCCTATCAGATGAGAAGCCTCTCCCACCACGAAGTCCACGAAGAACTGAAGAAGACGAAGAACGAATACGCGAACCTTATCCAAGAAACCAAGAAGCAACACTGGCAAGACTGGCTAGAGGACATCGAGGGCAACGATATCTGGACCGCCAACCGCTACGTCACATCGACCCCAAACGACGGAGGAAAAACAAGAATCCCCACCTTAACGAAAGCAAACCCCGACGGAACGACTACCACAGCAAGCACGAACGAAGAGAAGAGCCAAATGATAGCCCAAGCCCTATTCCCATTACCTCCGCTAACAGACAATGTACCGACTGACTACGCCTACCCAGATCCAATAGCAAGACACACCCCATTTACCAAGGACCAAATCACCAAAGCCATAACGAACCTCAGCGGATTCAAAGCTCCAGGACCAGACGGCATCTGCAACATCGTGTTCAAGCGCTGCTCCGAAACCCTAACCCCATACCTCGTACACCTCTTCAACGGAGTCTTCTCGCATGGAACATATTACGACCCTTGGAGACAGTTCACGACGGTAGTTCTACGCAAACCAGGCAAGCCAAGCTACACCACCCCCAAGGCATATAGACCCATAGCACTACTTAATACAACGGGTAAGCTACTAACAGCAGTAGTAGCAGAGCAAATGACCTTCCTACTCGAACGACACCAACTCCTCCCCAACACGCACTTCGGCGGTCGCCCGGGACGATCAACCTCCGACTCCCTCCATCTACTCGAAGAAACAATCCGCAACGCCTGGAGAACAAAGAAAGTAGCATCAGTATTATTTCTCGACATCGAAGGAGCTTTCCCGAACGCAGTAACAAAACGCCTACTACACAACATGAAAAAGCGCAGACTACCACGACAGTTAATCGACTTCACGGAACGACTACTAACTAACAGGAAAACGCAACTAAGATTCGACGACTACACATCTGAATGGATCCCCATCAATAACGGTATAGGCCAAGGGGACCCCCTATCCATGATACTCTATATAATTTATAACTCTGACCTTGTAGAAGTAGCCAAGCCCAGAACGGGAAGGCAGGCGCTCAAAGAACTAACTCTGGCTTTTGTAGACGATACGGCATTCATAGCAATAGGCAAGGACTTCGAAACGACGCACCGAATCCTCAAGGACATGTTAGAACGAGACGGAGGAGGCTTCGAATGGTCCAGAAATCACAACTCCCGCTTCGAAACCAGCAAATTCGCACTAATAGATTTTTCAATGAACAGGAACAAAGAACGCCCGAACATGACACTCCAAGATATAACGATACGGCCCTCCCCCACCCACAAATTCCTCGGAGTCATTCTAGACCAGGAGCTACGCTGGAAAGCCCAAATAGATAACGCAGTAGCGAAAGGAACGGCGTACGTACTTCAAATCCGAAGACTCTCAACGATGGCCAAAGGAATACCGACCCATCTCATGCGCCAACTATATCAAGCAGTCGCCATACCCAAGATGATATACGCAGCCGACCTTTGGTTCTCCCCGGCATTCAGAGACGGCTCAGACACACCCCAGAAAGGCTCCCTAGGAACAGCAAAGCGACTAACATCAGTCCAACGAATCGCACTCTTAGCAATAACGGGAGCAATGAGAAGTACCGCCACTGACCTACTAGAAGTCCACGCTAACGTCCTCCCAATTACCCTACTCCTCCAGAATTTCTGCCACAGAGCCATCGTCCGCATATCCGCACTCCCAAAAACTCATCCGCTACACGGACCAGTCAGACGCGCTGCAGGACGCTACGTAACGTCTCACCGCTCCTCGCTCCACAGACTCACACATCTCTTTGCTATCAACCCAGACGAGATAGAATCACTCAAACCAACGACAATAGCGCCGTCCTCACCATGCCCCTACAAAACCCAAATATCAGAAAGAAAGAAGGCCATAGAAGAACACGCGAACTTAGAGGACGAGATCCAGGTCTATTGCGACGGATCTGGATATAAGAAAAACATAGGCGCGGCAGCCATATTATTCAGAGCAGGCGCAAGACCCAGAATCCTAAGATTTCACCTAGGTAACGAAGACGAACACACAGTCTACGAAGCGGAAGAGGTAGGATTAACATTAGCAGCGAAACTAATCTCAACAGAACCAAATCTAACCTTCCCGCTATCAATTTCCATCGACAATCAAGCAGCGCTTAAATCAGGAGAGAACTCGCGAGCACGCCCTGGCTCATACATCGCAAACTGTTTCGTCAGAGAAATGCGCAAACTAGCAAGAACATACCCCAACTTTGACGTCACTCTCCGGTGGTCACCAGGACATGAAGACATTCACGGAAACGAGATGGCCGACATCGAAGCAAAGAAAGCAGCGACAAGCAGCGACAACAACAGCCCACGCGAAGACCTTCCAACTTACCTGCGCCATGGATCACTCCCTCTCAGTATATCAGCGTTAAAGCAGGCACATCACCAAGAAACTCACACAAGATGGACGAGACTATGGACCAAGTCTCCTAGATACGCACGTTTTCAACAAATAGACCCAAATGTTATCAACCGAGCGTTCATCAAACTAACTGCTAACTTCCCAAAGCGTCTCACAGGACTCCTCATGACCCTCCGCTCTCAACATATCCCATTAAACCGCCATCTCCACCGAATCAACAAAACCGAAAACCCGCATTGCCCCCACTGCCCAGACACAGAAGAAACCGTTCACCACTATCTGCTAGAATGCCCTCATTATCAGAAACAAAGACACATGCTACAAAACGAACTCGGCCGAGACGCATCATCCATACCCTTTCTCCTAACAAGCGCAGAAGCCATTGCTCATTTAGTCAAATATGTCAACGAAACCAAACGCCTCAAGAACACTTTCGGTGAAGTACCCATGTCCAAAAAACGCAAGACCTGACCCACCCTGTAGAAATAAGATAACACACTCAACGCACTCAATGTAACACCCCACATCGCACAAACAAATGTAGCAACCACCAGCATCAACATATACCCAAGACTACTCTACAAACACCATAATCCTACAGTATACCTCATAACCATCACCAACCTAACACCTCGTACACATGGAAACCAGCCGCACCTTGAAAGGCGCCTCGGAGATATGGAGAATAGATCACAACGGAACACTAACATCTTCTCCCTCAAAACACGCTCCACTAGATTCCTGTTACTCCGCGAAAGCGGACGAGATAAGCGTACCATCACCACAAGCACTATATCATCACAAACGCAGAATTATATCTCATCTCATCACATGAAGGGCGCGTCTAAAACGGCCGGCGGGAACGGCGGACTGATGGGGGCACGCCCCACATCAGGGCATTCGCGACTTCAGAGACCAAAGGACACCGGGGGTCCTATAGATTAGAAAGCACTGTCCTACATAGAGTATTCCTCTCAATGGACAAAAAACTGGAAAAAAAAAAAAAAAAAAAAAAAAAAAAAAAAAAAAAAAACTGAATCCTAGGTCTATTTAGTGAGTTTTAGCGTCTCTCTGCCATGGACCTGACTGACTGTACGAGTTCTGGTCAACAGTGAGTGACCTCGTTGTAACATTAGTATATGCGACGTTCTCCGTAAATGTGTTTGTAGTCGAATCTGAGAGCCTTTGTGTTTTGTTGCTTGAAAGAGTACTCCCATGTCAATCGCAAGACTTGAGATTCAATGCACCAGCGAGCAATTGACAGACGGATGGCCCTGATGCATTGGTGGAGGTCCGTTCATACAAATATTCATCTACGATCGAGTTATGAATCGTACAACATAACCAGTGCCCGCCGCGACTTCTATTAGCTATAAATCATGGTCAGGAGGTTTTCATAGGTAGTACCCAACGATTATCATCGCAATCTGTCATTCGGAAGGGTGACTAACCTATACCATCAACGAATTCGAGAACGCAAGATGCCTCTACACTTCTGCTTACATATTTTGTGATCATCAGCGATTGTGACAAAGTACGCGCTGGCAAGAACTTCAAATCTTGTGACCATCAATAGGATCTTGGACTGATCGGATGGCCCGTTCTCTGGAATTTGGACTTGAAAGGCGCTTTTCAAACCCGATACATGAATCTCGGTGACGTGATCTTGCACTGTCTCAGTGCTAATAAAACTATCGAAAGATGTCATTAAACCTGTGTTAGATGAGCAGAGCGAGATTCAATAAGGCTGGCTGGGCGCTTCATCTAAAACATGATAATAAGACATGGAATGCACACCTTAGTAGTAAACGGCTAAGACGACAGGCTCCCAACTTCCTCCAAACTAAACATCCACCATCCCAGTTTACGGTCTGTTCTTCTCATGTGCATCGGCTTGAGCACATATTAACGTCTGTGGCTCTCGTCATACTGTTTTACCAGGCGATGTTGAGCATTCGTTTACTAGGAAGGATCTCCTACAAATCTCCGAGAGCATCAGCATACATAGTCCCAAAGCCGTCCTTGGTCAGAATTAAATTCCTGTAAGCAAGCTGTCGTAAGCGATACATGCCGCGCCTGTATTGAGAACTTTGGATTGCTTGGCTCCTAGGGCCTTGCGGGCGCGTTGGGAGTCCTTCGCGGGTGGACGGGGTTCAGAAACGGCTAGCGAAAAGTAGCACTAGGATGATAGCAACTTGTGAGGATTCCGAGAGTCCTGTAGTTCCAAAGATCGAAGGACTTGATGAAATCGATGGTGTTTGCCAATTTGATGGTAGAGAATAAAGACGTGACTCACAGTGACTCGGGATGTGACGAGAATGATCTTCGCACAGGTATTTTCGACAGCGTACATGTTTCAACTGGAACACTACCAGTAGGAGGTGTTGTACAAGTCTCGGCAGATGACAGCGAGCACCATTGTCATCGAGCCATCTGCGGGCGGTCACTGGCACCTCTCGGCCTAGGCCTCATCGGTCGCGTCTTTTCTGCTTACTTGAAGTTCTCTCTGTACGGAAGGTGTGCTGACAGCAACGTCGGCAGTGCACCTGCAAAGGATGCGTCACAAGGCGACCATGGTATGCATTATTACTATGACTGCGTACGTCATTTGTCTTCACCTACTATCGAACAGGGCCTAGTAGAAGAATTTGGTACGCTCTAAATCGTATACCACGTCGTATGCATAACCGATCGTGCTGCAGGTATACAAACACGTCTTCAATACCCCATCGACAAAGCAAGGTATTGCATGCTTCGGAATTGGCCTCGCGTCGATGGGGCATACTGCAATCAGATATTCTGTTCGCTGACTATATATTCCCCGCATTTGATCAGGTTCGTTTTACTTCATCCGAATTTCAAATTTCAAACTTCATGATTAACGTTTCAACCCGTCAACTTAGCTTGTGAACGAGGCTGCAAAGTTTCGCTACCGTTCAGGTGGCCACTTGTCTATTGGCGGGCTATACTATTCAGAGCCCTGAAGGATTCTTCATGGGTGCATCTGGTCTCAAGGTATGTCCTGTCCCATCGTACTGCTGATTTCACGACGAAATCTTTAAATGAACTCATGCACCACTAGGTTGTAATCCCCCCCTCCACAATCCAATACAAAGGCCTCCTCTTAGCCATCCGCGATCCCGACCCAGCCATATTCGTGGAGCCCAAAGTCTTCTATCGTTCTCCAGGTACGTTATCCTTTCCCACCTCCCTGTATGCATGTATTAATTCTACCCACAGTCAAACAAGTCCCAATCGATGACTTCTTTCCCGCGTCGAAATCCTCATCCCAGAATCCGATCTAACTCTCCTAACATGGGGCACTCCTGACTACCACTGCGAATCCACCCTCCGCTTCCTCAACTCGTCACCACCCTCGCGAGTACCATTCATCCATCCCTCCTTACGCAGTGCCAGAGTTGAACTTATCGATCTCCAAATGATATTCTCATGGGATATAGAAACAGTAGTAAAGAGCATGCGCAGGACGAAGAGGTTCGTAATTGTACACCAGGCGGGTATGATAGGCGGCGTTGGAGGAGAAATCGCTGCTGAGGTTGGGAAGAGGGCTTTTTTGAGGTTGGAGGCATTTGTGAGGTTGGAGGCACTTGTGAAGAGGATTACGGGGTGGAATTGAGTGTCGTTTATATCTTTCATCTGTTCTCTCTCCCCCTCCTTGGGTTCTGATGGTGTTTCATTTTCATTGTTATAGTTGATTTGCGCCGCTCCCGCCCATGGTGTGGCATAGGAGATAGGAAATGTACATTTAATGATGCAGTACATTAACATGCACGTATATCCTGGATGAGTGTAATACCAACATGTTTTGGGGTGCGGGAGATGTTGAATGTTTTCGTGAGAGCAGGAGTTTTGCGTAGATGCGAGTCACTGAATACTTCGTTGCCATACATTTACCATACAAATAGAAGGTGTTAACTATATCGAAAGCAGCAGACGCTGGGCTTCAACTAATTGACAGTAAAGAGCACGTAGTGGGTAGTGGGGAGGGACTCGTGGTGTGTAAGCATTGAAGAGTCTTCAATCTGCATTCATGTTATGAGCCTGTACGCGATGCAAGTGCAAAGAAATACAAGGAATGTGATATAATTGCATGACCTCCGTGTTTTCAACGTTTATATATATTTATGGTGTGCCACAATGACTTGAGGTCCCACCCGAAAATCTGCAAAAAGCGCGGTTGAGTACCCATCATGTTGAGTCGTGTATTGTATCAACGTACCACGACGAATTCTGTGTACACAGACAAGTCAATTGTTTGAAGGGAACAGCTATTAGCGATTTCGATAGCGGTATTGATGTACTCGATGGCTTTGTCGCGAAAGTTGCCCTTCGAGGCAGCGAGTGCCATTTCGGCGTAGAAGTATGTCTAATGCACGAAGTGCAGAACACTTAGTCTCAGATTCAAAACACCAACCGGAAATGATGCTCACTAGCACGACTTTACAAGCAAGAAGATCGGCATCGAGAGAATCCTCGGCCATAGTCACTAACAGACATGATTGCTTCTTCAGTGTGCATTTGTAGTTGAATATTGCAATAGCCTGAAAATCGTGAATGAAGCACGGAGTATGTAATCAAAACGGAACTCACCCTGATTAAAAAAAGAAGATGATGAGCTGAATTTCCAGCCGCGAAACCTCGACGCGAGATCAAATGCAATATTCGCTTCCCGAATTTGCCCCATTCCGTAGTGGGCAATGCCCTTGGATATATAGCCTATGAACGACTTTTGAATGCTAATGGACTATGTCACGATCCAATGTTAGTATATCTTAAGGGGCTTCAGTGTTAGTCAGTAGTAACTCACCTGAATTGCATCTTTAAGCGCGCACTCCCAATCACGTATGCGTGCATAAACAATCGAAGCGGTGTCCAAAGCAGACTGTAGTTGCTTGGAATCTGCCTTGATTTGTCGTGTGAATATCTCCAAAGCCGTAGATAACTTCCCCCCCGTTGTGCATACAGTGTAGGCGGTCTCGTCCATGGTGAGGATGTGGGTATAGGACTGTGGTATGCTCGAATTGCGTTATGAGAGTCAATAATGAGAACATGCCTTTTGACTACTTTTCACTTGAGTCTTCGTCTAAAATCCGCGAAATGAGGTGACGAAATTATGAGAAATCAACAGGAACATACCGACATCAGTCCCGTCGAGGGTAGTACCCACTGTGATACCTTCCGGTCATCGCCTTCGCTGGAGCATTTGACACAAAGCGCCGCGGCGGATGACCTCGAGTATGTTGGATTTCGGGAATGGCCAGAAGCGGACGCTGCCGTCACAAGATGCGGAAGTGATGATGGTGCTGGAATCATTGACAGCAATGGCGTTGATCTTGTCAGTGTGACCATGGAAGGCGTTGATCTCGTCCCCCTTCAATGCATCCCACACCCGAACGGTAGGATCGTGTTTACCGCCCCCTGAGAGAAGGTATGTTCCTTGGAGCATCCACGTGAGCGCGAATGTGCCACCTGAGTGGCCCTCGAGCGTTTTGATGCGCTGCCTGGTTGCTGGATTGTAAATGCAGATATTGTTCTCTGTCGCGATGGCAAGACGTTCGCCAGACGACGAATACCGAACGCAGTAGCCAACTGCATCAAGAGGGAACGCATCTTTTTCCTTCCACGTAGATGTGCACCAAAACTTCACCATACGGTGACCCGCACTCGCCAAAATTTTTCCATCAGCAGAAAAGTCCAGTGATATATGGACCGTCACTGGACTGGTGGGCTGTGATGAGTTGAAGAGCGACAGATTCATTGGTATGGACAGTGAACCCATTTTGGGCAGTGGTGAACCAGCCCGGTTTCAATGTTGGGAGTGAAACTTGGTTTTAGTAAACGCGGCTCCCCGGCCATATGATCATTAATGAGACAAGCTCCAGATTTTCCGTTCCAGGGAATGATCCCTCCAGTGATATCACAGCTTGCTATGAATTTGCCGTCTCGCTGATACCGCCAATCCAGACACATGTCACTGGAATGGCCTACCGAGACGTTTCAATACTTTCTTTGTCGACAAATCCGACAGACAAAGCGTCTTGTCCTTTGAACTGGTGACCATACGCTGGGTGTTGGCCGAAACTGCAACTACAGAGATGAAATCGTGATGCGTTTGTGACACTTGTGTGATGCGTGTTTTCTCTGTCACTAGAGTGAGTGGTGACGCCGGAGACGCCATTTTACTAGAGGTTGACATGTGACAGTTGAGTAGGGTTTAGTGGAGGGACTGCAGGCGTCTAGCTGCAGAGGCGTGTCTTTTATGTTCGTTAGGCGCTGAACATCAGGTTCTTATCGCAAATGATTCGTAAGCGGATATAGTACATACGTCCAACTTGTGAACCGACCTAGGCAAGAAATTTCACAAGGGCAAGAGGACACGGTGTGTGACAGGAATGGTATTCAAAGTTAAATTTTAAACGCCCTGAAACGGTTCTGAAACGTTTTGAAACGATTCAGAACCATTTTGAAACGATTCAGAACCATTTTGAAACGATTCAGAACCGTTCTGAAAGTTGTTTTGAAATTGCTTGAAATGTTTTATTTTAAACTCCGTTCAAAATACTTGGCGGTTCAAACGCTTCAAATTCTCGAAGTCCCAATACTAAGGTTAGGGTTAGACGCATGCACGCACAAAAAAAAGCACAAGGTTTGTATATTTCGTAGCTAGCAAACAACTGGTAGAATAATACAAAAATGAACCGGCAGGACTCCATGCGATGCCTTCCTCCAAGGGTGGGTACTTAATATACCCCATCAAAATGCAAAATCTGAAAGTGGGACAGGGCCGCAGCATGATTAGCATCAGATAAGAAGGCCAAAAGACGTGAATATGCACCAGGAAGGTCAAAAGACGACAATACGCACCAACTCAGAGCAGGACAAGGCCGAGGTGGACTGCGTGTACAAGATTGGACGTGTCTTCCAGAATGAAGGCATTGATTTGACACATAACCCTGAGTTCACTCTCTGGGAGTTTTACATGGCCTGTGCGGACATGTATGACCTGATGGAAGTCAGGGGGGAACGTTCTCGAGGGTATGGCCAAGTACCTGAACGGGGGTGGCACGATTGTGAAGTACCCCAAGGGTATGGCCAAGTACCTGAATGGCGGCAGCACAATTGTGAAGTACCCCGAGAGTAAGGACCACAAGGAGCTCGTGCTGGACTTCAAGACAGCGTGGAAGAGGTATGACATGATCGAGACGGTCGAGAAGAAGACAAGAGTGCAGCATCAGCATTGGATAAGTGGGAAAGTGAGGGGAAGTAGATATCTTGGGGTGCTGTGGGACTGGGTCTGCCTCTGGATGGGACACAATAACATGAGGTGTGTGGAGTGAGCAGGTCAAGAAGAGATGTGTGATGTGGGCCTTGATGCATGGCGCCAGCGGTGGTGTGCTCATTGCGTGGCACAGCGCAGGTGGCAGACATGCACACCGCATAAAATCCAAACTCCGCTTGAAACTCGGTTAGATCAGATCAGACGCAAGATAACGTGAGATAATGCGATAACAACACACCCACTGCTATGCCTCGCCAGTCTCGCCGTCAAGAACTACTCAACCAGATAGACACTACTACTTTGGATGTTACAAGGGCCTGGGTTGAACATGCTGTAGCAGAAGGAGATCTTAGTTCATCTGATGGCTCCTCTATCTCTGAGGACAGTGTTATTAGGACCCCCTCCCCACCCTCCCCTATGTCTGAGACATCTGACGGTTCGGGCTCATCTGACAGCTCGGGCTCATCAGACAGCTTGATTCTGATTCATGAAGAATTTGCTAGTATTATCGGCTCTCTTACTGCTCTTTGGGATGAGGTGCAGACGGCCCGTGTTCTCCATATTCCTGATGAGCCTTCTATGTGGGCACCACAGATCCAGCTTCTTGACCAATTCACTCAGCATCACCCTGACCTATTCCGGATGAAGCTACGTGTCAATCCTGACATTTTTGATGATATCCTCGATCAGATTGATAACCATCCCATCTTCCATAATCAGTCCAATAATCCCCAACTTCATCATGAAATCAGCTTGGAGATGCTTTGAATAGATAGTTTTGGCAAAATCAAATCAAATTTACACAGATCATATCCAAAGATAAGGTCATAACTTAACCTCGGCATAATGACAGTGAGGGATAAGAAATTGCAGAACAAATCTAATTCTGTCGAACATATGTATGTCTTGCAAACTATGATATTTGGCAGATAAATCATTGAAGGAAGTCACCATCTTTCTAAAATAATGGTCATCCACTGTCTGAGCTTGTCTTTGCGATGCCCATTTGCAATGTCACCCGGTTGGCAATCAAGGGTTACAATGTCCTGCAATATCTTGACGTACAGTGTGGTCGTTACTTGTGGTGGATCAGGCATGGACTGCAAGGGAAACCCAGGCCAAACCTCTATGGCGGGAGGAGGCGGCTCTATCTATTGAGGACTGACTACGACATGCCACAGGACTACTGACTACGAGCCAGGACCCCCGGCACTCCCGACCTGATCCGTCCTGCTGGAGCGCCCCGCTCCAGCGGTTACATTATGTTGGAACATTCTCAAAGTTGTTTAGAGTTGGTATTGAGCACAGTACTTTGTCCTGGCCTACACACTAGCCAGACCTTTTAAATTTTGAACATTCCTAGATCTAGTACATTTGCCGAAAAGTGTTCCAGAATCTATGATGCCTTCTTGCAATACAATTATTGCCTTTGCACTATGTACATACACACAACCATCTAGTGGATAGTAAGCATTGCTGTAGCATCCGCGTAGGTCATATCGCTTGCTTCGTATTCTGTCTACAGCCCTGAGCAATGATATTGGAGTATGCGTCTTGATCTTCCTGTTTCTCTATGAGGTCTTGCACTATCTTCTCTAAGCAGGTGAGCTTCTCTGACTCGGCACACTGTTAAAGTCTTAGCGTAGATACAACCATCAAAGCCCTGGAGCTCAAGAAGAGTATCCCACCAGCCGAACAAAAAGTTGCAAGCAATAAGCTTCAACCAAGGTGTAAAAGAATTTGCTGTGGGTGCCAAGTAGGTGAGATGTATGCTGGCAAGTGTAATGCATGGGGTATGAACGACTAGTAAGGACATGGTAAGTTAAGTCAAATGTATGTACGCTTCTCCAGATCACGCGTGAGCTTTGAGAACAAGAAATTCGGGGCGAAAGGCAGTTCAATCGACTAATAATTGAACGATGAGAGAAGCATGAGGCTGTGATTTCATGTTGACATACCTTTTCGTCAATCAGACTGAGCAGCTGAAGGGAATCAGCAAGGATAGCAGATGCAAAGCACCATATAGCAGAAGCGTGATATGCACTTTCAATGATCCTGCGATGTGATCAAATCCGACCCTAAATGCCATCCATATCATTAATTTCAATCAGTTTTATTTAAACCGTATGTGCCTTACAGTTCAATACTTGAGATTCCGAAGTTAGGCCGTAGTGGAAGGTCTTCGTCTGAATGGAGTCATGTGCTGAGGAGGTTATGAAAGCAAGCTCGTGCAATGGATAACAGTTGACAACTTGAGCGATAATGTTGTGGAGGGTATTGGGTTGTGGAGAGACAATGGATGTCTTAAGGTGTGTGGTGGACGGTTTGATTTGCCGATTTGTCACACCGTGTCACATCACCCTTTTTAGGGCGGTGGACCTTGAGCACACCACATCTACATCTCATCAATCACTATCTGCAGGAATGGGCCCTCAGTATCCTGTGAGTGAAAAGAGTTCTCATTAAGTGTCTACTCACTCGGTTCACAGAGAAATTCCTGGTACATTAAGCTCGTGGTGCAGGTGGTAGTGAGCAGATTCTCACTGACTGTGGTGTGAAGTGAAGGACACCAAAAGTAAGTAAGTAATCTACTAGTGCTACAGATTCTTACCTCCATAGTGCCGGTCTACTCATCATGCCAGATCACACTAGCCTCGATCATGAGGCATTGTTGAAGAATTGAGAAGCAGTGTTGAAGGATCGAGAGGGACTGTTGGAAGATCGCAAGGGACTGTTGAAGAATCACGAGGGACTGTTAAAGGATAGATTGCGAGTGCTGAAGGCTTGAGAAAGAGTGTTGAAGAATCAAGAGCGGGTTTTAAAGAATTGAGAGGGAGCTTGCTATCTGAAAGTGCGCATTTGGTTTCTGTAGGCGCACGACTTAGAATAAACTGTCCATAGCTAGATTGAACAAACTTACTCCTGTTCCGGTGGTTGACAAATGGTGAATGTCTCTTCATCTGACTTTTCTGACCAAGCGACCTGAAATCATTTTAGTAGTAGCAATGATAGTGTTTGGATCTGTTGAGGTCTTTATCGTCCAGAGCAGTGATGAAGACATCGAGGGATGGGCCACTTCCCTTGTTCCCGTTACTTGCATTCTTGCAACAGTGGTAGAGAAGCCGTCAATCAAGACAACGAGCATTGCAAACACTATTAGGATTACTATTGCAAAGGACGAGCAGAGATAGATAGGAATGGACAGCCTTGTCTCTGAATGTTTTTAGCGGAAGTCCCACATGGTGACCAGAGCGACAATGTATTGCAAAGTCCACATGCGTGCAGCTAGTCCGGCACTGAATAAAAACAGGGACAGCTGCACGATTGAGAGTATTGCCAATAGTCTCTCAAAGCCCCAGGCCTCGAGCCCATCCAATATTTGCTGCCTGCTTCATCCTTGTTCTCCTATAATGAGTGATCAAGAATGTACAGACCAGATGGACTCACCCTCAGGCTGGGCGAGAACATTATTATTGTATTCATCATACCGCATGATGATGTCACCTTGTTTGTTCCCATCATCTTTCATATTGTCTGGTTGCGCGACAGTGGGAGCATCGTTCATTGGGTTATCTTTGTCATTGTACTCCTCACCTAGAAGCTCGTCATAGGAAAGTTCGATAGTTGGACAGTAAACACTAAAGCTAGTTGAGCAGTCACCACTAACACCTTCCCATAGCTCATGGGGTTAGATAGGGTGGGGGTAGAGTAGAGTAGAGGACTTGAAGTATCTGAACTGTTGCTTTCCAAGACTGGCACCAAGTGCAGCCAGGAGAGTTGTCATTAGACTTGCATGGGCAAGTGATGTTGTGCAAATGATTATTGGTTTTGGTCCAGTCCATGTGGAAGAATTGAGAGGTCTCACTCAGGTCATTCTGGATAGTGTGATATATAAGATCGGTGGTGTCAGCTGCGGGAAGACTAAGGTTTGATTGCATATCCAGAATAAATGCTGAGCTAACAGCTGAGACAAGACCAGCCTAATGAACATCAGACATGGTCGAAGTTAAAGGTGAATTTGATGTTTCCTTATGAATAGGAGACAAATATCCATGTCTTTATCAAGGTGACCATCGTCATAGCAGTCTGCAATTTTGAGGTACCTAATCCAAAACGCAGAACATGTATCCTTGCCATCATCTTTGGTGATTATGGGGTCATGTAGTGCTTTCAAGACCTGCTGGTCGAAACTCAAGAAAGGAGTGAGCTGCGGAGAACTGGAGACCAAGAAAATGAGACATATAGTAAATGGAAGATGTGATAAAGAGAAAGTGAATTCTTTTGAGCTTCTACGCGCCAATACGATGCAAGTCCTTGATGGAGAGCCCATTCAGTAACTTTTCCCATGTTAAACGGCCACCCAGAGGTTGAGATTCTTCCATGGGAGATGGGCCAACCGAGGTGGGCCCATAGACAAGTTCAGGCCGATAGTCATGGCTGGGCCCATGATGTTCATGATGCTTCAATATGAATGGCCCAGCCCACGGGTGGCAACTGACAGGACAGTTGGGCCTGAAGGGCATGTGATGATGAGCTGGTGGTGGTGGGCCAGGCCCGAATGGCGATGTAGGATTTAAGGGCCGGGGCCCAGGGTGATGATGCACAATCTGACAGCCAGGCCCAGGATGATGTAGGATTTGACAGTTGGGCCCAAGGGATGTGGATGGGAAATGATTGTATGACCGGGCCCAGGTTGATGATGTAGAATTTGACGGCGGGCCCAGGTATGGTTGTGGCTAACAACTGGGCCCAAGGTGATGATGCTGGTCTCGACGGTCGGGCCCAGGATGATGATGTAGGATTTGACAGTTGGGCCCGATGGATGTGGATGGGAAATGAGTGTACGACTGGGCCCAGGTTGCTGATGTAGGATTTGATGGGCGGGCCGAGTTGTGATATTATTCAATGACCGGGCCCAAGGCAATGATGTAGGATTTGACGGGTGGGCCCAGTCATGGTATTATTCAATGACCAGGCCCAAGGCAATGATGTAGGATTTGACGGGTGGGCCCAGTCATGGTATTATTCAATGACCGGGCCCAGGTTGATTATGTAGGATTTGACAGGCGGGCCCAGAGGATGGGGCATGATTCAACGACCGGGCCCAGGTTGATGATGTAGGATTTGACAGGCAGGCCCGGGCATGGTTATGCTTAATGACTGGGCCCAAGGCAATGATGCGGGTTTCAATGGGTGGGCCCAGGCATGGTTATGACCCAATGTCTGGGTGCAGGGTGACAATGTAGGATTTGATGGGCGGGCCCGGGCGTTGGTATGATTTAACGACTGGACCCAGGGCTATGATGTAGGATTTGACAGATGGGCCCAGCCATGGGTATGACTGAATGGCCAGCTGCAGGGTGATGATGTAGCATGTGACAGGAAGGTCTGTATAAGGGATGGGTCAACGACCGGGTCCAAGGTGATTAGGTACGGATAGACAGACTGGCCCGGGCGTGGATATAGTTCAATGACCTGGCAAAGGGTGATGATGTTGCATTGTCCGGTCAGGTCCAAGGATGGGCATGGTATAACAGTGTTCGATACCCGGGCCCAGAGGAGGGTGTGATTTAACAACCTGAGTCAGGGTGATTATACAGGATTAGACCATGGGGCTTGGGAAATGTAATCATTCAATGACCGGCCTGGGTTCTTACTCCGCAATTATATTAAAAATCTGATAATGTATTCAAATGTGATACTTGAGCAAGAGAATGTGTCTGTATGTAGGGAATGACAGATAAGGACAAGGTATTGTAATGATGTGCAGAATAAGAGTGGGACAGGATGTCTACAGCTTGCCATACACGGCAAAATCAGCCTGGTTGTATTTGGCCAACTTGTATGCATTGAGGTCGGCCAGATTGTATCTGGCGTAATCCGGGCGAGGGGTGCGGGCATAGTTGTGAATGCTATCTCAGAGGAACCAGGACCATACTATCTGATTGCCTTCATCAACCCTGATTCCATGCCTTACAAGACGGCCCGAATAACTCACCATCACTCCCAGATTGTATGCCAACTCGATCCCCAGGTTGGGCAACTTCATGATTGCCTGCTGGTAACTCCCAATGCAGGTTAGTATATTGAATGCCTCGGGTAGACATTTCGGGTCTCGGTGGTCGGGAGACTGGTGGTTACACATGATGGCAGTTCCGGTATAAATGGAGGCCCAATGCTTCAGGAAACGATGCATATCCACCAAGCCTTGGTCTCTCAACCAATGCCCGAGTTCGATGTGAGTCTTGATGGAAGCCCAGTAGAGCTGGGGATGCATGACCCATAAGGCAGCAGAGGCGAGCAACGCAGGCCTCTGCATGTCCATGATCATAGACAGGCTCCTTTCCCCCCTTCAGGGTGGCGGATACCTCAGGTTTGAACCCATCTTCCAGGTTGTCAGGAGGCGGGCCATAGCACTATTCCAAATCAATAAAGCTTGTGACAGAAATGCAGGACCCACTTCATGACCCTGCTGGAACCAGCACGGGGCTATATTTATGCACCCGGGACTCAATCCCGGCGATTCAGCAGGTCGAAAGTTGGATTCGTGGGTCCTCCAACCACTCCCTTTCTGGGCAGTGACACTTTTCTTGAGAAGATCTCCCATGGACACGGTGGTGGTGTACATGTCATTCTGCGATATTCAATGTCAATGGTTGACAAGGATGCATGCTGAAGTACGCACCTGGACCCACGGACTCAGCCCATCCAGGATATACCAAAGAATTATCCTAAATCCTGAGTCCATCACCACTGACGGAGTATCCAACAGCACCTCCCTGGTCGGAGGGGAACTTTGTCAACAAGGCCTCTTCTTGCGCATCATTTATGCCGGATTCACATTTGGCAAGGGCCTCATTGTACCGGATGATGTCGATGTCTAATTTGACTAATTTCGGAAGTATCAGGATCCGATCCTGGGATGCACCCGGAGTCACTCACTTGGATGTTGATAGGCCTGGGCCATGCACAAAGCCAGTTGCCCACATGAAAGCATTGTGACCATATCAAGCTCGGGTGGCGGGTTTACCAGGGGCCTGCCGGCTATATGGGCAAGGAATTACTGCTCGACCCATTCACTAGCTGCATTGGTGGTGCGCAATGCCCAGTCCTTGGGTATCATGGTGGGTTGGCACATCCCATTCATGAGAAGGGCTGCATGGTTTGAATAGGAGCACTGTTCAGGAGATATCTGGGACATGATGGTGGGGCAAACAATTGGGCCACTCATCAACAAGGCACTCTTTTATGCATGCACCTCATGGGCTCTTGCATGCCCAAAGACGTAATCTAATTGCAAGTAATACTTGGCCATGAGAAAATCAACGCATCATCTCTGTACGTAATTCTCGACCATGCTGTGATGGTCATGCGTCGTTGGGACATAATTGCGCAGCAATCCATCAATTTCATCACAGCTTGATGTGCCGGGTGCTCAATGAGGTTTTATGCAGCCGAGATATCTTATTACAAATGTATTACAAAGTCCAGACACCTGTCAACCTTGGGCCTCTCTCTGCCTTTTTCTGCCCTCATCCAACAGCTGTTGTGAAGCTGCCATGGCATCATGAAGGGCATCTACTGGACCTTCAAGGCGGGTCATTGCATCTAAAACAGTGCTCCCATCTTTCATCTTCTGCTCAAGCCATCGCTGAAGCATGGTGCCGAATACTTCCATATCATCCCTGATGACCCGGAGATTGGCGAGCAAAGGGTCTGGACCCCCTGGATGCCTGCAGATCTCTGGCAGAAGCATGTAGGCAGTAGGCTGTTCATCGGCTGACATCAACTATTGTATAAAGCCCAGGAGTTGAATGAAAGGCACCCACCGTCTGTTGAATATGGGCAAGGTAGAGTTGCAATACCTCCTGCAGTGGGATTCAGTCAGGCATCTCAAACGGCATCAAGTCAAACCTGTCTTTCCACCAGCTGTACCTGTAGACGGCAACATGTCGGTAGCAGGCCATAAGGTTGCCCAAGATATTGAACTGATGGGTTGCGAATTCCTTGAACAGGCCGGTGTAGAGACTCGTGTTTCTGTGGGCTCATATGGGCTCATTTTACGAATTCTGGCAACTGGCCTTTACTGCGCGACTCGCACCATCATCCATATGCGACTTCTATCATGTTTCTGGTCATTCCACACACAATGCGCAGCTTTCCCGCGAAACGCGCCATAGGCGCGCTACTTTCCCACACAACGCGCAGCATTCCCGCGCGCGCTTAGCGCGTTTCTCTCGCACTTGTCGCCCTACTCCATACGCAACTTCTGCTATGTCTCCAGTCATTGCGCATATAATGCACAGCTCTCCTGCAAAATGCGCCATAGGCGCAACACTTTCTCACACTTTCGCGTTTCACGTTCCCGTGTGCGTGCTTAGTGCATTTCTCGCGCTTAAGCGCACTCCATTGCGCATCATCCAGGAGCATCCATCCATCGTCCAACCAGTTCCTAGGTGTGTCCCTTTTCATTATCAGACCATATTTAGCCTATTACACTTTGTATTTCGTTATGCACCCTTACTTTACATCACTTTACCTCACTTACATACTTAGAGCACTCCCTATTCGGCTCCGAGCCCTGGGAGAGTGCTTAGGTAGAACTTACATACTTTCATGTTCGTTTTACACCTTAGCTTCCTACCAGATCTTTCTACCACCATGTACTTGGCAGTTAGTTCCATGCAATGCATGCGTCTGTCGTCGTCTTAAGGCCCTAGCATCAGTCTAAAGCTAGTGGCAGTATCAGTATCCATCAATATCTGCACTTTTCACCATATCATCGTCTCTCTACACTTGTGCACTGCTTGCACTACCATTCCAGTTCTCTGCACATTTTCGCCTTTCGCACTTTCGCCTTCCCGCGCTTCGCGCATTTTCGCATTTCACTTTCCCGCGCGCGCCTTGAGCGTGTTTCTCGCGCTTACATCGCCCTTTTGTCGCCTTTGATCAGGGTTGATCAGCATCATTTCGTGGATCCTTGCTTTCTTTGCTTCCCTTAAGGGTCGAACATATCGCACGGCATATCAAGACCCAACATAGAGAGTGTTGCTTGTCATCTGACTTGCAGTCACTTTGTTGTGTTACCCCACACCAGGGTTGTCCAAAGCGCTGATCTGCCAGCATGTAAGCATCTTGACGGTTTGATTGAGGTATTCCGGCAAGCATGGGTGGGTGTTGTTGATGGCACACATGTTTATGAAAGGAAACACAAATCGCTGGATGGTAAGAAAGTAAGCCAAGATTCATGAAAGTGAAGAACCAGGAGGTGAATGTACTTACATCAGCTTCCCAAACCAAATGCTGGACGAATCGCTCTCAGAAATGTGGAGTTTTGTGCCACCTGGGTCTTGTCCAGTGCATCACGGATCATGGTGAAGTGGGATGTGGTGCAAATATATGCGCCACATCCCATAAAGTGATTCCGGGTGTGAACGAATCTGGCCGGAATAGCACACATGAGCCAGATGACATAATTCAGTTGAGTATTAATATGCGGGGAAAAGGATTGGGTTGCAAGTTGAGAATGCCGCAATGATCTATCAGTATAAATAGCCAGCAATTCAAACCCAGTTTGAGCCATCTGTGGCTGCAGACAATCATTTGTCCGCCGGGTAAACAATGCTTCTGTAATGAAACAATATGAAACCATATTGTTTCTATGTGGCCATGACTACATGCATGGAAAAGGTTGCTGCATAGAATCTACTGAAGACATTACAAGTTGTGACTGAATATTGGGTTGACCTCGATAAACCTGGCGTGAGCATCCTCCGCCAACCATCTATACATCTGAGCTTGTCTGATAGCATAATATCTCGGCCCATCCTATACAGGCTCGCCATCTATGGTTGTTCGGCCGAGCCAGGTTTGGCTTTGTGTGCAAGAAATTTGATTGTCCAATGCATCTCATGTCCAATCAGGAGTAATTCTTCAGCCCACCGGTCCTGTAAAGCCTTGGTACGAAGCCAGTGCACCCGATAAACTGGATTTTGGGCGGACATGAGTAGAAAACAAAGGTCCTGAGAATGACTCACATTCATTCATCCAGTCATTGCTCACCGAGTCTCCTCTAACGTCCAACGACCAAAACCAAGGCAGTGTGGAATTTCTTTGACCTCAGGCATTGGGATCAGCTACAGCTGAGGTGGCTTTGAGATCCTTTTTCTCCAACTCCCGGTATTTTCCAACAGTTGGTCTGCCCGAAGATTGGTCAGTTGGGCCCTGCATTTCTTGCAAATCGTGCCATTGAGGTTGATGACTTGTTCCATGGAGTGGACCTGGGCCCATGCTCGGGTGGCGGTGGCTTGAGACTTTGCCAGCCGGACTGTGGTCCTAAACAAGACAGCCTTGTCAGCCAGGTGGACTCTGATTGCATGCAGCATGTCATTGGCCTGCCCTTCCCGCAGGGTGATCTCTTGTCTGACAAGACCAATGACGCCCAACTCCTTGCACCGCTCTAATCCCAAGTTCGACAGGAGAGGGATGACAGCTATTTCGGGTCTAAACAACACCCGAGGTTGGTGTCCACCTGAATCCGGAACATCATTGCTGGAACAATCAGTATCAAGCCCATCTTCCAGGAAGTCCATGTCCATGTCAGCAATGCAATCATCCACATCATATTCTTCGCCGAGATATCTTGCCGCTCCTGCAATGAAACTCATCGATGGAGTGTTGCAACCTGACCCACCGATGGCTGATCTCCAATATTTGAGTCTTGGTTTGATGTTTGCCCGCCCTCCTGATCTCCATGGCCAGTGCTATCTGCATTTCTTCGATGGTAATCCCAGATGCCAACCAAGTGACGGCCCCCAGCTGAGATCTTTCTCCTGACCAGTGTGACAATATAGTTTTCCCTGGGCTGATATTACCCCTTTTTACTTACCTTCACTTACCCACTTTCCTTAGTTTATGTTCGCATTTTTACTGCTTACATAATCATGTCTCCCTTTCACCACTGTCAGTACCAGTCTGAATCACAGTCTTTTGCTTGATGATATTTCTACTCTCTGAGCTTTGAGTCTAGCACAGAAATCCTTTAGGGTCGAATAGCAGCTAGGCATAGCAATTTTGACCCAACATTTGAAGAGTACTTTACAGAGTTCTCTTCTTGTTGTGTTTCCCACACTGGGGAGCTGAATTATGCAGCAAATCTATCTCCATCTCCTTCTGGGATCGTGCTTCCAGAATATCAGATTAACAAAACAGCTATATTGGCGAGTCCCCAATACATACCCTTGCGCAACCTAACATCATAAATGCCCATGGCCGAGGGATCTGTCATTTGACAAGGTTGCACTTCATTTTCTTCTGCTTCCCACCGCTGCACCATTGCCGGATCAGCAGCTTCATTCAACTTCTCAAAGGCCTCGGTGCTTTCTCAGACGCCTTGTTTGGCCTCTTTATATTTCCGGGACAAGAACAACCCTGTTTTCAAGGCAACACAGGTCACCCAGAAGTATGCAAACATGCTAGTGAATATAACTGACCCATTCGGATCATCTTCATGAAATTACAGTCATTCATCTGATAGTCCAAGTATTCTTGTCTATGCAGCGTTGACATCCCCCGGGCTGAAGGCAAAATGATATTTAGAGGCACCCATAGGGTCTCCATAATTTCGCCATCTATTCTAGCTGCACCAGGGATGAAGTTGGATGTGTACCGGTGTCATGCATGGTATGCAACTCATACCATGACAGATACACAAGAGGTGTGATAAGGAAGGTATAATAGACCCTACTGTATCTTATCACCAAGTTACCCCATCATTTTCCCCTTAGTTATTAGCTAGTATTTTCACTTTCAAACTTCACTTCCATTTTTCCATGTATTTCTATTTTGTTCTATGACATTCCATCTCTTTCTATTTTCCTCAGGCATATTCAGCCAACAGACTTTCTTTCAGCCACCAAGCATGTTTGTAAGCATGTCATGTGACTGGTAGATATCATGATTTGTAAAGATTTAGCTTGACTCATCATGATTTGTCATGATTTGTCATGCTTTGTAAGATTTCTAACTGTATTTATAAGCTACTTAGTAAGAAGGCTGATTCAGCACACCAAATGGCATTGTTAGTAAGCACATTCTTACCAATCCATGTGATGACTCATGCCATGATTCATCATGCTTTGTAAACTACACTGTATTTATAATGTAAATTAGTAAACAGGCTGACTCAACACACCAAATGGCATTGTTAGTAAGCACATTCTTACCAATCCATGTGATGATTCATGCTTTGTAATCAGGGCCTCCAAAAGGTATATAAGGAGCCCAATTTTGCCATGTAATAAATGGAGCACTTCCCACCTTCACTCATCTCAAACAGTGTGAGATTAAGTAAGAACCTAAGTACAGGCAAATCATTAGCCTCAAAGTAAGACTAAGAAACATTTATTCAATTATATACTACCTTACAGGGGTTGATTATATAATCTATCAGCTAATCTAACTAAGTTTAACCCATACTATTTTCCACTCTCTTTTACAGGAAGGGAGACACGATACACGAGCACGCTAACTCTCAGACACAATTCATACCGTAGACTCAGTATACAGAATCAAATTGTTTTAAACTAACCAAGGAACAAGGAAAGATGGTATATTGAAATAAATCCTCCCAAGAACTCACACATTATCTACCACAAAAACTAGAAAAGTCGTAGACCGTGTACTTAAGGACTGGCAATAAGTCTTATCCTATATAGTTGTGTTGTCACTATATAAGCGGCATACATAAGACCCTTAAGTAAGAGGACACCGGGCGAAGCATTTGTCTTGATGGCCATGAACATGCCACAGCCCAATTCCCAGAATGATCTCCATTCCGGAAGGAATGGTCAGATGCAAGCTCTTGTCCACCCGTCGCTGGAGGTGCTTGTTATACTGGCAATTGACATCGTAAAATGTAAAAGCCTGGCGAAGCCCATCCGTATTATAGCTCAGGGCATTGCATAGGGCATAGTCCATGTTCATCTGTCTTCTCCCGAAATTGAAGTGGAACAACCTACTTTACGAATGACTCACCTTTCTCCCTTTTGAAAATCCACCATTGAATTCAGAACAAAGCACCCATGCCTGGCGCAGGCGCACCCCCTGATTCTGGTGGCCTCCAATTTGTGCCTAGAGGCGTTGGCCTGGTTCACTGCTCTATGGTTGTTGCATTCAGACCTTTGGGCCGAGTCCTTTGAGATGGTGAGATGAGCTTGGTATCTGGCTCTTGCCACCATGAAACATTGCCAGTCGGTGAGCCAAACCTCGTCTTCTGGGTGTGTTGAGTGAAGATGTTCGGCTTTGAAATTGCTGTCCATAACCAACGATCAGGTGTAAGTCACTTCGGCGATGCATCATCTTCAGTTGGTACTGCAACATTGATCCCAGGTTGAGGACATGCGGTGTCTTCTTACTTGAGGGTCTTATATGTTGATCAGAATACAATGACTATCACAATTGTATTGTTTAAGACTAAGGTGCCAGCTCCTCAAGTTCATGGTCAACGGATTTTCTACTTCTCGGTTGATAATGTGGTGTTCGTGGGTGGCCAAAGGGTAATAAATTACTTCTTTGCTAGATCACTTCTTGATAGTAAAGGAGTAGTATATATTTTGTCAGGTTAACTGAAACCTAGTAGGTAATATGGACCTCTCTGAACTGAATGTGGCACAAATACGTAAAACGATGGATAAAACAATAGATTATTGTATAGGCGATCCCTGTAAGATAGTATACAATCAATCTAGACTAAAAGAATACGATTGTTTTCAAAGGCAACTCGTAGGCCTTCACTTTCTTCGTGATCTCACAGTGTTGAGACAGAAAGTGGGAAAACTCCTGACTTCAAATTCCTACGTTCCCACACGGTTCGGGAAAAGAATGGAAGGGGAAAAACTTATATATTATGTGAGAATGGAGTCCTTATATACATTTTAGAAACCATCCTTACTAAGCAATGAGTCATCACTGGATTGGTAAGATTATGCTTACAAACCAAGCCTTTTGGTGTGCTGAATCAGCTGCTTACTAAAGTACATGAGTAAAATATTACAAAGCACTGTAAATTATTACAAAGCATGACGAATCATGACAAAACATGATGAGTCATGGAAAGTCCTTACAAATCAGAATATCACCAGTCACATGACATGCTTACAAACATATCTGAGTGGCTCACTGATGTAATCAAGTGGCTGAATAAACATAAACAAATAATGGAAAGAGACAGAAACTACAAATACAACTAAATAAATAGAAACAAAGCTTACATAAGTAGGAAGTATATCCTTTGTACACTCCTCTACTCATCTCCTTTTACACTGCTATTCGTATATGTCATGGTATGAACTCCATACTATGCATGACAGCGGGGCAGAAAAGAGCCAGCTCTGCATCCTTCAGGTCCCTCCTCTCATGACAGAATCCATTCCATTTCAAAAGCTTCAGTTGTTGCCACTGCCTGGCCACCCTCATCAACTCCCAATATTGGTTTCTGCCGAGACTCAGCTCATGCTTGGTATGATATTGTTGGACTCACCGGTACTAAATGCGGAAACATGCTGGATGTGATCCGCTTGAGTTTGCTGTAATAGTTCATTGCCGAAGTCCCGCACTCCAGATTGTCCAGGATGAAATCGTCCAGCAATGCAAAGGTGAATGCGGTCTTCGGGCGGGTGAAAGATGCCGGGAACAATCCCATTTTAAAAAGCTGTTTGTCAAGCGCTTCGGCATCAGGGCATCGACAGAATCTTATCAACATGGTATGAACACCCAAAGTGTGCACCACCATGATTGCTGTTTTTCCTGCAGGTAGTATGTTTACCTCCGGCGAGTCTTTGGCAGCTGCAGCTGATCCCGGTTCTACAAATACATCAGGTTCTCCATCATAAGCCTCTGGCACTCCCGGAGGCACTTCTGCAGATGGTGCATCTTCACCCAGTCCTGCAGCATACTGACCCTTGTCATCCATGTCCTCCCATTCCCAGTCATGGTGTGGGCAAGGCTTTCCCCCATGGCCAGCATGAATCTCAATGCCTAGCTTGGTCAGAGTGGTCCTCTCAAAGAAATCTCCGTTCCATTGACTGATCCGGTGGAATGGCCACAGGGAATGTTCCACCCGACAGCATTTCATGCAGAATATCAGCTGGGCATGACAGTCATGGCACTCCTGGGTCCCATCCCCACCGCACAAACAACATACCCGGTCTGGAGGAGGCGCCTCCTGTTGAAGCATGATGTCCAGATAATCACGGGTCCTATACTTCCACTGCTGGAGGTACTCGTTGGACTCTACTCCACAAGGTCACCTGGATATCAATGGAATTGAGGAGAACAACTCACCGCAGTTTTTTCTTCCCCCAGCCATTTGAAAGTCGCATGTGATTTATGCCCCCTTGGTTGTTGTAGCTTGCATCAAAGTCCTCAGAGAACCTATAAATGGTCTTGTCTGAAGGCTGCTTGATGGGCGACTTGGTCGGGGAAGACTGCGCAGATCTCCCTGTGTTCGTGCGTTTTTCTGATACCCACCGACCTTTCACCCCTCGGGTGGTATTTGTCCACACCCATTTTACTAGATGCACGGTCCCCGCGAGGCATGACCTCCCTTGCCTTCGACTTGGCCATACTGAGGTCTGTGAGATGATAAAAGACAAGGGCTGATCTATTATTTAATCCTGCCTTAACAAGACCGTCCTTAAAAGAGCTCGAGTCATATTGTATTAACTAAGAAATACGATCGAGACATCAAAGCACAACACTTATGAAGACACACAAATCATGGTCAAGATATCCTAGTAAGAATTAATTGAGTTCATTAAGTGATTGTCGCAAAGATGAAGAAAGTCCATGCATCCTATATGCTTCCATAGTCTTATTTTGAAGTTCAAGGACTAGGTTAAATTATAGGGACATATAATGTATCTGAATGTAAGGCAAAGAATGGCCTGAACCCATAATGATTCCTAATGCAAATGGACAACACAATGCTAGTTTTGTTTGTTCAGGCCCAGTCTCGCTTAATTTAGCGTCGGATGTATGCTAATTATCTAAACCTCGCTCAACTGAAACCTTTCCAGACTATTCTTGTTCCCATCTGTTGTCTTCTTATTCCAACATCTTTCTTCCATGACAGGGAATGACTCGCAGTCAGATGAGGAGGCTCCGAAGCACCTGCCATTGAATGAAGAGGAGGTGGCTGTTCTAGAGGGCTACCTCGAGCAATAGAAGTCCACTTTGGGTGCAGAGAGAAATGTGGTCTGGGAGGATGCCACAAAGAGGCTCGGGTGAAGGCGCCTGCCATGAAACCTGAGTTGTTGAGGTCCCGGAAGAAGGTGAGTGCATGTTGCCATGAATCGCAAGACATGTGTTGAGATTTCTTCTATCCAGGTCTACAGAAAATGGCTGCAGAACCATGGGGGAAAAAGGAAGGGCAAACCCCCCATCAATCTAGGCCAGAAATGGACGTACTGGTCTGTTGTCGAGTCTCTGAGGAAGAGGGAACTCTTGAAGACGATCAAGGTTGAGACTGGAGCGAAGCCTGAGAGCCGGAGATGATGATCCACTATGCCAAGTATCTGATGGAGATGGTGAATTCTCTTACCGAGAAGGAGGTTGAGGAGGCTACCGAGATGGCTGCAGAGTGGAACAAGCAGGGTGTTCCTCTGGAGCTTCAGACAGACATTGCAAGACGAAAGGGCGAGGACATTCTCTGGTACGTAGCCAAGGAAATGTTCAAGAAGGCCAGAATGCGGCTGTTCATGATGTCGGCCTGGAAGAACGAACAGGGAAAACTCATGGTGTCAAGGTGAGCAATGTCAAGGTGTGATAAGGGACTGCCAGGTCTCAACAACAGACAGCCATGACTACAATGAAGAGTTCGGCAATGGGGAAAGCTTCATCAAGACGTGTGATTGGAAGGTTATACTGCCGGAATGGGAGGGCTATGTTGCAAAACAGTTTGGTGAGTACATGTAGAATGTTTTGGAAGTGACTTGGAGCTGACGGACGTCTTATGAGCAAGATGGTGACATCGAAGAGGAGACATTGGTAAAAATGGTTGCAAAGATAACACCTACACCTTGGAGATAGGGGCCAGTGGATTAGATGGATTCTGACACCCGGAAGGCCATTGTCCGGGCCTTCTTGAATTGGCATTATCGTGTGTGAACAACTTGTATTTCTCGGATGATTATGTGACAATTATATTAGAAGACTGCAGTGGAAAGACCAAGGATCCGGTGCCTTGGAAAGAAGTGATACCTGGCAAGAAGAGCTCATACAAGAAGAGCTCATACCACCACCATATCTTCCAGAGGGAAGAAAAAATCGGGAGCTGTCGAGGATGAATAGGAACGAGGCTACCAAATTGTTGGATTTCTGGTACAACAGACAACAGACCTGCTGGGATATCACTTTCGAGTTCTACGGTTGGTAGAGCAAGGCTGACAAGAGGTCAAGCCCCCTGTGAGGAGCGTGAGCTGGTTGGAATATGATAAACTGGAGGATGGTAAACAACAGAAGAAATCGGGAGGAAAAGGCAAGACCGGGAAAAGGCCTGGGCAAAAGTCCACTGCAACGGTGGATGATAGTTCACACAGCTCTGAAGAGGACGACATCCTGACCCACAGGCAAAAGCTTTCGAAGAAAACAGCAAAGAAACCTCACAAGTCAAGGTCCTGGGTGTACTCAGAGGAATCGTCAGATGGGTTCAGCACACCTGATGCATCTGACAAATCTTCGGATGATGAAATGCCCCGCCACAGGGAAGGGTAAAGCTCCGGTGAAAGACAAAACTGGTGAATCTGGGGGAAGGGTTAGAGAGCCAAAACAATGGATGTTGCTTGATCCTGTCGAAGAACAGGATGATCCCCCGGTAACATTCAGAGACCTAAACAAGGCCCATGAAAGAGCCCAGGAACCATCTGCATCCCGAGTTCTGCCAACTGCATCTGACATCCACAGGAGAGTAGGACCAGCATCTCATCCTGGCGGTGCATTGAGATGTAAAACCGGGTGGCCGTTAAAAGGCCATTGATTTGCCCGCCCCGCAAGAGACCACTGGATATCAAAATCTCGAAAAGAGTGGTAAAAGTGCAACTGCAGAGCTCTCCTGAGAAACATGCCAGGGTGCAAACAAAGGGGAAGAAATGTCCTGCTGAAGATCCGTTGAATGAATCTCCAGCCAAACACACAAGAAGCAAAACCGCAGATGCTCTCCCGAAAAGATCAAAGAAGCCCAACTCCAGATATGCAGCCAACTTCATTCAATCCTGAATCAGTCCTTGTTGCATTTCGGCAGTATTGCTGATGGAAGACCCTCATAAGACATAGTTGTAATGAGGCATTTTGTTATGCCCCAGAGTTGCCTTCCGGTGTGCCCAAAGTAATCTAGAATTCACCTGGCAGTCAAGTTGTTTGCTATTTACATTGCATGATGTTCTAATTCAAGGGAGTATCTACATTGCATCTACTCTACTTTGCCGCATCCTCCAGAGATCCAATGACATGATTCACGGTTTTGAGCAACCCGCGTTGAATTTGGATGAGCTGGTGCAGCTTGCACATGTCATCGCCTATATTGGTAACCCGGGTTCGGGCATCTGCGAAAGCACTGAGCATACCCCTGTTTTCGAACAGGATGTGCCCAGGCGCCAGGTTCGAATTCAATCAACGCACAGAATTTTTGACAAGGGCATGCATGTGGATATCCACTGCAGATTCATCAATAATGGAAATGAAAAATGGGTGGAGGCTGGCACTTACTCATGTCGTTGCTGATTGCCTTCATCCGATGATTGTACCGGAACCTCATGCGCTCGGCTGGAGTGCTTGCATCACGATCCGGTGTATCCCCAGTGGATTCATCGCTCTCATTACTGCCATCTGGGTCCAAGTCCATGGGCGTGGGGGAAGAATTTGTAAGATCGATTATATCTAGCTCAATGTCACCAATGTATTGTGCCGGAAGTTGGGAGACTTACCTTTCGCTTGGGTCGTGGGCCCAACTCCCCACCCAAGATCATAAGCCAGTCCATCTTCATTCATTAGATCAATGACATCTTTGAAATTGTCAAGTCTAGGTTGTGCCGGGAGTTGAAGGACTCACATTGGGTTTGGCCGGTGGCTCCAACATCTCACCCTAGATCATATGCCGGACCATCCTCATCCATGGAATCTTCAACCAAGGATATCTCTCCCAATCCGATATCATGCGCTGGGGCATCATCTTCAGGTCCCACACTCACAGCATCCGACGGAGCTTTGGGCATAGCTGGTCCCCACCCAAGATTAGGGAACTGCACGGGTATACCCCCGGGTATCAGAGGCCGTACCCGCACCTGTACCCGGCAAAAACCCGTACCCGCTCTGACGGGTACAGGTTTTTGGCGGGTACGACGAGCTCTGACCCATACCCACACCCATGCGGGGTTTACCCACAGGTACCATATACAAATAATAAATTTATTAGACACTGAAACTGCGAATGAGTGTGAACGAGCGAGAACAAGCACGAACTGGCGAGAACAAGCACAAATGGGGGAGAACAATTACGAACAAGCAAGAACAAGCATAAGCGAGCGTAAACAAGTGCGAACAAGCACGAGCAAGCATGGACAAGCGCAAACAAGTGTGAATCAGCACGAATGAGCGCGAACAAACGAGCGTGAATGAGTGTCGAGGGCGGGGCAAAAGTGAGGATTGAGGAGTGTCGTGAAGTCTATGGAAATGAGGCCAGTTGATGCAGTGAAGCAGCATGAAACGCACAATACATGCACCTTTCCAGCTTAGAGAAGGACACCCACAATCCCTCCAAAGTCCACCTCCATCGCGCCCAATGCCATCAACCTCCGGTAAAATGTTGAAGTTCATTCCAATCACTACACTCCTGCAAGAGTTCAAAGGTTGTGAAGGCTGGTAATGGCAGTCGCAGTTTTCTCCGGTAAGCGGTGGGTGGTTACAGCCTCAGATGACAAGACGCTTCGTATGTGGGACTTGGACACAGGTGTTGTGTTGAAGAAGATGGAGGGGCATCACTGAGGTGTGGAGATTGGCAGGATCATGAGATGGGCAATTGGTAGCAAGTGGTGATGCTGATGAAGAGGTCATCTTCTGGCATGGAGAAACTGGAGAATCACTCACCTGACCCATTTAAGCCCATTCTAACAGGATCAACTCACTGGATTCTTCTCCCAATGGAACAGCGCTGGCCAGCGCCGTTTTCCCCGATAGGTTATGGACTCGAAGAACAAGACACTTTTTCTGTGGGACTTGAAGATAGGTGTTGTGTTGAAGAGAAAAGGAGGTGTAGACATTGGCGGTATCACGATATGGGAAATTGATAACAAGCGGTGATGTTTGCGATGGAGAGTCCTGGGCATCTATGGAAATGAGGCCAATCGACGCAATGAAGCAGCGTAAAACGCACAATACACACACCTATGCAACTTAAAGCAAGACACCCACAATCCTTGGAAAGTCCACCTTGACCGCACACAATGCTAGTAAAATGGTAACTGCAAAAAACACGCCTCCAAGAGGGATATGGGAGGACAAACACTGGGAGGTTCCTGTGACTAGGAGTAAGTGTAGTTGTCAAACTTTGCGCACCGTTTGGTGGCAGTTGCCGCAGATAGTGCTGTTTTTAGTAAGTCAAATTGTATGGCACTTCATTTTGATCAAAACACGGCACAAGGGTATGGGTATGGGTATGGGTATCGCAATACCAGACCTGTACCCGTACCCCAGAGACACCCATACCCCACACCCGCACGGGTATACCCGTACCCGAGATCGTATGTTGGGCCTTGGTCTCCATGCTTGTCTGTTCAGACAGTCAAATACAGATGCTTCATTGATCAAATTTCACTTACCGGTGATTGCATTATCATCCAAGGTAGGAGCATCTGGTGCCATGGGTCCCCACCTGAGATCGTACACCAGACCTTGGTCTTCAGGGTCGTCTGTTTGGACAATCAATTAAAAAAGAATCCATTAAAATTGGACTTACCTGCAAATGAATGATCATCCGGGGTGGGGGTGTCACCCGGTGTGGAAGATGCAGCACTCCACCCAAGATCATACGATGGACTGTCATCGTCCACAAGTTCATCCACCTCTTCCTCCTCATCCACAGACTGCATTGGGGAGCGTAGGAATTCCGGGTCTCGGGACTTGGCCAATCCTCATCGAACATGGCTATCAATGTGATGTCAATCCAATTTGGGAGAGAAGGAAGAAGAAGCTTACAAGAAAGTTCTGCAATATAATCGTCCAGGCCAGAGCAGGCCCAATCATACCAGTCGGGAGTTGAATCTCCCAGATCTTCAATCGTCTCGATCCGAGTTTCCAGACCCATGTTATATCCTATAATTGCATTAGTTCATTACATCCGAAGATCGACGGGAGAAGAAGGACTTCTAAATTTCAAATCAGGGAATCTGTGCCTGACTCTTGGCGTGGTCCACTGGTCTATCGGTACGAAATTACCCCACCATACTGCAAGGGATTTTTTCTGTCGTGCATCAGCAAGGCACTCACCGGCTGAGGGCAAGTTTTGCTCTCCCTGAGTTTCCAATGGTGTTGAAAAATGCACCCTGCGGGATGACATTGGGCTGAGCTTAAAAAGCTTTCGGGTTGTCGAGGGGAGGATTAAATAGGGAACAGTGAAGTGGTCCAGCGGTAGGACTTGTGTGGACTGAAAGATTCAGTGGATGATCATTGGCCGTGTCAACAATGGTGATAGATATGGGCCATGGCAACGGCCAAACTTCTATTGTTGCCTAATGTATTGAGGTCAAGGCACAATCAACACGCGTCCATGGGAAATTCCATGGCCGCACTTTGGCCACATTACCTGTTCCCTATATATACATCACAACTTGACCTCCAACTTTTCCCCCCAAATTCTCATACCCTAACTTTACACCCGCATATTACTTTTCTTGTACCATCCTGCTTTTCTATTACAATGTCTTCATCTCAACAAGCAAATGACGCGTTCAACCTTGTCGCCAAAAAGATTCACCAGCTGATCGCAAGCTCCAGCAAGCTCCAGGTCGGTGACCCAGCTGCCAAGCCTTTGGCACATGAAATTGCCATGACTTTGGTGAGTCTTTAATGTTTTTGAGTTTTTAATGTTTGATGACTGGATTTACTTACTTTTTTAGGCAACTGCATTTGCCCAGCATGGCAATGCTACCACATCGGTGGCCCCCAAACTCTTGTCCTGTGCGGCAGAGATCAGGGCCAAGAGTGGCCCGAATGGCAAGCTCAAGGCCTTGCCAGACTGGAATGCCATCTTGGATGATGACCTTCGCATCCGGAACCACCCTCTGTTCCCCAAGACCGTCAGGTACAAGCCCCCGACATGCCCACCCACACCTCCCACCGCACTGCCTGCCCCACCCGCGCCATTGACACTTGGTCCCCGTGCACCATCGCCTGCGCCAGTTGTCACCATTGTCCCCAAGCACAAGCTATTTGTGCCGGGCAATGGCAACACCAATGCCAAAGAAAATGGCAAGCGCAAGGCCTCAACACCCGAACCTGATGTCAACACTGGCAAGGAGCTCAAGAAACAGAAAACGTCGAGGCGTGCGGCGAGCAAGGCACCCTGGGCAAAGAGCAAGGCGCACTCCAGCAAGGTGAAGTCCAAGGAGTTTGTCACCGATGATGATGACGAGCAAGTCCCAGCCGATAAGATCATTTTTGTCAAGGTGAGTTTTTACTTTTCTCACACCTGACATATTAATTGAACAAAACTTCAGAGAAAAATCACTGCCCTGCCTGGCACTCAACCAGTCATCAAAGAGATGACAAAAACACAGGTGCGTATTCAACCCTATGGTTGTTGTAAGTTATGCTACCATGTTCTTCAGCACCCTGATTCGACTTCCAAGGATGATGCACTGGTTGAAGAGACATCCACCGTGCGTCTCTTTGGCATGCAGTGCGAGGGCTGTATCAAGCACAACATTCCTTGCAAGGTGGTCCTCAGCAAGAAGATGGGCGAGATCTGGAAGTGCTGTCGCAACTGCGATGAGAAGAAGATGAAATGTATTTGTCCAACACCCGAGGAGGCCCGAGTTCTTCAACTTGCAGTGGACTTGAAGAAGTCCAAGGCCACCACAAAGACCCGGGCAGCAAAAACACCTTGGGCAAAGACCCCCGTCGTTATGCATTCAAAGGTGCCTGTCAGTTCCTGGTCCACCCATGCCACCTCCCGCGCCCGCCTGCAATCTGTTAGCCGGGCATTGTCGCCTGTGGTGGACAAATCCGGCGATAAGGACGCAAAGGGTGATGTTGATTCTGAACATGGTAAGTCCTCTGTCTTGAATTTTGGCTGTTGGTTGACACTTTCCTGAAGCAGCAACACCGGCAGTGACTTGCATTGCCCCCGTACCTGTTTCTGAAAGGGCGGCTGATGATCACCGGGAGACAAGTAAGTCCATTTTATCTACTTACATATATTGTTATTCACGCCTTCCAGTAGTCGCATCAGCTCCCAATGTTGACAACAACGTCAACATGGGGGTCGACCTTCAGACCACTGTGCAAGACCTCCCGGTTCCAGATGCCCGGCAGGGTGCTCCTCCCAACCTGGCCATACAACAACCCAGAAATCTCGACATCATCCAATCCATCCATGCCATGCGTCAAGAGTTCAGCGGCATGTTTCAACACTTGGGTGATTGTTCTGAGGCAGTCAAACGAAAGATCACCACCCAGGTCAACGACTTGGCCGATAATTGGGAGATGAGGTTTGACGCTATGGAGAAGAAGATGAAGGATGTCAAACTGCACACGACCAGGAACACCATCTCCATCGGGCACATGGCCAACACCATGAAGACCTTCAACAAATCCGGCAATGTCTCTGCTTTCAACCTCCCGCCGGCCCATCAAATCAAGGGCACCCCTTTGGCCAGATCCCCCCTTCTTGGCTTCCCCAACTCCCACTTCCGGCTGATGATTGCCTCCCTCAGCACCCAAGCGCCTCTAAAGTGGGGAAGCTGTTCACCACAGCTTGGGATGAATCTAGAGGTCCTGGTGCTGGTGGTGCCGGGAAAAGCTCTGCATCAGCAGTTGTGTCTTCTGGCCATCACACCGGCCTCAGTGCAGGCTCCCAATTGTCAAGTCTCCCATCAGGTAGTTCCTCTCCTAAAGATCAGTAGATAGTAGATAGTTGGATCTTACATCTCTCTTTACTTTCGCAATTACCATGTACATTAGAATCTCATTGATCAGTGTCAATGAAGAAATGAAATATGACCAGTGTCATTACAATGGATAATACAATGCTGCCACTACCTCCCGGGTGTACACATCCATCCCAGTCAAGCAAGTCTTGTGATGTCTTTGGTTGCAATCTGGTTATCATGTATATCTGACAAATTCAACTAATGCAATGGGATGTCAGCATCTCCTGGGTATTTGATTGTCAATGCATTGTTCATGTTTAAGCATGGGACCCGCTGAGGCGATCTCAACCTGGCTGGACTGATATGAAATATCTAAAAATGCTCAACCAGTATAAGTGAGTCTTGGCTCTGCCTAGCTGCTATACTCGCAGAATGCAAGAACGTTCGACCCTAAAGGGGACTGCTACTGAACACAGAACCAGATGAATGAAAGACCCTTGTAGTGCGATGGATGCGCGAAAGCATGAGAAGAAAAGCGAAGTGAGCACGAAGTGAAAGAGAGCGCACTAAGGTAAACGCGAGCGTGGGAACGTGAGCGCTAAGGCGCGCGTTGTGCAGAAAATACTGGATAAGGAAACGGATAAGGAAGCGGATGTGCAAAGCAAGTGCAAATGCAGAACGAGTGTTATAACGAGCGCAGATAATAGTCTAGTATAGGCGGATAACGATAACCATTGGAAACACAAAGTGCGCCCAAGTGGTGACTACTACTTTAAAGTAAAACCCAATAGCGAGGGAAGTACAGCAAAGGGGAGTAATAATGATGGAGTAGTAAGTCAGCAAACTTTATACTATGGAAATTGCATCGGAAGCGGAAGGGATAGGAACAATAAGTGCTATGAATACGTAATGACATGTAATAGCGCTGCAATGCTTGTTACAAACCACGAGGCAAGGGATATGACGTACCAATGAGGTGGATGGACATAGAGGGACATTCCTGGATGATAGGCGATGCAGGGCGCTTAAGCGTGAGAAAGTGCGCAAGGTGCACGTATGGGAATGCTGCGCGTTGTGTGTTAAAACGACCAGAGACATGATAGAAGTTGAATACAGATGATGGTGCGAGTCGTGCAGTAAAGGCCAGTCATCAGAATTCGTAAAATGAGCCCATATGTGCCTGTAGAAACGCGAGTCTCTACACCACCTGCATCTACCAACATTTCAATCCCAAATTTTTGCAAGCTATTGCCAATCTTCACTGTGAACCTTATCGTGCATCACCCACCAAACCTACCAAGAATACGGGCCCATGTCATGCACTGCACGCAATCCGGTCCATCCATATTCACTGAGATTTCTATCCTATGCCATGTACTATATTAAGCACTACTTGACAGGGCCATCTGTGTCTACCGAGATTCCTATCCCATTACCTGGTAGTGTTGCCAACTGGGCCCATCCATATCTACCAAGATTTCTATGATATACCATGTACTACATATACCACGCACTATACCTGACAGGGCCCATCCATATCCACTGAGATTCCTACCCCATACCCTGTAGTGTTTGCAATCGGGCCCATCCGTATCTACCGAGATTCCTATCCCATACCCAGTGGTGTTACCAATCGGGCCCATCCGTATCTACCAAGATTCTTGTCCCATACCCTGTAGTGCTGCCAACCAGGCCCATCTGTATCTACTGAGATTCCCATCCCATACCCTGTGGTGCGACCAACTGGGCCCATCTGTATCTACTGAGATTCACATCCCATACCCAGTAGTGACCAACCGGGCCCGTCCGTATCTACGGAAATTCCTATCCCATACCTGGTAGTGTTACCAACTGGGCCCGTCCGTATCTATCGAGATTTCTATTGTATACCATGTACTATATCATGCACCATAGTCGATAGGGCCCATTCGTATCTACCGAGATTCACATCCCATACCCTGTAGTGTGACCAACTGGGCTCATCCGTATCTACCAAAATTCCTATCCCATACCCGGTGGTGTTACCAATTGGGCCTGTCCGTATCTATCGAGATTTCTATTGTATATCATGTACTATATTATACACCATAGTTGATAGGGCCTATCCATTGTAGAGACTCGTGTTTCTGCAGGCACATATGGGCTCATATTACGAATTCTGACAACTTGCCTTCATGGCACAACTCGCACCATCATCCACTATGACTTCCACCATGGAGCGCACCACTTCCTGCAAAACGCGCCATAGGCGCGACACTTTCCCACACAACGCGCAGTATTCCCGTGTGCGCGCCTTCTCGCACGTAAGCGCACTATGCCACACAGCATCCAGGAGCATCCATCCATCATCCAACCAGTCCCTTGGTATGTCCCTTTTCGTTATCTGACTATATTTGGCATATTACACTTCCTATTTCATCATGGACCCTGACTTTACATCACTTTACATCACTTACATACTTAGAGCGCTCCCTATTCGGCTCCGAGCCCTGGGAGAGCGCTTAGGTAGAACTTACATACTCTCATGTTCGTTTTACACGGAACTATTCCACCTTAGCTTCCTACCACCTTAGCTTCCTACCACTCAGTATCTATCACCAGTTAGTTCCATGCAATGCATGTGTCCATCATCGTCTTGAGGCCCTAGCATCAGTTCTATAGCTAGTGGCACTATCAGTATCTGTCTAGATCCGCACTTTCCTCTTATCAGTCTCAGTATATATCTTTTACACCTGTGCACCGCTTGCACTACCTTCCCGCGCTCCGCGCACTTTCGCACTTCGCTTTCCCGCGCGCGCCTTCAGTGCATTTCTCGCGCTTTCACCGCCATTCACCAGGGTTGTTCAGCATCATTCCGTGGATCCTTGCTTTCCTTGCTTCCCCTTTAGGGTCGAATGTTCTTGCATTCTGCGAGTATAGCAGCTAGGCAGAGCTGAGACTCACTTATACTGGTTGAGCACTTTTCTTATATGTGCCTGCCAGGTTGTGATACCCACACCGTATCTACCGAGATTCACATCCCATACCCTGTAGTGCGACCAACCGGTTGTAGAGACTCGATCCTGGGTAGCCTCACAATGGCACATATTGCAACATAGGTCGAGTCTACAGTATCATGCATGTAACACGACACTTGTGCGATAAACGCGACGTTTGCGCGACGCGCGCGACTTAGGCGACACTTCCGCGACATAGGCGACACTTGCGCGACTTGCGCGCGCTTTAGGCGAATTTTCCCGCGCCTAAGCGCTATAGGGCGCCTGACTTCCCACTGTGTTTTCCCATGTCCAACCAAGTTCCCAGGTATGCATTTCTCCATTTATCATTTATTTCAACATCGTACCATGTTTATTTTCACTTGGTACACATTTTTCATTACACATTTTTTACTTAACACAACACACATTACCACGGACCACCATCATCATAGACAGTCACCATCTCCGAGTTTTTATTATGTTTTGAATAAATCATCGCAAGCCCTAGTAGCAGTTAGCTCTAGTGGCCATATCCGCATCAGTTGTCTTATCAGCATCTCAGTACACATCTTAACATCTCACTATCGCTCGCATACCGCTTTCACCCAGTTCCGCTTTTCGACGCGCGACTTTCCCGCGCTTCGCGCGCCTATAGCGCCTTTGTTCCCGCGCTTTCGCCTTATCACGCACTTTGCGCATTCCCCCTAGAGTTGACCAGTGGATATTTGCTTTCTCCGCTTCCCCTAAGGGACGAACATATCGCACTCATATTTTCCTCCCTTCAACAATTATATCAGCTGCACCCTCAGCTGAGTTGAAGATCCTTCACCGGGCCTGTCTGTATCTACCGAGATTCCTATCCCATGCCCTGTAGTGTTACCAACCAGGCCCATCTGTATTATCCGACATTAGCATCTCATACCATCTACTGCACTCAACCGGGCCCGGACATATCCACCGGAATGGATGACATACACTACCATAGCTGGCCCATCTGTCAGTATCAGACAGCCGTATCCATATGGGCCCCACCAATTCTTCTGGGACCTACCTATATCAGGGCCTGTCTTGGTTGACCCGTCTCCCATGAAAGAATCTCAACCTTGGGTTGTCCGATTAATATGGGAAAATTTGACTGAATTATGTGTGACGGAGCCTGTGTCAATAAAGGATTCAGTCAAGAAACAGTTCCTGAGAAGTTCTCCAGATCAGTTTCTAGATCGTTTGATATGGAAGCTTACCTGGCCCACACGAATGTGGAAATGATAACATATATCCAAGGACACACAATAAGGAACAGTATTGCTGGGTTGTACCTAAGTGTTGCATGCTCATCCGCTGTCTATGCTGAGGTCCAAGATCTTTGTCAGAACCATTATGCACAATAGGTCCACGACCATTGACAATTTTCCTGAACTACAACCAAAAATCACAGATGACTGCTTCGCATTTGCCCCACACACCTTGAGCGTCGAGTCCACATCGCTTTCATCCCTCAGCCCAGTGTTCACCCCAATATCACTACCATTATGTGGAGTAAATGGCGCATCACAACCACTGCTGGAGTCACCTGTTGAGCTGCCAGCGGGGCTCTGGCCTCGTAAAGAACTGTTACTGATGAATGGGCGGGAGGGCATGAGTGACTGTGATTGCAACCTTGGTGCTGCAGGCATACCAGGCCTTGAGGAAGGCACAAGGGAGACAAGTGTGCCTGACAGCGGCCAAGATATTCTGCTATTCAACACACTTGGCGTCAAAGGAGGGCACATCTTGTATTTCAAAGAACCCCAACTGGCTTTCATGAAGGTGAATCAGGTACAGCGGTGATGCGAGTGACAGGTGGGACATGAGAAGAGCACAAGGACCAAGAAGTTGAGATGATGGAAGAAACATCTGACTTGTTGGTTGAAGGTACATTGGAATGCTGAGCCAGGATACCTACACGAGAACGAGGAGAGAATGAAGACTTGATAGAAGGAGATCATTGTGGAGAGGGAGACCTTTTGGAGAAGGTGGAGAAGGTCGCTGTCAGCGAGGCTGGTGATACTGCCTGAGAGACCCAGTGGTATATCAATGCAGAGGGCGTGAGGTGATGCTGAAAGAAGCTGGTGGTTTATACTCTCGACAGGCGTTGGTACACTAAAAGTGGGGGAATAAAAATTGAAGGATGATGCTAAACTGATAGCAATGCGAACTACGGCACCTTCTGGTCGGTAATAGCGGGGTAAAAGCTGTGAACACGGCCACCACTTTCAGTTTCTGTCAGGTCCCCATCCTCTTCCAGGCGCTTCGATGCAGGCTGGTGCTTGTACAAGTGGTTAATTGTGAAAGAAAGGCAGCAATTATTGCAATGGAGACAGTCAGACTTCTTCGGTACAGAGAAGCCACCTTAGAAATGGAATTCAACAAAGTCCCTTGACAAATCAGCTTGATTGAATTACCTCCATGTGGCTTGACCATGAACACCATTTATGTAGGTCAACAATGAAGGGGCCCTCAGAGTATGTTGCACACAGTATGATGTAACTGCTTCAGCTGCACAAATGAGACTATCACATTCAGATAAATGCCAGGTTCAATGATACAAGAACACACCCAAAGTCATAAAGCAATTGAGGATGTCTTAGCGCAAGTTATGATGACTGTCAGCTGGTAGATAGTTTCCGTGAGGCTTTGTCTGGTCTCCATATGTTCATCAAGGTCCGAGCCAAGGCTTTGGCCCATATGAGTATGTGCCTCCTATACCAAGCCCATAGTGAAATGCATGAGGGAATCATGATCAACAAAGTTAGTACAGATCTAAATAAAATCATGTACCTGACTCATGTCAATTATGTTTTGTTGTGTTCCCACAACGGCTTTACCAAACTTCAAAGTCGTTGTGATGTAATTGGTCTGTATCATCGTCAGCGTCCACATCGCAGTGGTGTAGCTCATTGGATAATATAGGCCGTAGGATAGATCGATCCCAGAATGTTTGTGAACCTTCAAGGGCATCAGTTGTGGAGGAGAACTGGTAGGTCTGCGCTTACTGTGGTCAGAGAAATTGAATGCGTGAGTGTTCTCAAGAGCTAGGGTATACAGTGTTATCTCAGTTTCGGTGCGGCGCATCTTGGCCTGCAAGATGAGCAGATCCAGCCTGTGATTGCATAGGTTAGCGTTACTGCACTGAGCAATGAAGGACTTTGACATCAGCTCCGACTGCATGTCCAATTCCGTTTGGAATGCCTTGTAAAAGGCTTCTTGGATGTCAGCAGGGGTGGTGAGGAGCTGATGCACTGTAGAGAGACAGTTAAGCATAGCCAAACAGAATTTATAGTACTGACATCTAAAACATTGTGCACTGGTTCTTCCTGTGCAAAGGGGGGTTGACCGAGTGATGAAGGGGGGGAGCCCTCCAATGGGGGGGGGGGGGGCTTCCAAGCGAAGGGGAGCTCTCCAAAGGTGGAGACAATCCTGCTGAGTTGAGGTATGCATCATTCCTTGTTAACCAAGCTTCGCACTTTGCTCATGTAGAGATCGAGCAGGCCAGAGGTGCACAGGGTAAAGGTAAGCACTGTGATGGCACACCCACATGCCTGAAGGTTGCTGAGGGAGTTTTGATCTCATGCTTGGCTGGAGCTTCAATATGTGCTACATAGTAAAAGGGTGAGGACCATAACTCTACATCTCAAAGTCAAAGAAGCTCATGCATTTGGAATTGCTCCAGGATTTTGATGGCCTGTGAGTATAAAGACACCTCCATCTGACACCGTTTCTTCCTATCTTCCATAAGAAATCACTCTACAGCCGCATGTCTTCCCCTATCCCCACTGACATTACAGATGCCCTGGTGTCTACACAAGGTTTCCTCCTGCATTGCCTCTATACTACGCTCCCCCACTAGTTCCCAAAGATCACAGGATACACTCGATCTTTGAGCAAGTATGACAGTATGTATAATTCAGTCTGGAGCTGTAAGAAAAATAAAGCAAATCAAGATATACCAAGATGTAAAATTATCAACTGACCTTCTGGCTTGCTATCAGTCCAATGTAGGCATCCATGAATTTGGAGCCTAATAAGGTGGAGAGGTGAAAATGTCTATACGAGCAGTTGAGTAATCAAGTAGTTCAAGTGAAAGACAAGTTGACATCTTTGGATGAACCTGTGGGTAGTATCTGGTACTACGATATTGCGCAGAAAATGAGCTGAGGCTTATTTGTAGCGAGGAACTTTGAAGGGCAAGTGGGGGTGGGAATCCTCAAGAAACTTGAGAGCTCCATGGCGCTCAAGCAGTCCAGGCCATCAAAAGAACGAGCCAGGTAGCCATCAAAAGAATGAGTGTGTGAACTTTCTCGCCATTCTTGCATTCTGAGCAACCCTTTAGACTATCAGAAAGACCATAAATTGTTGGACATCAATCAATGAACAGGAACTACACGATTTATTAACAGACACTTGAGCATGGGTGTTATTATATTGAAGCTGCTATATCAAACAATTATGACAGTCCTTTCACACTCCCCAGAACAGATGTGGCGATTAATCGCTGGCCTTGCTCCTACTCGCCTGCATTTGTTGCAGCATTTGAAGAGAATACGAAATTTCTTGCCGGAATCCCATCACCTTCTGAAGGGTCAAGCCTATTCAATAAGTCTGTTTTCTCTCTGCAGTTATACTCAAGTTCAATTGGCAGGACTGGATGTTCTTTATCATCCATCAATGAGGCTGCGGAGCTGTAGTGAAGCAAACTCATACCTCTTTGAGGGTACTGGAAAGTGGCTAAAGAGGACATCCGGAAGTATATGTCTATTTTCACTATACGATGGTGAGTCTGAAATCTTCTTAAGCATGAAGAATACTAACCTCGATATCCGCATTTATCTGATGCGCATCTCGCAATCCATTCTGTAGTCTTGTCAATAGTATTCTGCCAAGAGTACACTGCTGCCTCTATGTATGCATTCCTTCCACCGCCATCAGCGCATAGGCAGCAAGGATATCCAAATTTGTGCCCGTCACGGTACTTTCTAGACTGGACAGTGGAATCCTCTCTCCATCACACCGTCAGCAGGCCTGCGTTGTATGGAGTCACGGCCTAGACTTTGCACAGGATTCAACTCACCAACACCATTCTGTCATGGATTTTGAGGCGCTGTCATAGTGTAGGAGGGCGATGGGGCAGGTCATAGCCTCTGCAATTAATTTAGCCAACCTCCGAGCGGTTTCATGGTAGTCGGGTGGGGAAGTGATGGTAGAGGAGGGTGAAGATGGAGGTCCCATTGGGCAGTCTATTGCAACAAAGGTGTACTCTGCTGATATACAAGGCCGTGAGTTTTAACCCTACCCACTCTTTCTTGCCATTTAGCCACCTAAGGCTCTGGTCTGTGGAATTTGGTCATCCGATGATGGCAGCTGTGCTGGCAGTCCAAGGCTTGGCTGTTTCTGCTGAACCTTGTTATGACATAGCTGAAGTTCTGGTAAGTCCTTTTTTCATCCGACCTCAATTGGACACTCGTTCTTACAGCTCCTCCTCTTCATGGACTTTGGGGGTTCACCACTGACTCCCACTCCTTTCAGGTGCACCTGTATGCGTCACTTTACACAGAAGAGCGCCTACACCAAACATCAATGTTTGTGTATGCAAGGGAAGAAGCAATTACTTTCTGCTTTATCCAAAGCCAAAGACCTTTTGGACTTTGCCAAACGGTTGCGAGTGGACGGCAGTGGCAGACTGTATGCCTGCCTTAGCACGACATCTTCAAGTGTACAGCCCCACCACCCATGTGACCTGTCTCTGTCCGCAAACCAGGTTAATGAAGGATCTGTTGCAGGGCCTTCCAACACTGACTCAAACCTGTCGGAAATGCACCCCCAAAAGGAGGTTTCCTGTACAGCTTTCTTGTCGCTCAATACTAATTCAGGTGCTACACCTATGGTGACAGATGATGACGAAGGCCTATCACTGGCACAGCGGAGAAGCCGACATGTTGATGTCCCCATGCCACTGCGTTACAGGCAGTACGAGGACACTCTTCCACAACCTCCCCCAAGTGTTTTGTTTAGCCATACTGCCCTGCCACCAGATCCCAACCCACCAGAAAATCGCACTCATCTTTCCACCGGTACTCGTACTTCGTTTCGGGGTCCTCCTTTCCGTACGGCTAAGAATGTCTTCGGACTAGTACACCAGTTTTTCTCATCAACCCCCCCCCCCCCCCCGTCTCACGACCCTGAAGAAGCTGTGATGCTGCAAGACATCAGCTCTGTCCCGGCTGTCACTCCAGCAGAGCCAGATGCCCCCTGTGTGCCTCATGACCTTACATTTCACCCATACCCCAACTGGTCTTCTTTTGAGCTCGGCCACTGGTACTGGAATGGTGGCATGCAGAAGTCTCATCAGGACTTTAAGGAGTTGATTGATGTTGTTGGCGATTCACATTTTGATCCTGACAAAGTGCGGAGTACACCATGGGACAGGATCAACTTGACATTAGGTGCGAGTCATGATGATGAAGAGGAAAACGAATGGGAGGACGAGGATGCGGGCTGGCGTAAAACCGAAGTCACCATTGAAGTGCCTTTCTCTTGGACCACAGCCCAGCCAGGTTCTTGCCCGTATGTGGCAGCAGACCTTTACCATAGACCTCTCATCTCCGTCATTCGGGAAAAGCTCTTGAATGCTCAGGATGATGAGCTTTTCCATTATGAGCCTTACGAGCTACAATGGAGTGCTCCCCATCTTCCCCATGAAGTACACATTCATAGTGAACTGTACGCTTCACCAGCCTATATGCATGCACACCGCGAGCTTCAGGAATCTCCTGGAGAGCCAGGATGTAACTTACCCTGTGTGGTTGTTGCACTTATGTTTTGGTCAGATGCTACGCACCTGACAACATTTGGTAATGCGAGGCTATGGCCGGTGTATATGTACTTCAGTAATGAATTGAAAATACCGCTATTGTAAACTGTCCTGTCATCTGGGTAACCATGTCGCTTACTTTCAAAAGGTACAATTACCTTTATGAACCCTGTTAAGCACGAAAGCTTATATCGCGGTAGCTTCCAGATTCATTTAAAGATTTTGCAAGTACCTACAGTGATGGCAAGGGGGCTAGCTGCGAATGTGCAACCCATTGCCATCGTGAATTATTTCAAGCACAATGGAAAATCTTACTCAATGATGAATTTTTAGAGGCTTACAAGCATGGTATTGTTATCATTTGCTGTGACAGTGTCGAATACAGGTTTTATCCTCAAATATTCACCTACTCTGCGGACTATCCTGAAAAGTGAGTTGTGAACGTCAGCTATATGAATTTGAAGCTAACAAATTCCAGGGGTTCTGGTTGCAACAGTTTGGCAGATGGGAGGGTGCCCTTGTCCAAGATGTCTAATACCGACTGCACAGCTTCACAATTTGGGAACAAGCTGTGATAGGCACGAATGTTCAATGCTTGCGCAATCCGATTCCTTGAGGAGTGAGCTGGTTACCACCGTACGTAGCCTCATCTACGACAAGAATCATGGTATAGATAGTACAGGAGTTGAGGTACTTCTTAAGCCTAAGTTGTGGGTGCTGACCTCAGTGAGCATGATCATCGGTTGCTTTTGCTGCCCTTACTTACCCTTGATTAGAATGCTTTATCCGACACTGTCTTACTAGGATGTGAAAGGCAAGAAAACTCTCCAAATTTCACAATCCTCCACGGTCAATGGTTCAGACAATTACCAATGGTTGATAATGTGGTCGTTCGTGGGGGACGAGGTGTGTTGAACTTTTCAAGCGAACACTAGTGATGTAAAAGGGGCAAAGAAACGATAGAAACTAATAACGATAGAAACCAATAAGTAGCACAAGGTAGTGCTATAACCTGTAGAATAATATGTTGCAGCTGTATGCAATGAACTATAGCTATATTATATCCCTCTTGGATATTCCTTACTTATACTTCAGCAATGGAGAACAAATTCACTAGCGGGATTGTCCCAATATGTGGCCTCGAAACCAACTCTCTGCTGCTCAGGATCTCACAATGAGTAATGACGCAGTCCAGAATAGAGTACACCTTCTTGATGTAGTCTTAAGTGGCCAACCTCTTAATATTCATTGACAGATTGTAGGTCTTATTTGTGTCTACCCTAATTGATGAATAATACGTGAAATTCTCCCCACAGAACTTTTCCTGTGTCTAAAAGAGAACTAGAATGATTGAAGACGATAGAATCAAAGATGGCTCAAGAATGTGGCCAAATACTTCGGAAGAATGTGCTTTAAGAATGTGCTAATTGAAGATTATGTAATCAAATGTGGCTCAAGAATGTGGCCAGATACTTCTGAAGAGTGTGAAGTATAATGTCAAAAAAATGGAGCTAAATAAGCTAATATTTCTCCTGATATTCACTTGAATGTTCACTAAAATAATGGGGACAAAGAATCTAAGGGGTGAAAGAATGTTCCCCTATGTTCCCCTAAACTGTGCTTCACTCTGTTAATACTTGGGAATCAAATTGATTGCTTCACAAGAAGGGAAAATGAGCCCCCTTATATACTACTAGACTAGTGGCTGTGCTACTGATTACTAATGTACTATAGAATATTCCAGAATGTGTCAGAATTATTGAGAAAGAACTATAGAATGTTATAGAATGTTATAGAATGTCATGGAATGTCATGGAATATTATGGAATGTCATAGAATGATTGGTAAGATACTCATAGAATGTTCTAGAATACTCAGCAAAGGCTGTGTTCAGGTCCTTCTAGCACTGCCTAATTGCTGTGCATTGATTACCAATCCATTCCAAGCTATTTGTTTTATATTGTCAACTTGGTTTGGTTGGCACTGCCTTGAGTACATAGATGTAAATAAAGCGTGCATAGAATGTGTGTGTACATATGTTTGGCATAGGGGTAAATAAAATAAAATAAAGAATTATAGAAAGGATAGAGAGTACATTAAGTATTTAATTTGAACCGCTAAGTCGTATCTTGGTGATACATGCTCAGAAATGTCCAAAGTAAATTGAAGTAAGGTATAGAAAATTCAGGGGAAGTGCATAGACTATAGTAAGGAATTGCATATATCATAAATTTGCCATGACCATGTACGAAACAGGTTTCGTGCATGTCAACACCCTCAGAGCACTCGGATTCAATCCATTTGCTACACTTGTTGTTGATCTCCTGCACGAATTTGAGCTCGGGGTGTGGCACATGCTTCTCATTCATTTACTGAGAATCTTTTCGCTTTGAATAAGGATCTGATCAACAAGCTTGATAAAAGGTGCACGATACATATCTGATGAAGGCCCAACATACTTATACACCCCTGACAGGTATAGGCAGGCCCCCTGTTTGGACCCTCAACCATTAGGCGGTTCTCTGCCAATACATCTGAGTTGTCAAATATGGCCACTCAGAACTTTGAAGATCTTCTGCAGGTATGCCTTTAGAACAATTCTCCTAGGTCCTTTGGAACTCACATTGTATAAGTGTTCTATTCCAGTATTTGAAGGCCTTCTCCCGGACGATCACAACAAAATCATCATCGATCTGCTCTTTATTATGGCACACTGGCACGGACTCACTAAACTTCAGATGCACTCTGACCTGACATTAGATATCCTTGACCGGCAAAACCACTGAACTTGGTGAACAGCTTCACCAGTTTAAGGTGAAGGTGTGCACTGTGTACAATACCAAGGAACTTAATCATGAGCTCGATGCGAGATATTTCCGACAGGCAAAAGAAACAGCTAAATGGGCAGAGAAAAACAAGGCAGATGGCAGTCAGCAAGGGGCTGCAGCTCGAAAGCCTAAGGGAGGTGCCAATGTTAAAGGGAAACAAAAGGCAAGCCCAGAGCAATCACAGGATGCACCTTTACCACGGCAACCCAGGAGAAAGAAATCATTTAACCTTCAGATGTACAGTGGCTCAAAAAACTGTCCGTATGTTTTGGCATTTTTCACTATCTATAATATTGTGTGAGAACAAAACAAATGCCTCAAAAACATGCTTATACCACATTGTAGTATGGCTTCAGGGCTTTCATTTGAGCCCTACACCGTGGGAATCGGTGGAGATATGGTGGAGATACAAGGCTCACAAAATGGTGACTCATGCGGACAGTTTTTTGACTCAAGTATTTTACAGTAATAACCAGGTATTCTAGTATTTTGTATGACCTCCCTTGGCTTTAATTACTGCCTCTATCCTTCTAGGCATACTCTCAATTAATTTCTGGCAATCCTCAGCTGTGATCTTCCCCCATTCCACTGCTACTCTCTCCCAAAGCTCCCATACTCCTTTAGGGGGGGTTTTCATAGGCTTGAAGCTTTTTCTTGAGTGTTCCCCAGAGATGTTCAATGACATTGACATCAGGAGACTGTGCTGGCCAGTCAAGAACATTGATGTTATGTTCTTCAAACCATTCCCTAGCTCTTCTGGATGTGTGCTTGGGATCATTATCCTGTTGGAAAATGATATCTTCTTCATCAATCCCTGATTCTGCCAAGCTAGGCAGCAAGTGGTCATTTAAAATGTCCACATACTGCTCAGCATTCATCTTCCCCTCAACCTCAGCAAGCATTCCCACACCATTCCATCCCATACAGCCCCATACCATTAAAGAACCTCCTCCAAACTTGACAGTCCCATTAACCTCTCTGTCTGTTAGGCCATCTCCCTTCTTTTTCCATACATACACCTTCCCATCTGACCCAATCCTATTGATTTTGGTCTCATCTGACCATATAACATGCTTCCAGTCCTCTGTTGATGAGCTAAGGCAAAGGCTAGTCTTCTCTGCCTATGTTTGATGGAGAGAAGAGGCTTTTTCTTCTTTGTTACTGCCTTGAGATGAGCTGCCTTGAGAACATTCCTCACAGTTTTGTGAAGAGACAGGGGTAGTGATGGTGGAATTGATATAATGGGTGGCTTGGACAGCATTATCAGCCTTTCCTGTAGTGATATGTTGGATAATAGCCCTTTTGTCAGTAGAGGTAAGCTTGGATGGACGTCCTCCACAAGAGTTTTCCTTGTCTGGGTGGCTTTCTTTGATGAACTTGGCCACAGTGGACTTGCATATTCCAGTTCTAGAGGAAATTTGGCGAGCAGAGAGGCCAGCATAAGACAGAGAGAGGATATTATCTCTTTGAGCAGAGGAGATGGCTTTCATGGTGATTATGACTATGATACATGAGATATTCTGGTTTATATAGTTAGATATAGTCATAAAATAACATAATGACACCACTTTATAATTTATATAATAGTGGCATGATTTTTATGGTGTCATAAATAATGATTTATATAGTTTTAATATACACTCAAAAAACTGTCCACATGAGTCATCATTTTATAAGCCTTATATCTCCACCATATCTCCGCCGATTCCCACGGTGTAGGGCTCAAATAAAAGCCCTGAAGCCATACTACAATGTGGTATAAGTATGTCCTTGAGGAATTTGTTCATTCTCACACAATATCATAGATAGTGAAAAATGTCAAAACATGCGGACAGTTTTTTGAGCCACTGTACAAGGTTCATGCGCTGGGGGATTATGTGGCCTGCATTCATCGCTTTGGTACCACGGATTCATACAGCACAGAGCCAGTAAGTCTTAATATATTGTATGCCCCTCTCCAACTCAACCACTATCAGGGGGAGTTAGAACATCACATGCCAAAATGCAGATACCGTCGAACCAACCAGAGGGACTCCATTCGCCAACTAATGCAGATTGAGCGCCGTCAAGCACACTTACGTTGCATTAAGCAACACCAGCAAAAATCGGCCCCATCGTGCAGAGGTCAACAAAAATGTGAGTGATCCCTGCTTACGACATCACATGGGCCAAAGCAAAAAGGTTTATGATGAGTTTGGTCATTACCTGCACAGCCATGAGAGAGATCCTGCTATAAAGGTAATCAAAAAAAAAATTGGCGATTATCGCCATTTTGATGGGTGTTTCAGGACTTCCTACCATGGATGAAAGATCATATTCTTGATTGTCTTATTGCAGGAACTTCTGGAACGTCTATGGAGAAATTCCATTCACTCTGACAAAGAATGCACTTCAATCCTATTGAAATGAAACCAAATCTACCATCACAATCTTGTCAGATTCAATTATACCATGTATGATGTGCGAAGGGCTCAAGACGTCATAAACTTGAAGACTCCGCATTGTAACATAATGCTCCTCCAACGTAATTGCAATGATGGAACTGATGAAAATTACTGCTATGCCAAGGTTTTGGGCATACACTACGTTAATGTTGTTTGCACAGGGAACGTCTACGAATCTCACCAAATAGAATTTCTGTTTGTTCGATGGTACGAATCCATACAAAACCATGCTTGGGATTGTACATTGGGCCATGTTAGGTTCCTACCCCTCACAAGCCCAAACACATTTGGCTTTGTGGACCCGAGAGTTGTTCTCAGGGCATGCCACATTATCCCTGCATTCTCTCGAGGCCAGCGCAATCCGAATGACGGGATTTCTCCTCTTGCAGGAGATAACATGATTGGTATGAGTATTGTGTCAACAGGTAGACGACCTGGTTTATTTTAGCGATACTTACTGATATTGCGACTGTACTAGCTTTGCTGATCGTGATTTACTCATGCATTTTCACTATGGGCTTGGTGTAGGACGCACATACTCCCATAGGCCTGAAATCTTAGAAGGCCTTGGCTCAGCACTATACCCTGCAGCTCAAACTGAAGATGTTGAATACATAGGGACTGAACAAAGCCTCATGGAAACCACCCATTGGCAACATGCAGCCAACGATGAGAATGAAGAGGGTGAAGATCACCTTGGCATTGAAGAATCCATCCTCTTCGAGCAGCAACGTAATGGAAGCACCAAGACGCTCATAGAGGCACTAGAGGAGATGTATACCAACCATGTGTTAGATTATGAAAACTAAACTTCTATTACATTAGTTTACCCCCATGCAGATGGGCGCAAACCCAAACTATTTCCTGGTCATCTCATTGTCAGTCCCAGCGTCATTAAATACTAGTCATCATGGCCATAGGTTCCTAGCCATCACCGCTACAGATCCTGGCCATTGTGCCATCTCTAATTCCTGGCCATCAATATTTCTCGGCCATCACTAGCCCCGGGCACCTCTAACTTCCAGCTTCATCAAGTGCTGGTTTATCGCTAAGTAGTACTGGGCCCCAAGTGACCCTCGTTAATTCATGAGCCAGCACTTGACTAATGAATGGCTGCCCCTGTCCATGATATTTATTGCGCTGCAATTTTCTTTCTAGTCAATCTCGGACGGTGAAGTGAGTCCCTATTATCTAGATAAGACCATCTTAACTCTATCACAGACAGTCAAGTTGATTCAAATGCATCCAATGTACCTATATGTACACGAATCCAACCAAGTCTTCATGATGGTACAACTTGATGTAAGTAGGCTACTTAGGGTCAACTCTTGCTGATACTTTTGCTCTAGCACAAGGAGGTGTGCATTTACTGTCAGACATCAACTGGATCTAATCATATTTTTAGCACCCCTTCTCAGTGTTCAAAGACCGTCATTTTAATTTATTGGATACATGGCTGCCATGGTGAAGCGTCACCGTTATACGTAAGACTCCCCCCTTCAAAATCTTTCCTCTCATTGTTGGTTTGCAGTGTGATGAGCTGTCCAAGGTCGAACATCCTTGGAGTGCTGGGTGTCCCCGACAATGTTGGCGTCATCCATGATCACCCGTTGTTGCAGAGCTTGGTCAGGAATTTGTCTTTCATGCTGGAAATTCCATTTAGAAATAGTAGACCTAGGTTGGCAACTCTGACTTTCTGGTTAAGATGTCTTTCTGTAGGTCTAATATCTTGGATAAACCTGGCCCCATGTGGTTCATAAGTACTGTTCTTATTTAAGTCTAGCTTGCCATGGACTTATCTTGCTTGGGCAGCTATCCCAGGCATCTGAAGTGCCCATTCCTTTCAACCCAGCACAAATTTCCACATGGATTCCCACCTCCCATTGTAGAGACTGGAAATTCTGCAGGCTGATATGGGCTCATATTACGAATTCTGACAACTGGCCACTACGACTTCTATCACACCTCTAGTCATTCCCTATAGAGTGCACCACTTTCCACAAAATGCGCCATAGGCGCAATACTTTCCTGCACAATGCGCAGTATTCCCGCGTGCACGCCTTGTGCACTTTCTCGCGCATCACCGGAGCGTCCATCCACTGTCCAACCAGCCCATTGGTATGTATTAGTTTGCTATTCTTACTATTTCCCATTACCCTTCATTATTACATACTTTGTATGGCACCATTTTCTTAGGCTGAGTATGCATTACATACTGCTTACATCACACTGGTTCACTTTGTGTTGAGCCAAAGAGGCATTACTTACTTCTCTTACCACCATCTACTACCACTTAGAGGCAGTAGAGAGCCGCACTATAGACCAACAATCATATTTCCACTTGACCACAGACTTTATCTTGCATCAAGAACCGCTTTCACGTGCTTAGTGCGTTCCCTTGGAGGCTCATTTCGTGGATCCTTGCTCTCTGTGCTTCCCCCTTTAGGGTTGAACGCTCTTTGCATTCTGCAAGTGTAGCAGCTAGGCAGAGCCAAGACTCACTTATACTGGTAGACCACTTTATTCATAGCAGCCTGCCAGGTTGTGATACCCACAAACCATCCTCAAGGACAATACATTTTCATACGGGCAGCAACTATCTGTTGTCGCCAATGAAACCATCCTCAATGGTTGAGTTTGCCCACTCTCCACTGGTCCTACCCTCCCCAGTGATACTCCCCTCAGTGTTCAAGCCCCCGCACTTGGCTCCTTACAATGACGCAATCAACCCATTTGATTCTATCTTACTGTCTACTCCCAATTCCCCTAGCACGTCTGCTGCACATGCATTCACCTTTGGGCTACAGCACTCTTTGGCCTCCATCGTCAATAGTGTTCTCTGACGTGTCACAGTATTTGAGGCTCTGGAGGACCCATACAAGGTTGTCACTGGTAACCCAATCCCCACCAGCGATCATGTACAACTTCATCCAGAGTTACAATGGAGAGATTCGACCAATCTCTGGGGGGAATATCAAGGATTGCAAAGGACACAAATTTCGCACTTGTTGGGGGAAATCGCTGTGCGGGTTCCGAGTTTTTGACCCTCACGAAGGCCCCTTCTCAATGGCAGTCTATGGGTCAGACTTTATGGCAATCCGTTCAAACTTTCTGCGGTGGATCATCGGCATGCAATTACCAGTAGTTTTCTAACTGCCCTGTGACTTGAAGGCAAAACTTATGAAGAGATCAGGGATCAGCCAAGTGAGTGCTCTACTGTTTGATGCTTTGAGACCTTATCTTACAGTTCGATCCAGTAATCCTCAAGGAGGGTGGAACAGACATCACTATTGGATGGCAGATATTCTGCACACACGTGCGCTTTCTCCCTTCTTACCTTCACCCACTCCTGATACATCTGGGTAGTTGCTTGGGTGGTTCAAGTACACAAAAGCTGAGCACAGAAAAGTCATCAAGGGCGCCATGATGCCCCTCACAAATTTTTGTGATGATAGTGAGTTTGGGAGAGAAGAAGAATCACGGTTCTCATCAAGCTCTTGAATTCGGAACATTGCCCCAATGTAAGTAACAAACAAGATCTTTGAACCTTCTTACCCATATCTTTCGTCATTCAGGTACAGGCCGCCATTTCGAAACTAGTGGACAAACAGCTCTTTGCAGAGCTCCTCTGGATATCCTTGTTGATGCCAATGGAAGGGTTGGCTGACGGGAAAAAAGTGGGAGGGTAGCGGACTTTTTCCCAGAAGATATCTGTACATCAACCAAGTGTTTGGCAGAGGATACCATATGCATCAGCTTGAGGTACTGTGCTTTCCGATTGTTGAAACAGTCCTAGTTAACGATCAACTTAGCACAGGCCAGGTTTCAGTGACAGCGACGATGTCAAGCAACATACATCACGATGTCGAAAGTGACAGGCAACAAAATACCATGGAGGGTCAAGAAAGTGAAAGAAAGGTGGCACTGACCGCGTCTTGAGATGATGCCCACCACTGCACAGTCACTCGCTTAGAATAAAGAAAAATAGCATTGTATACGCAGGAATAAGACTACAATGCAATGTGAAGATTGTTTGGCGACAAGGAAGATAGTCGTTGAAATGATATATGGGAGACCTGACTTGCAGACCAGAAGTACTTGTAATGATACTGTTTGACCGTGACTTTGTGAGTGTGATTATAATAATAAGGAGTGTGGGCACGCTCGACTCCATGGTTCGTTTGGAGGACAAGGATTGGGAGGTTCCAGTTACTAGCAGTAAGTGTAATTGATGTGCACTCACTAGTGCTAATAACTCAGATTTGGGAGCAGTGCAGCAGTGGTCACGGCAGTTGCCGCAGCAGTCACAGCAGTGGCGCAGCATTTTCACGATACCCGTGCTCTTCTACAAAGTACTTGTCACCCTTGTAGACTACACTAATGACTGCCAAAGATGTGTTGTTCACAATCGAAGAACCTACCAAGATCTCTACATGTGTGTCTGTCACATACGCAGTAATGTTGGGCAAAAGCATGCACGCAGTCAGACAGTTTTGAAGTGCAGACTACATTAAATAATAAGTCAGTCGTGGGATGTACAGAGACAGCAAATAATACCTTGAAATCTTTAGAGGTCAGTAACTCTTTCAGATTGGCGAGCAATTTAAGTCTTTCCTTGCCGTCATTCTTGAGCACAAGCGCCACAATCCTGATGAGCATCTGGTATATCCCTCCACACTGAAGGGGCACTAAATCATGTACATTTACAGTAGTTAAAAGATACTCACATCAACGAACTCATGAAGACTGGTGTTTGGAACACCAACCTCCTCCGCAACTTGATTTGCATAGACTTTAAGCTGTTTTGTGCTGCAAGGCATAAGGGTAACAGGGTAACCCTGACTAGCACCAGAATCCACCCTTTAGCGATGCACACCAGCAGTTATAGGCTCGTCAAAAGAGCCATTGGATAATGGTGCACATGGGATGCTCAGGGGAGCTATGGTGGTGATCTGAGCAGCCTCAGTATGGCAAAGGGTTGATCCAACGCTTGTTGGGATAAATGGCGGGTAGGCTGCTAGAGGTGAGCGTGCGCGACTGATATTACTGCGCGGCTGTGAACCACATGCTGAAGGCGGTCAAGATCCTCTGCTGCTGGTTGACATGCACCTGCCTCTACCAAGCAGGGCATCGAAAGGTGTGAGTAGACCATTTACTGTCGTTTGCCTACTAGTAGCTTGTGGCTTCTTGCCCTTGGAGGCTCGAGCATGCATAGGATCCTGTGAGATCATGTTGCAGACAGTGAAGGAGGAGGACAACTGGCATTGGTTTAAATTTCATTATTAAAAGCCAAGAGCACCCTTGATTGAATTTACGTTAATTCAATTCAATTCGCCCAACAGAGAATCATTGTCAACCTCATGTGTCAAGACAAATCAGACAGTGCTGCAGACGCAGGAGGGGAGGGGGATGGTATCCAGATTACTATTCTAAGTACAGATTATATTTACGAGTAGTACTTTCTTAAGGCTGCAAAGCAGCAGGGAAATGGATGAATGCAGTGAGCCGCGCCGTTGCTGCTGCTGCTGCTGGTGCCGTTGCTGTTGTTGCTGTTGCTACTGCTGCTGGACGCCAGAGAGCTGCACTGTTGCTGCTGCTGGTGTCGTCGCTGCTGTTGCTGCCGTCGCTGCTGTTGCTGTTGCTGCTGTTGCTGCTGTTGCTGCTGTTGCTGCTGTTGCTGCTGTTGCTGCTGTTGCTGCTGTTGCTGCTGTTGCTGCTGTTGCTGCTGTTGCTGCCATTGCCATTGCTGGTGCTGGTGCTGTTGCTGCTGCTGCTGCCCGAATTAGCAACTGATGCCAGAGAACCGCGCTGTTGCTGCAGTGCAAATTGGCAACAGATGCCAGAGAGCCGCGCCGTTGTTGCTGCTGCTGCAGCAGTGCGAATTGGCAACAGTGTTAGAGAGCCTTGACACTGCTGGGAGCATGCGCAACTTTTCCTCCACCTGGTGCAGCACCTCCAAGGGTGAGAAGTGGATTAAGGCTTGTCGCGGTAGTGGAAGCAGGCACTGTCACTAGTGTTTTAAAGTCCAGTTGCAGGACCGCAAAAAGACTGGCAACCGGTCCTAAGCAGGACCAGTTGCAGTCTTTTCCAGTTGCAAGATCAGTCCGGTCCAGCTGCCCAAAGTTTGTAAAAAATCAAAGGACCGGTCCAGAACCGGTTAAGACCGGTCTTTTTGGAAACCGGTTGCTACGTAAATGTAGTACTCGTCAGCGCAATTCTAACGGTGGTTTAATTATGCAAAACGGTTAAGATTTGATAAAGTTATGAGACTTACAAGAAAAAGCTGCAAATTAATGGGATGTCTTATATCTTAGCTTTTATCTAGATCAAATCATAATCAATTGACAAGGTAAGACCAGCTATATACTCGTCTATACTAGGGCTATAGTTAGCATCGAGACACCTAAGCCTTATAACAACTTTTATTTTTTGACATTTCATATTTGACTCACTTGTGGGGCGGAGTTTGGTAAAAAAATTAAAATGCTCATATCTCATTCAAATCTTAACCGTTTAATACAAATAAAGCAATGTTTGAATCACAGGAGTGAGTAGTACACTGCCACTGGACCGGTTTTGGTTGTAACCGGTCTCGGACCGGTTGTAGGACCACAAAAGACCGAAAATATCGGTCTTTATCAGTCCAGTCCAGTTTTTTTGATATCGTGGGAATAAAAAGACCGGTCTGGTCCAGTTGCCTCCCAAATATGGTAAAAAGACCGGACCGGACCGGACTTTAAAACACTAACTGTCATGGTTGCCATATGTTTTGCAGTCGCAGCAGCAGAGTGCTTGAGAGCAGATGCTGACGGTGCAGTAGATGAGGGGTGGTGGAGAGGTTGAACTTCATCTGGTAAGCCGCGCAGTCGTTGCTTATCCTCCACCTGGTGCAGTGCCTCCAAGGGTGAGAAGTGGATTAAGGCTTGTTGCGGTAGCGGAGGACCGTGCTGTTGCTGTTGCTGTTGTTGCTGTTGCTGCTGCTGCTGCAGCAGTGCGAATTGGCGACGGTGCCAGAGAGCCTTGACACCACTGGGAGCATGCGCAACTTATCCTCCACCTGGTGCAGTGCCTCCAAGGGTGAGAAGTGGATTAAGGCTTGTTGCGGTAGCGGAGGAGTGCAGCGTGCTACTGTTGCTAATGTTGCGGGTAGGGGTTCAGATGAGAGTACAGGTACTGTTGCTGTTGTGGGTGCGGGTGTGGGTGCGGATATGGATGGGAGTGCAGGTGCTGTTGCTGCTGCTGCTGCTGCTGCTGCTGTTGCTGCAGATGTGGCCCAGGTTGATTTGGGTACATATTATAGCCTGAGTGTAGTTAGATTTTGGATGCTATAATAATGACGAAGAACTTACCGGTATACAACCTTTCTGTAATCTTGTGACGTTGCTGTGAGCCTCCCGGGTAAAGATACAGAGCTGGTGGCGGCGGACCATACAACTGTGGCGGGGGAAATTGTGGATGGTGAGGAGGGTGGTAGTATTTGTGGGGAGGGAATCCTGGTGGCAGCGCAAAGTGGGCTTGATTTTGATGATCTACAGCATGGACCATTGAACCTTGCTGAGCAGATGGAAGCTGGCTAGAGGGTCCTGCAACCGCTTGACTGGTCTTTGATGTTGCTGCCTTCCTTTGTGTGCTGGAGGTGGTTGCCTTTGCCTTTGATTTTGCAGTCGTCCTTGACTTGGGAGGGGGGGCGATCGAATGTGGGAGCTACCATTGGAGGGATCTGGGTATCGTGCTCCATGTGGTCATCTAGTTGGGGTGCATCACCGGATTTCTTCAAAGCCTTCTTCTGTTTCATCTGTTGTACGGCCATTTCCCGAACCTCTGCCACATTTGTAACTCTCAGCGGTGATTCACGGAGTGTCTCAGGAAGTACAAGATGGATATGATCATAGTTATGAATAGAGTAGGCGTTGATGAAGTAGTGTGGGGTTGACTTATGCCGAATGATGGGTTTCATACGAGAAGTTTCAAGCCGTTCTTGGCGCACAGGTTGCAGGATGGTGTCTGAACATTGTGAATCAACACAGTTGTGCTGGAGATTAACAACACATATGATATCCTATAGTGTGCAAGGGTCAGAAACAGCACACACAATCACAGGATATCGATTTACCACCGCCATTGTGACAACCTCATCATCGGTCAGGTTCAGACAGGGTAGACGGACAGAAGTATGCAAAGTGTCTGCGAATGAAAAGAGCTGGAGTCCAACATGAACAACAGCGTCCAGATCCTCGGATGATATGAGAATCTCACGGACACGTCCAACGCATGTCTAACAATATCTCTCCAATAATCAAGAGTCGCACAGTGAAGAAATTACTCACCTGTCCATCATTCACTCAACAGAAGATAACGTGACTATTCAGACAAGTGATGTCCCCTTCTCTCACTACAACTGATTTGCCTCGATAGTAGACAATGCCAGGCTGTGCGGTGTGGGAAACACAACAAGAAGAGAACTCTGTAAAGTACTCTTCAAATGTTGGGTCAAAATTGCTATGCCTAGCTGCTATTCGACCCTAAAGGATTTCTGTACTAGACTCAGAGCTCAGAGAGTAGAATTATCATCAAGCAAAAGACTGGCATTCAGACTGGTACTGACAGTGGTGAAAGGGAGACATGATTATGTAAGCAGTAAAATGCGAACATAAACTAAGGAAAGTGGTGGTAAGTGAAGGTAAGTAAAAAGGGGGGAATATCAGCCCAGGGAAAACTATATTGTCACAGCGGTCTTTAGGATCTTCCAGCAATGAGTTTCTTTCCAGGGCACTGCATCATCTTTTGCCGTTTTTTCCGTTAGCGCCAAGAGAAGTCTGAGCTTTCCTGGAACCTACGCGAAAAGAATTAGTAGCGATAGAGTTAAGATAGTGGGCTAGGTTTACCAGGTATCGGAGCATTGTGATTAAAGACTGATAATCCAAGCAAACGTGCTTGCTCTGGGTGTTCATCGAGATACCCTAAAATTTGCGCTCCTCCCCGGACCCATTTTGAAGTGTTGTGATCATACCAATACCCACCAGTGACAATATGCTTGATAATATCTTGATGAGCGAATACTCAGCAACTGTTGCGGCTTGGTGCCTGGCGATTACTGTATACACACGACAAACGAAATACATGATTGAAGGACTCGTATCGTTCTGTTGAAAATATCACTGCTGGTCCAAAACGCCGAATATATGCTGGGAGATGGACTAAGAAATGAAATTTGGGCTTGCTTATAATGATGCTGGGCGCACACTGTGCTGTGACGTTAAGAAAATATTGAATCGTTCGAGACAATTTTGCCTAGAAAAGAATGAGAATTGAAGTCTTATATTTCTGCGTAAACCTACAAGATAAGCTTCCGTATGCACAATCTTTGTGTGCCAGACGAGTACGACAAGTTCTCCCATCACACTCCATGCATTGAGGACAGTTGAAGGGACGAGGTCATAAATCAAAAATGGCATCACTTGCGCCAAACTTTTGAAGTGTTTCCCTATCAAACTGCCTTTGTAATGGCAGATGTAGTCTGCATTCAAGCATGGAGCGTTGAGTCCGTTCTTATCAACAGACTCAAGACAGACTTGAAAGATGCCCATGAGTTTTGCCTTGTCGAGCAAAAACACGGTTTGCCCCAAAAAATACTTGATGACGCCAAGCAGTATCATATGCAGAATTTCTGTCGGAGTGTCCATGTGTATATCGAGCCCTGCTAAGAGTGTGAATGAAAGCTCAAATCACTAGAGTACTGAACTAACCTTGCATCCCCAACAATGGGTTAATAGCATCATCGAGCTTTTTGCCTTGCAAAAGCTCTGTGAAATCTTTCTCAAGGACGGCTGTAACTTCAGCTTCAGGCATTGCTTGGGTGCCAGCCGCATGCTTTCGAAGTTTTTTCCCAAGTTCCACTAACACATTGAGGATTGAACTGGAAGCAGAATCGCGAATACCAGTCGACGACACCAAATTCTTGATCTTCTCCGACGCTCCTGACTTCAACGTGGTCTCAAACTGTTGCCGGATCTGTGCCATTGTATTTTCCGGGGTTCGTAGATTGCCTGACTGCGAGCACAACATTAGCTTGTTAGAATGTAGTTTAAATGCATTCCTACCGTAAAAAGGCTGCAGTACCCATCACCGGATGCCTTGTGTTCTTTTGTCCCGCCAATATCACAAGTCTTCTGCAAAAATAATTGCAGTTTAGGCCAGCGTGGCTGCATTCCTCTGCTTGCATGGGATTGTCTCCAGCGAGGAAAAGCACATACAGAATCAACAAAACCTCCTCGTTGTACTTACAGTCCCAGGCGATGATACCTGATTCGGCAGCGTTACTGAAGATTGAATCAGAATTTTGACTTCAGTGGATCGAGGAAACAGCATACCAAATAGACTCTTTCATGGCTCGCATGAGTTCCATGGGAGCAGCATGCAGTGAAGATGTGACAAATCGCACAAAGAATTCCTTCTCGAGCATCTCGCGCAGTAGGTTGGCATTTGACATGTAAATTGCATGATGTTTGTTCCATTGTTTCGAGACATTGCCGGAAACATCATCCATAAAAATGAGGAGGGGAACCATATGGACCATCCGGCCATTAGACTTCTCACGCAGCGGATTCGGAGAAAGCGACACATATTTGGCTGACGAAGCTGTTGTTTTGCGTGAGTAGTGAACCACTGATGCGATGGATTCAAATCAATGCACGTGTAAGGCCACAATCAAGCTCGCCTGGAGTTGCAGCGATCTCTTCAAATGATCGCATGAACATGGACGTCGGAATGATCTCGCATTGCTCATTAACAATGAATCCAGCCTAATATAGTGATTACTTTGTATATCTAGATAGATTCGCAACTAGGAGACATACCTCCATTCATTCAACCGCCCGACCAAGAGCATATAAGGCCTGACCATCTGACTGCTCGCATGGGTCAGAGGCACTGTCACTCGAATCTGCAGGCAGCGAGGCATCAAAAAAGTGCTCCGGTATCAAATACCCTCCAGAGTCATCCTGTAATAGTTCACCTGTGAAATAGATCATTCCATCGACACGAGCCACAGGTGGTGAGGGCAGATCAAGCAACATCTTCTTGCCATTGAATACTTGCGACATTCCCTCCCCGCTATCTTCCGGATAGTCTTGCATTGCAAAACGAGTCAGCAGATTTGCATAGTCCTAAATCGCGGTGTCATATTTGCTGTTGCATACAAACACACCGGACATACCTTTGCAATCAATTTCACAACATTGTTGATGTAAAATATATTCCCAGAACGAGCCATCACCTTCTCTGTCGGATCGCCAACAAGATTATCCAAGTACTTATGGGACTTCTTGATGGCGCCAAGTGAGGGGACATCCTGAGCACCAAGCTGTCGCGCCCAACTGAGGACTGCCCTCTTCTGGGCATCAGAAAATGGGAGACGTGGAGAGCTAAAAAGGAGAGAGGTCACAAAGTGCTTAATGTAGACTTAAGCACTACAATCTTAATACTAGCACAAAGAAAAACGAACTGCTTTTGATGGCCAGGGATACGCTGGATTGTCCAGCAAAACAGTGTCCTTGAAGTTTTTTCTTTCATAGATATCATCTAGTAGTGTGATTGAGTATAAGGCCTGCAAAATTAATCATAAAGTCACTCACCAGGGAGCTCTATCCCGAAATCAGGTGTGCTGTCATCCAAAAGTTCTTGCTCATTGTTGATTGGGGCAAGCGGCATTGAGAACAGTATTTCTCCTGAAGCAATAATTGCCTCGAGTTCTGCAAACAAGTCCAAAGGACCCTCGTCGAACCTGAAAGTGCAGTCACTGATCGCCTTGTTCAAAAGCTCAGATAATCCAAGCTCAGATTTGGAGTGCTCATTGTTTCCCACTGACACAGGTACCGTGGATGGTAGCGCATCAGTAGGTAGTGTGTCGCAGGGGTCCATGTCCATCAGAGAGACATTGGTGTCGAAGAAGTCATCAGTGCCAACACAATCGTCAGTATGGGCCTGAACAACTTTTCGGCACTGCTTGGAACACTTTCTCTCAGCATAACGGACATGCATTCCTTGTACAATGTGTTTTGAGACATGTCGAAACTCCATCAAACGATATTCGCCATCCTTGGGAGGGCACACCATGCATTGGACGCGCTTTCGAGTGTTATCAGAATATTGAAGGACTACAGCACCAAGTCAATAGAACATTCATACCACGAGATGAAAGAAAACGCACCAATACCATCAACCAAGTCTCCATTATTTAGTGTCATGCCGATCTAAAATCTACCAAAGCCTCGGTGACTTGATTCTTGCTTGATTCTCAGTCTGCGCTGGCAGTGTGGTCACGTGAGCTTTCACCTGTGAAATCAACAAGTCTGAAGTCCCACGATGCAATGTCTCCACAACTCTCCAAAATGACCAACAAAGTTATCCACTTTTCGACCATTATCAATCCAAAGAATCAGTCTGATGAATGCGACAGTATGCCGTGGCAGCGTGTCCTCCTTACAATGTGTTTTTTGGGCAGGCTCCCAAGGGAGGCAGTTCAAGGGAGCAATATTGTGAGTACTTGATGTCACCGTCAACACGCTTGCTCATTATCATGCATGATAGCCTGTCCATGTTTCAGTTTCTATTGCTGAAGAATATGGGCCATTTACCTCCCCAGTGATGGAAGCTATATCAGTGGATCTTTGCCCTACTCGTCCTAATTCACCATTGATGGACGATGTGAGTTTTGAAATTTTTACTGAATATTTCTGGATCTTACCTCATGCAGTCAATTCCCAGTCAAGTCAACAACGATTTTTCTTCCCAAGAGGATGTCACTATTGCATTCCTCCCACTTCAAGGAACCTTCAACCACAATAATCCGATGGACTGGGCCGCGCTATCAAAGGAGATCGAAGGATGGTTGGTGACCGAAGTAGACATCAGGTCTCAATTGTGGACATGGGGATGTGATGCTTTTTGGCTCACGTTTGTCGCAGCATACCCTCTATTTCCCAGAGGCAAATGGCTGATGTGGGACCCTTGCATTCCTGTGGAGGGGACATTTATTAAGGAGTGGTTGGAGCGGTCAAGTGATATCGATGCCATAAAATTAGGGGGCGATCATTCTCTCCTGGCTTTGCTTGGTGACATATGGGCTGAATTCAACAGACATACTGCGCTTTATTACCCTTTCCCTCTCATCGATGTCAACTAACTCTAGGACACTTGTTTGTGTGCTGTTATGTTTGTGTTGACTAGATATTAGTCTGTATCATGTGTATACTACTTACTGTGCCAATGATACCATTGTTTTATGCCTCCGAGTCAGTGTGATGCTGTTGCCGAGATGCCTCCCATTGCCCAAGATTGTGATCTAGATAGTCCGTCTGTTGGTGCTTTCGTCAGTGCGGTGGTTGCAGCGTACGCGTATAATAGACGTGACTCATGTGAGGGATCAGCCATACAGGTCGCTCATATATTAGCACCAGCTGGGTCACAGGTCTATCACAGGGTCTGATTTTCGACTGTTCTACATGACCGACCTAGATATGTCCGATATATGCACCGCAAAGGGTGTGTACTGGCCTCGATTTGGACGGATTTTCAGCTGTAACCAAGTCATCAGCCAGGATTGGGATAAAACCTCTCATAGATACCGCATATGTAGGTTAAATTTTTAATTTATGTGGCAAGGCTACAATCGAACCAGTATCTACCCTGTTGCTATGTGTTTTATATAGCTTTCGCACTACCCCGGTTCGGGCCAAAGCGACACTTGACGGTGTAGATTCACGCTGATAAATATATAATCGTGCGCTCTGTCGTCATAAGCATCCGCGCAGGACAACCAGATTCAACTTCATTCAACACGCTGCATCTCAAAAGTAGTGCCTAGGCTTCGCTTCGGATGTACACAGCTTAGCAGCTGTGGAGGCTCTGCCTAATGCAGAAGGAACGAGTGTCTGTGGAGGACTAGAGGCTCCGTATGTTTCAAGGTGGATCAAAATCGTTTAGCATGCCTCTAGGCGTGAACTTTATCTGAGATTGCTGACGTTGTCCTCCATCAGGCTCCAGGGCACAATGCTCTTGTACGTCATGATGACCCACATCTATGCCACGCCGCAGCGGAAACACGGACACTGATATTATTGATGAACTTTACTTCACCCGTCAGTGTGTCCTTTAGCAATGATCTCGCCGAATGGTGTGTGAAGTGTTAGATCAACTCTCTAGTTATCTAGCAGGGGTGGCATGGTGAGTGCATGGATGATTTGGATTTCACATGAGTGTGCGCCCAGGACCAGTCAGTTATGATCAGCTGCAGTAATGCACATTAGTAACGAATCGAATTCATCTGGATATCACTTTCTCGGATCTGCGAGGATGGCACTTTCGCTAGTATTGCTATCTCAGGCTGCTACTTGTATCCTACGTGGGCGCGTTGGAGTCCTCAGCATCCAATAGCAGGGGACATGCCTCGTGTCAGAGACTTCTTTGGTCTCTGTCTTCGAGTCAGTGAATCATAAATTCGTTTGTATATCCAGGGTTCTGAATCGCTCTGTATCCGCACTCAAGGCTTCATTTCCCATCCTACGGATCCAACACCCCAATCGTGTACGTTGGTTGGTCCAAGTTGACTAGACGTGCCGTCATTGCGCAGCGTATACATAACGGACACCATTAATGGTAACATGTATGGTCGTCCTTGTACATCGGCCAATCACAGACTACCTCATCATTCTACGCACAGTAATCAGAACATCACTCAGAATGGGATCTTATGCGGAAGAACAAAACCTCTGCTACTGTGTTGCGTGCTCTCGTGACAGATCACAAGGTGCTGCACCAACGTATGTACACAAGATCTGACGCAGAAGGACGCATACGATATTTGGACGGTTACGAGGCAGCCTTATCAGATCTAGACCAAAAGTGGCGCTTAATGAATCTAACCTCGCTGTTTACTTTGGTCCATGAAATTATGCGAGGCGCAGTGGAGAGGTTTGGAGGAAGGTCCAATACCGATGTTACGGAGTCTATCACTTGGATGGAGGGTTGATTGAGGAATGTCGAAGCTGAATCATATCCAAAACTAGTGAGTGCCAAATCGTACAGAAGTTGACGCACTTTGATAAGCAGATTCCATAATAGGTTAATTTCCGCGGTGCATCAAACCTTCGTGCCTGCAGGCATGATCTTGTTTGAGAGATGAGTTGTTCTTCGAGCAAATGCCCGTGTACAGCCTCAATTATCGTATCGATGGCACACCTTCTACAGCGTGTTGATGCTTCTGCGACTTTGGAGAACGAGCGCTTAGGGAAGCCTTATTAACCTGGCTGAATTTCACCGTCACTGCACTCTTCTTTCATCCTAACATCATGTCTGAGCTCCCAACGGACCATTCTGGTCTGGAATATATCATCAATCATGTTTTTTGTCCTCTCAAATTGCCGCAAGCGAGCGACCATACCCTTCAGAACGACTTGGCCTTATCTCAGGCGGTCTTGGATGCTGCTCAAGCTTTCAACGACCAGCTGCCGTCCGATAAGCAACAGCTTTGGGCGAGCAGCTTTAAAATGCTTCAGAACCTCCAAGATTCAATCAGATTCAGCGTAATGTCTCTAAAGGAAGTTGAATCTCAGATCAATGCCATGGACGACGAAGGTTTGTTATTTCATCTCATTTACATTTTCCCCCCCGTGCTGAGTATCATTTTAAGATGTCCTGGTATTTATGATTCGCGCCCAAAATGCTGCGGTGGTCATGAGAAAACTTGAATCTGAGACCATATTTGAATCATTCGAGATCTCTCCTGACCCCGCCGCAGTGAGGGCGCACAGGGAAAGCTGATCTGTTCGTATCCTGGACCTGCTATCACGGTCCCAAACACGATTGCCAATGACGCTACCTTTTCCGCCGAGCTGGCGAATTTTCTCGTTTGCATGGATCAAGATGTCCTTGATGCGGCAGCGACGTGCAGAAAAGCTGATTCCACTGTTCCCGAAGAGAGGGACACAACTCACCCCCCGGTATATCACCGAACTCCTGACCGGTATACTTCGTGGCCTCGGGAGTATCGCTGATGTTCCTCGCATCCGCAAGCGCATCGGAGATGACGTGCTGTGGAACAACACGAAATTGCCGTGGAGGCGGTCTCCGCTTTGGCTTGTCATTCGCGTTGCTTTACAGACGACTCTGGAGGCGCAATGCTCTTGGACGAGCGACATATAAATCATTCATGGCTGTTCTTGATGGATAGGGTCACGACCTCGCCATTGATCGTAACTTGTCGAATGACAATCCTACACTTTATGTCGGCAAAGATTGCGCGCCGTCTTTCAAGCTTGGAACCTCTGACTTCTCTGGAGTTATCACAGACGGTCGTTAAGGCACGAGTATGTTTAAGAGTATCTTCAGATCAGAGATGGGAGATCTGTTCAAGGCGTGCAGCAGACCTCGCCTCTTGGGCTCCCGAGACCCTCTCGGTCTTGCAGGGATACTCACCTTTCCTTGAACACGAGTCGAGAGTACATACCCAAGCTTTGGCTGAACCCAGCATCGCCTTACCCATCAGCCCCGTTCAACCACCAGCCAATGCGCACGTGGGACAATCGATGATTTCCTGACGCTGATGCTAGCTTCCTGAAGCTGCTCATGCTGCAGAACCATCCATTTCCCTGATAGACTTCGAGACGGCCGTTAGATCAGGGATCGATGACTGGGGTGGCGCGTGTTTCATTTCAGAACATCGATTCCGCTGCATCTCGATTGAGTGTGTCCTCCGCATACTCCTCGCGAGCGCTAGAAGCTTACCAGGGAAACCCGGAGAATACGTCAATAAGCTTCTCATTCTTTTCGAGCTCTGGGTAGCCATGGATAAGATCGTTATCAAACAACTCCCACTCCTAGCAAACTATCCCCCTGAAGTCCCATCGACTCTTTGGGAGAATCTCCTGATCCGAAAATTTTCAGCCTTGATCGTCTGAAGGAGCGCTGCGCGCCTACTTGGAAACGCGTCATTGCCAGGCGTCCCAACCGTTTGTCAGTGTTCTCGTCCACCAACGACAACAAGTCATTCGCAGCAGCATGTGCAGTTTTTACCAGTCATCCATGTTGCAAGTTTGAAGCTGAAATCGAGGCGGATGCTCGGGAAGAGCGGGAGAAGAAGTTGGTTGAGCTTCGGACCCTCAACGAGAGGTATGCTTCCTCCAGACAAGCGCAGCAAGCTTATCACATGATACCGTGTCAACTCCTGGGGTATGAGTACCACGTTCGGTGGTGTTCCAAATGTTGCCTGGAGGCAGATGCGATCCTGACATTACAGTTCACGAGTGGCCGCTACCGGCATGAACAGAGGCATCGTGGTTGTATTCGAGCTAGCATGCCCCTCGTTCGACATGTGGAGATCTATGACATTCCATGTCCTCGTCGACATCTGCGCTCCAGAACAAATTTTGCCACTCCTCCCTTCATCACCCTGCCGAATTATGACGCCTTGCATACCGCAAATGCCATCCAAGGCAAAGGCTGACTTTGGCGTCAGACGCCAAACCCTTCGCTGCATGCCATTACCATTACCAAAATATTCCCACGGTAGCCGACTGCATCTGTGTGAACAACGGTCTCGTATTTCAGCCTTTTGATATAACCACAGAAGCATGGATAGCCGCGCCGTTGCACTGGGATTCCAGCAAACTGTGCACTTTCCTTCTTCCCAAGGGACCGTACTATGATTTGCAACGGTACCTTGCAGGAACGCACACACCTCAAACGAGGTCATCGCCAATCAGGCGGATTGTCACAAGGATATGACCATTCACGAATTCATCGCTTTCGAACTTTACGGAGCGGACCACTACTGCAATGGATGAATGTGCTACGTGAACTCCGTGCGAGGACACTCAATTTTCGATGCGAGGAAGTCCATCTGTTATTAGCGCAAGCCGTTTCACAGGTTGGCCCATGTTCGTCTACAGGGCCTTCCATGGCACGAGGAACTAAACAGCATATCCTTCCTTAGCGCACTGCTCGGAGAGCTGGAGTTCTTGATGGCAAGCGTTGAAGAAAATTGGTTGGAAGGTATCACGATAAGCACTCATCATGATTGTGCCGTGTCTTGTCCTCGACACAGGAAGAGAGTATCAAAAATCGGGGATATTTGTTGCTTCGAAGGATACGAACAGCAACCTTTACGTTGCTGGGGCAGCTCTCACGGAAAGTGCAAGCCAGCGACGACGAGATGGCCAGTCGGGATTTGCAAGGACGTCTTCGTGATATGGCTGCCATCTGTCGGAGCACCTTTGATGTTGACGAAAATCCTTCGCTACTCTTGATATCATGACGATATCAAGATATTTGCGTACTGTGCGGCCATGATTTACGACAATACTCCAAACCAACTGGGCAATCTGTCACAACATTCCAAGCTACTGCTAGAGCGAGACAGAGATGTGTCACGCATAGAAGCTGCTGTTCGTCAATATGCAGAGATTCACAGGGAGGGTCTCGATTGTGCGGTGAGAAATATGGGGCAGCTACAGACGAGGAACTCCTTGGAGGGCCCTGCCGGCTCCGAGTTCTCGTTGGCTTGTGACACAGACTGCGCCTTCCTGTTCTCAATTACCGCAAGCTAGCACTAAACTTAATTAATGGGTGTTTGCTTGTTGATGGGAAGTCGCTGGGTAGGCTTCCGTCGATTATAGTGCAACATCCCACCTACCAGGCAATTTTCGGTGATGTTAGCTTGAAAGTTGCGACTCTGTTAACGCACGCTGACTCATTAATTGCAGCAAGTTTGGACATTGTTCCAGCTGATATTCCTGGAATGGAGTATGCACACGCGGGAACCCCCACGACCATCAGGTTAGTCACCCTTATTGTTATCATTCAGCAGCTAAAATAATACACACCTTCCAATGAAGGTATCTTCGCCCTCCGTGACTCCGATCTCATCATCCGCGCGAAGCATGTCGAACAAGGCTCGCCTATCCTTCAACTCATTCCGAGCCATAAATTTGTGGGGGACTACTACCTTGATAGACGGCCATACTCATTGGCTCAACCTGGACACAAACGAAACAGAGATCCGGCCAGCGGAACATGCGTGGCAGTCTTCACTTGAAAATTGGGTCCTGCGATTTGCTGTTTCGGGGGCCCCTCGACACTGCAGAATGCCGGCGGTGCCACTCTTGTCGACGTACGTAGCCACACGTGGGACATGATCTCCAAGAGTGCGTCCTCTGGAGGATGCCTGCTACATCGTGGTCACATGCAACAAAGGTTCCGGTAACACTCACTCGTTGACGGCTTATTTACCTCGATATGGTCTGGAATTCTTCATCGACGAGGATGGGGAAATGCAGTCCCGTACATGCGCAACATGGTCGTTGATGATAACCAGTCTACTGGAACGATGTTGGGATTAGTCAATCAACTCGTCATGCGTCCGAAGTCGCAACAAATTAGGACGAGCATCCCCGCAGTCATCATCCAGCGGTCGTATCTCATACGCTGTTGATAAGCATCACGTCCGGGTTACCATTATCTGAAGGCGACCGAGTGGCGTACCACTTGTACAGGATTGATACAGATCTACCTGCTGTCTCGCTGGGCTCGCAGGTCTGACGAATAAGCTCTATCAGGCGCCCCCATGCTTTACCAGTGACTGTCTCCCTGATCCTCTGACGGTCGAACGGGAACAGAAGGGCGTTACATCTTATGCATTCTGCGGCTTGCCGGTCTTTCATGAAGCTTCGCCCTCGTGATACAGATTTTGCGCGAAATCAGTTCGTTGTCAGCCATGCACGTCTGGTATCCCACACATCTTCAGAAGATGCAGAAAGTTTCTTGGTCATGTCTTGCATCCCTCGCACAACACCACGGTTTTCATCCAGCTGCGAAATCTATTATGGACTATGGCATGCA